CAATTAAATAGAATGCATTTCGATATAAAATTAGAACTTCTATAACTGGTTTAAACATATCCGTTTAAGCGCGATTGTGAAACAAGTTTTTGGAGTCCGCTTCCTGGAATCAACCAAAACTTGTGTCATATGAAGAAACATGGTCGTGATACGATTAGGGCTCGAACCCATGATCCACAGTTTGAGAGTTAGACACCTTACATTAGGTCATCGCTCCTCTATTGCTGATTCTATTTGTCTGATGCTGCAGATGTGCGCATGGTGTTTCAGGTGTGTATCCTGTCATGTCTTAAGTAAGATGGTTGCACATGTTTAAAACACAGTGGTCTAGTGATCAGACATGCGAACAATATTTCGAGCAACCGTACAGTGACTTCGCAAGCAACCGGACGACTTGTTTTTCAGATTATGCAAGCAACCGTACAGTGAGAAAACCTCAACGGTGACAATTTCAGTGTCAATATTTTCATAAGGAAGGGGTTCTCTTCAAATATTTCTTTATTTTCAGTTACCTAGATAGTTACTCTTTTTAGAGTCAAGGGGGTTTGCACAAATATTTGATGTAAAGCTTCGAAATTGTTGCTTGAAATTTGAGAAATCGAAGTGAGAAATCGCTTTGTTTTAAAAAAATATAGGTTTTGCCACAAACAGCATACCGGAAAATGTCTATTTCATGTAAGATCCACTCGTAAAAATAATCTTCAATAATCGATCTTAATTGAACTGTTTTACCAATATTTCAGTCTAAGTGTATAACTCGCTCGCAAGCGGAAGTGTTATATAGCGGACACTTTACATCACTTGTCTAATCGAAAAGTATGCACGTGACCAGTTTATATGTTAATCTATAGGAAACTGAAACCCAAAACCGAATGTGCATAAGGAATGGGCATATTAAATAATTCCAAAATAACATAAAATCCCACCAACCTCTAGAAAATACGTGCCGGTGTTGTAAATATTTATTACTCGGTAACCATTTTGTCAAATTTGCAACCATTTTTCTCGCTTGAACCAGGTGTGCAACCATTTCATGTCCTGCCCCTTGGTTCATGGACTATAGTTTTTCCGTAAGTTTAACCTTAACTTATATACTTAACGTAAGTGCTATTTTAGTCTCATTGTACTTTCATTCATGTTTGTCTCCTTATTTTGTCATGTTTGTAAATGGAATGAGTAAAATTATTTTTGACATGACTTTGATCATTGATTCCAAAACTTAAGTGTTGGAAAATGAATACCGCTCAAGCCTTTTGCTAGGGGGCGTCAGGAATGTTGCACTTTTTCATTTTTCTACGTGAACAGAACCAATCAAACCGAGCCTGCAATTTCCATATAATTTTGTTGTGAATAGTACTTTCGAGGGATCCCAATTTATCTAGATTTTGATATTGTGTTTTAAAACCTGACATCTCATTAAATTATTAATGGATAACATTGTTTTGATTACGAAAATGTGAAATTATTTATCATTGTAAATGATGCAATTTAATCAAAACATTAATTTATGCCACCGCAGCATCTGCGATGCGGTGGCATATAGCGATTCACCTGTGTGTGTTTGTTTGTGTGTGTGTGTGTGTGTGTGTGCGTGTGCGTGTGCGTGTGTGTGTGTGTGTGTGTGTGTGTTATATAGATTATATAGTGAACTTAAAAAATCTTCTTGTGAAAAACCACTTGTCCAATTTCAACCAAACTTGGCAGGATTGATCCTTGGGTGAAGGGCTTCCAAAGTTGTTCAAAGAATTTCATTCCATGCAGAAATCTGGTTGCCATGGCAACCAAAAGGAATTATAAGAATAAATTTAAAAAATCTTCTTGTAAAGACCCAAAAAGCCTAGAGCTTAGATATTTTGCATAAGGCATTGTCTGGTAGACTTCTACCAAGATTGTTCAAATTATAACCCTGGGGTCAAAATTGGCTCCGCCCGGGGGTCATTGATTTTCACTATATGTACATATAGTAAAAACTTAAAATAACTTCTTGTAAAGACCCAAAAGGCCTAAAGCTTAGATATTTTGCATAAGGCATTGTCTGATAGACCATTACCAAGATTGTTCAAATTATAGCCCTGGGGTCAAAATCGGCCCCGCCCCGGGGGTCATTGATTTTCACTATATGTACATAAAGTAAAAACTTAAAATACCTTCTTGTAAAGACCCAAAAGGCCTAGAGCTTAGATATTTTGCATAAGGCATTGTCTGGTAGACCTCTATTCAGATTGTTCAAATTATAGCCCTGGGGTCGAAATCGGCCCTGCCCCGGGGGGTCATTGGTTTTCCTTATATGTATATAGTAAAAACTTTATAGTAAAAAACTTTCTTCTAGCAATTGACAAATGCTAGAGGTTAGATATTTTGCATGAAACATTGTGAAGTGAACTTCTAGCAAGATTGTTCAAATGAAAGCCCTGGGGTCAAAATTGCCCATGCCCCGGGGGTCATTGATTTTCAATATATACATACATGTATAGTAAAAAATCAAAAAATCTTATTGTCTGAAGGTACAAGGCTTAGAGCTTGAATATTTGTTAAATGATATCATCTATAGGTACTCTACCAAAGTTGTTCAAATTTTGCCTCTTGTGTCAAAATTAGCCCCGCCCCGGGGCCATAGGTTTTCCTTATATGTATATAGTAAAAACTTAAAAAATCATCTTCTCTAAATTTACAAAGGCTAGAGTTAAGATATTTTGCATGAAACATTATGTAGTGAACCTCTAGCAAGATTGTACACATTATAGCCCTGGGGTCAAAATTGGCCCCACCCCCAGGAGTCATTGATTTTCACTATGTACATATAGTAAAAAAATTAAAAAAAATTTTGTCTGAAGGTACAAGGCATAGAGCTTTGATGTTTGCTATATAATATCATCTATGGGTTCTCTACTAAAGTTGTTTTAATTATGCCCCTAGTGTTAAAATTGGCCCTGCCCAGGGGCAGTGATTCTCATTATGTTCACATAGTAAAAACAGAAAATAAAACAAATCTTTTCTGAATGGGAGAAAGCTACAGCTTAGATATTTGACTTGAAATGTTGTTTGGTGGACCTGTATCAAGATTGTTTTGAATTAAACCCTTGGGTCCAAAATTTTGCCTTGCCCAAGGGGACAGTGACCTACTTTCTTGTCCTTTGATGTACAGCAATGAAATTTTGACCATGTGCACAGTTTTAGTTGTAAAATTGAACTTTGATGTCAGGTGACCTAGATTTTGATGATGTGACCTACTTTCTTGTCCTTTTATGTACAGCTTTAAAATTTGAACCATGTGTACAGATTAAGATGTTAAGTGAACTTAATGTTTTCAGCTGACCTAGATTTTGACAAAGTGTCTTACTGTGTTGTCCTTTGATGTAGTCATGAAATTTAGGCTGTGTGAAATATGACCATCAAATTCACTAGACTCAAGTGCATTGATATATTCCTACTCTGATCTTTTATTGAGTTAACAACAGATTTAACCACTAATCTGATAATAAGAATTAGATAGGTCAGGGATCTATGCATTATGACAATCTTCAAAATTGTATAGAAACAAAAAAAAATCTGTTTCTACACTACTATTTAGTGTTGTATTAATGCGGTGGCATAGCATTTTTCTCAAATGCAATCTTGTTTTCTAGCTGTTTCAGTAAAAATATGAAAAAAATAGGTACCGTAACTTCTAGTTATTTTAGCTCTTTAAAGCATTATTGCGTTCATTGTAAAAAGCAACTTGATTCATAAAGGCATTATCCAGTGTTGTTCTTGTCTTCTTGAGGAAAGAAATTAATGCTGGTTGTTCCAAATCCTGTATTTTAAGCTTAACCTTAGCACAAAGTGTCTAAAAGTGAGCTTTTGTAATGGGTGTTTTGTCGATTATAATTCTTAATATAGTTAGACAACATTTCTCAAACTTAATTGATTAAAACCAATAAAAACTAGGTCTTACGCATCTAAAGTCACAATTAAGCCAAAATATTAGAAAGTTAGGAATCTAAAAAATTCAGATTGTTTTTTATTTTGGAACCTAGACGTTCACGGTAGCCCTATATAAAAGTAATATAGATCATATTCATGAGATACGTTTAACATTAATTTAGATTGGTTATCGTAAGATATTCTAAAAAAACACGTCTGTATCGCTATCTAACAAATGTTAAATAAATCTTCTTAATATTTTGTCAGTAGTTGCACGGCATGAGGAAATCTTTAAGAAAACCACATACTATATTCTCTTCTGAAACTACAAAATACAATTAAACGGAATCCTTATAGAACGTCAAACAATTGCAAAGTGATAATGTTGCAGACTTGGTTTAATTGACGGTACTTGGGAGTGCAAGCTAGCATCCACGCCCCTAGCACCGGCTTAAGCAGAGTTCAACATTTGAGCCGCGTCACGACAAAAACCAACATAATGGGTTTGCGACTAGTATGGATCCAGACCAGCCTGCGCATCCGCGAAGTCTGATCAGGATCCATGCTGTTCGCTTACAAACCCTATAACAAGTAGAGAAACTGATAGCGAACAGCATGGATCCCGATCAGACTGGTCGCAAACGCATTATGTTGGTTTTGTCGTGACGCGGTTCATTTAAACATTAGTAGTGACATTTTTAATGTAGAAAGAAACATCCTGAGATTTTGCAGCCGTTTACGAGTTCAACAGAATCAGTATAGTAATTTGTTATGCCATATTTATTTCAAACCACCAAACCTAAAACACTTTTTTTGAAGAACTTTAATTGTAATTCCAGTATAATAAGGATTTGATATGAAACTTTTGGACTTGAAATTGAAAAAAGGCAACCCTGAGTACAATAGTGATTTGGTAAGGATTGTTGAGCTCGGAAAATGAAAACGAGGCTACACGGAGGTCAAAGGTGATTTGGTGTGGAATGTTTGGACTGTCAAAATAAAAATGTGGCTAAGATTATAACTTTCCAAATAAGTTTGATCGAATAACGATGTATTCTAGGGGATTATCAGGTTCAAACAAAAGAAGTAAAGAAGTTCATTGGTAACGTTTTATTCAGCGTAAAAATATTAAATGACATTTTCATTCTTCATTAAGATATATAAAACATTCATTCATAGAAATACCAGAAATTGCATAACGTTTGTCAATGAAAATTACATAACCGAGTTAAACGTATGAAAACATAATACAGTTGGTGTATGCTCATGCAGGTGCAACATTAAAAAGATTCTCGTAAAGAGGATTCAATATGATAGATAATGAAGTTGGTACCGATGTATAAACTTAATTTACTTGTCGGACAATTCTATATCTTTGGACAATAAGGAAAGATCACTAACATTTTTTTTATTTAAAGCTGCAGATGAGCCAAAATATTTCAAGGAAAATGAAAATTGAGAAAAATATACTAATATTTCAAGACAGGTAAAAGCAATCAAGATCAATGTTATAGTTTACATGTTATTTGCGATTTAAGACTGATTTTGCAGTATTTTATCACCATATATCTACTGCGTTACTAACGCAGTAAGGGCTTTTTTGCACATTTTGATCTCTTTTTGGTTATTTGCATGGATTGTAAGTGCCAATTGCAATATGTAAATAACTTTATTTGTTCACCTCACAATATTTTACTGTCAAATACATTATCAAAATTTTCATGAAATTTAACATGAATCTGGAGGCGTGCTGCTTTAAATGTATATATGAATTATAAAGATTAGTTTGAAATTTATTATCTGCAATCGCAATACAAAGTAATTGCATAAACACATAAACACAGTATTAGCAAAGCAATAAATAATAAAAATACATAATCTTACTATAAAATATTGCAGTTAAAAGAATGATAATACTTACTCTTTTGTGACATGGCTGCGTCTCCTAATAATACACAGCAACCTTGATGAAACATATTTGTTTGACCAACAACTGTTTGTTATAAATTTTTCCATGTTGAGTAAAATAGGCATATATTGTGGCTCGTTAGTAAAGGGGCACCAAATGTAGTTCTTGAGTTTAGAACATGAAAGTAAATGATAGAAGTCACGAATTATTTTGCATAGGAGTTCTCGTTTAATGAATGTTAATATGTTTAGTTGGCTTAAATTTCTCTGAAACAATGTAAAAGCCATATAATTCCTTTATAATAGAAAAAAAAACATGCTTAATTGGGTAAAAAGGGGTAGATTTGAAATCAATTTTGAAAATAAATCGTTTTCAATCATATGAAAGCACACTAAAAATCATAAAAATTGAAGATAAATAAAAAATTGGTCCCTTTCAACCTAGGTATTCCTGTACATGAAATAAAAATAATAAAGCCGAGAGTCTGTAAATATACATTTAAGTTGAGATTAAAGGCACATTATGACTCTAAAACAAATAAATTTTTACTTCTTTAGAAAAAACAAACATGAATTTTAAAATGTTTTCATAATGGTTTAAGAAAATTTCAGAGTCTTGTTATCTGAAGAATGTAGAGATGAATGAGAAAATAAATAAGCATAAAAGTAGCAAAATGTAAAGAATGTAGTACTTTTATACAAAACACTTATTCCCTATAACTGTACTTATTGCAAAAAGAAAGCAACAGATGAAACAAATGGTTCAGGTAATTGACCAATGAGTATCTTTTTGCTTACTTTAAAACTTTAGAGATATAAAAATGAAAGTATTTCTGAAGCATAATGAGCATTGTAAATATCAAAATCAGCACACATATCAATACGACTCACAAATGAGCAATTGATGCAGGACAAATATCAAAAACATGCATGTAATATATTCTTGGACAAATATCAAAATAATACTTTATCGTGATTTAAGAAAATAAATGGTCTCTATTATGCATTTTTTTATATGAAATAAAGAACTGAAATACATTTATAACAGAATGACATAAAAAAAGATCGTTATCACAGGCGGTTTACATAAGTAATTATTTACATACAATCATCACAATATACATGTATATGTAGTTAACATATTATAATTATTTAACATGTCAATACATGCATGTATATTGTAAATAAAACGATACATATCAAATACAAAATTAAAAAAGTTTGTATAAAAAAAATCGCGATGTAAATTCGAAAATTTAAAGAAATAAAAAACAACAACATTTTATAAACAAGAAATAAAAACATCTTATAGACAAAATATTTAAATGAATATGGTTCTCTGTTACATATATTTGAAGATTTGTCACTTTTCTTTGATAAAAAATAATACGTTACAATGAAATTATAGTGTTTTATCAGAACACTTGACAATGTAATGAGGTTATTAAATGAATACGCTATATCTAAAACTAGTAAAATTGCATTCAACCCAAATGATAATTGATTCGAATCAAACAAGTACAGGATGATTTCAATAATGCACCTCATAGCGTTTTAACGCTGCTAAAATTAATCCTGATATAATGGACCTGCATACAGGAACATTTCTTTGCTTTTAAAGCAGTCTTCTCATTAAGTCATTCATTATATCAGCATGAACAACTTTACTTGTTTTGCTGACAGTCTTTGATTAAGGTCTTTGATTCGTATTAATTTCACACGCTCAGGATTTCCAGCATTGAACACCCGATAGATATGAAAGTCACCCTTCATCTGATTAGCAAATTTTACTTGTTGCACTGATATTTCAAATACTTCTTTATCCTCACTTGCAGTACTCTTAACTTCAATGTAATGTCTAAACTCGCCATTATCACCTGCTACCTTTATCTCAAAATCAAACGGATATCCTTGCTCATCTGAACTATTCTTCCATGAGAAATCTACAATTCTACCGAGATCTTTCTGTATCTGCAGGTAATTGGCAACACATGCCTCACCCCATCGCCCAATCGCGGCGTCATTTTCTGTTACCCTCATGCTCTCCATGACACAAATTTCTTTTCCAGAACCCAGATTATCATATGTATAGTCCGTTGCCATATTGTTCCAAGTAGGATCACCTGGAAAACAAACATTTGGTTTTAGCCAAATTTTTATTATTAAAGTTGCATAAATAAAAAAACATATAAGATATCAAACAATTTTATTATCAACGATTAAGTTTAGGTTGACATATATTTTGCATACCTAATACCAAAGGCCATTTTCTTTCAAACTTTTCATGGCGACTTTTCAGTCTTGGACCCTCGTGGAATTCGCTTGAACCTGTAACATTTAGAGATAATATAACCGTGTTAAAGGAGATTTTAGATGATTTTACTAAAATTGATATACAATATGATTTTCTGTCAACGACAATCAGTCTAAACAATATGAATACAAAACAATACACGTATTTTGATTTAATACAAAAAACTGATCCCAGTTGTTAAGGACCAAATTGAGAGAACAATAACAATGGCATCGTTAAAAACTCAATTGAATTTGTTATGCAACAGAACATCTGTATTCACGTTAAATATAGAAACGTTAAATGAAAAAAGTTGTGTAACAATCACTAAATTTTGATAACAATCCAATAAAAAATTTATTTCTACACAACTATATTTTACCTTGACTTTTAAATTGCTGGTCATCACTTTGGGCAAACGTACGGCCATCGTTAACTTCAGTGTGTTCTTTTTGATCTTTTGTCTGCTTTTGCCCTTTGTCTTCAATAGGTCTATTTTGTTCATCTATTAAAACAGAATGTAGATAGCTACATATGACGATATATGATAGGAATAATCACATAAGACCAAGGTTGTTTCTTAAATCTTGCAGTAAAATATAACAAATTTGTTAATTTCCATATATGTACACTAAAACAACCCGTGTATTATATGTTATTCGGACTGTCTTATGTAAAAAATAATAATTGCGATTTTTTTCACTTAAAATATAAAGACAATGCACTCACTTATCTGACGTTGCTCTGCTTCAATAGACGAGTTTGTTCTTGTAGTTCCTTCAGAAGGTTGAACAATATCACTGTATGTTTTTATTCCAGTGTTTGCATGCCGTCCTTGTAAATTATCTTGACCACTCCCTTCTTTGTACTCACCGCTAACAGCACCCACCCCTGTTTTGCCACTTTGAAGAAACATATTCATACTTGGATCTAAAAACCCAAATTGTGTAGGAAACGCCTCCTCTTTCTCGCCTCCGCGAAGATGCTCAGGTAAATTTTCGACGTCCAACACCAGATCATTGTTATTTTCATTTTCTCCTAGTCCTTGTGTCTGTACGTTGTTAGGATCATTATCGCTACCAACAAACCTGATATTTGATGGAAGTTCTTTAACTGACTTCATGTAGTCAGTTCCTTGAGGAGGCGGCCAAATATTCGATGCTGGTCTATCAGTTGACGCTGAAGAAACAATATTTTATTATCAATAATAGATTTAAATATTTTTTTACACAGAAAGTATTCTGTACATTTAATCTCAAATATTTCTTCTCGAAACTTCAAATACAACAGTTTGGTTGAATAATATAGTAGTTTGTTTGACTCGCTATTGGTCAGCTAGTATTAGTCAAACCTAGCTAAACCCCGCCTAAATTCACCTGCCATAACCTCTCTTTAATTATAATCTATTAGAAACAGAGAGCTGCATTGCTAAATCAAATCTCTATACCCATTCTGCCAAGCAACTATATAGCATTACAACGAACATTTTTTTAGCTAAACAGGTAATTTACGAATTTTTATTGGCAAGAAAACCAGAATTCACCTGTAGTAGGTGCAGTTCTGTTTGGATTAGCAACTGGAGGCCAAGCCCTTAGTTCAAACGCTTTTTCTTCGTTACCCACTTCTGCTGAAACAACGTTTTCCCCAGCTCCCTCTGACTCATTTTCATCTGGAATATAAAATTACATCATGGGCAATTAGATATAGATATACTTGGTCCAAACAGAAACCTTTTAAAACAACTGCACTTTAATACAAATACTTTCAAACAAGTTCAATTTTACTTCAATTTTACAAAATTAGTATATGTTGATTTATATGAGAATAAAATAAATTTAACATTGCTTTTAACTTAAAATGTAAAATAAATAAAACAACAACAACAAAAATGAATAATAAAATGTTACCAATGTCCTTTTCTTTTGATTGCTCTTCTGTTTCAGGTATAACAGGTGCTTCTACTTCCCATTTATCATCATCGTTTATATCAATAGTGTCTGCTTCATATCTTCGTAAAAGACTATCCATTGGTTCTTCTGATATGCTATTTATAACATCGGAAAGTTCGTTCAAGAAATACCTGTAATGTACGTATAAGACAATAAATGATCTGATTGTCCAAAGATTTTTATGGTATATTTTGAGTATTTATCTGTTTACAATTTATCATACCGTTGAATAAAATGTATAACGTTGAATTAGAAAACCAACCTAAGTATATTATTGCACTCAGAGTTTCCTCTACTAAAATATCTTGCTATTTCCTTTGCAATCTCCTTGAAGTCTGACAAATGCTCGCGATGAAAGTAGAATTCTGGAGGATGAATCAAACACTTCTCTTGTTGAATAACAAATGTGTCTTTGGTCAAATTCGACAGCCAATAGCTCACCTCCAGAGTCCGAGTCTGTAAAATTTAAATACCTCATATTGAGATAAATGTTCTGATTTAAGTTACGATATAAATTAGCGTTTGAAACAAAGCGTCGTTATAAATAATGAATTTTAGATCATAAAACTAACAGTTAACTTTCCTAGCAATTTATATTTATGTGGAGACCAACCTGATAGAATTTTGCATCTTTGAAAGTCTTCTTTATGCTTGTTTCTTCCAAATCCTTGTATACATCAGGATATTTTGCAAGCAGGTATTGCTGTAAAACCGGAACGATTTGACTAAAATATTTCTGCATTTCTGGACAAGGTAATATCATTTCGGGTGTAGGTGTCAAATCCACGCATTCGCTAAGTTTTTTGACACCACAAACTTCAATCACTATGTCAATCATATCAGACTGTATAGCACTTCCAGAAGCTTTAAAGGGAGAAAATAAATAAACAAAATGTTTAATAGCCATGTAATATATTGAACAGAATTTAACATGAAATAGATGGAAATTAATATCATTGCAGTAATATGAACAAACTCAAACATAGTATCATCAAAACCTCTTGATGTTTTTCATTTTGCAAAGGTTTCCGAAAATACTTATCAGCACCTGTTTTTCTTTGGCCAATTTTCCTTGTCGTTTGCTTTGTCTTGTTCAGTTTATCTTCCATATCAAGAAAGTAAACTCCTGGTTTGTCAATAAACATTTTTTCCAACTCTTTATTGTCGCAAACCATTGGATTGTCTTCCAGATTTACCCAAATTTGCTTATTTGTTGGTAAAACCTGTAATTAAAAGGTACAAGCGCAGATTAATAGCTTTTTTCCACAATCAAATTTGTGTACTGTTGTGTATAGTTTCATGATTATCATTACAGATGGACATAATTATATTTCTATACATATTTTACACTAGTATAGAATTGAAACAGGTTTATTAGCAGAAAACAGTTCGCAAAAATACCAGAAAAGGTAAATGCAAGTATTATATACTTTGGTACAAATTGACTTTGAATGTCAAAATGGTTTCCAATTAATAACTCAACAACTCCTTAAGTACTAGTTCTATGATTGTAATTTCATACTTTGATAAATGTTACGCTGTACGACATTATATATCTGCTTACCTTTAGTTTTCTTAGTTTACTCTTTAAAAAGGTTTCTAGAGCCTCGTGTGCATTAATTGCAGCTTGCTGACCACCAGGTTCACTGATTTGAGGAGCGTCTAACATCTCTCCTATTATTGAGAATATATACAGTACATCGTGCAAGACATCTGTTTCTTTTGGTGAACTTGTTTCACATAAGAGACTCAATAATTGAATGTATTCACCAAGATTTGGTTGAGTATCTAACTTAGCTTCATGTGTTAAGATATCCATGATATCTCTATTGTCGTTGTAAAACTCTCCAATTGTTCTTTTATTGTGAACATCGTAGTGATATTCTTGAAGGAGATGCCGGTGTTTAGAAAACAACCCTGTCTTATCAAAAAGCCATATTTCACGTCGATTTAACATTTTACCAGCGATGACAACATCCTTGCCAGGAACGGCACTCGAATCAGGTACGAATAAAACTGGTTTCTCTTGAAATAAAAGATGAACCTCTTGCCGGGGTAGCCCTGAATATAAATACTGATACACATTCTTCATATGCTCAAGGGTAGTACAAAACTGAACTGGTGTGTCATCCATATTTCTTTCACTCCAATTTAACAAATGATCTTTAACAGTATAAACATCAACTGTATTTTTGATGCCAAGAAATTGGAAAAATGTTCCGTGAGATGTGTGAGCATTCAGGTATATAACTTTGTCAAACAACAGACTCTGAACTATATCAGTTTTGATATACAAACCAGACGATTTTCGCAATACAATTTGCTTATCACGTTTAATATAGCCCATTTCATCTGTCGATGTCTTAATTTCCAAAGCTGGTAACCATTCAGAATTGCGCAGTAGAATGCAAAAAGACGAATCCGTTTCCATCAACTTGTTACCATCTTTATCTAAAACCTGAGCTTTAGAAAATTTCAAGATTTGGTTATCCCAATGATGGTCTATATACGTAAATAAAGTTCGCATCTGGTCGGCATATATAGGATCGGCCACGTGAGCGTTGTTTGTAATCAGTCCTTCTACCTCTGCGCTGACAAAATCTTGCACAATAAACTCTTGAACTTCTTTAGGCCATGCGTCGCAGTGATGTTTCCATTTCGACTGTTTCTGTATCAAATTACATGATAATTACTTTAAAATATACGTAGTTTTTAATTGATCACATTCTCCGTATCTAATTAACCAGACGAAATTTCTTTATTGATATTTGAAGACGTACTTCTGAAATTCAATCCCATTTATATTGCAAGCAATAGTATATTATTTATTTAGGCTAGTTTCATATAAACAGCTGGCCTCGAGAAAAATTACTTGAAAAAATATACAGTTGAAAAGAGGCTAAATAAAATTAAGTTAGTATTCTTGTGTTCTTAAGTATATATAGGACATTGTCATATGCTGGTTAGATATAAAAATATAATAAAAAAATGTATTTTGTATGCCACTATTAAAAAAACATTTGTATGATAAACATATTTTGTAGCTTAGTTACATTTGAATTTTATCATTACATTTGGACCTTTGCCAAATATAACGGTTGCGTACATTTAGAAGATTTGTAATTGTATTCATTTAAAAGAAAACAACGAATTTTTTTAAACAAAGGAGTTACAAACCAATTCTTCTCTTTTAATCTGAATACGTTCCTCTTTGAACGCAAGGAAATCCACTACACCAAGTTTCCTGAAGAAACCTGCCCAGCTAAGAATAACCTGTTGTGAACAGGATGGTGGCAGGTAGCAAGAATCAACAGTTGCCCAATCATAACCTAGAATATTAGATTAATACACTTGTTTATACTTATCTCTCAAAATCTGAATCAAGGACTAGCACATTTTTAATACGGAACTATCCGTGTCTTACGATTGTTTTTGAAGCTAATCACCATGTAAAAACTTTTTTCCAATTAAAGCTTCACAATACAGTTCACAGTGGATTAGTCAACCTGTAACTATGGAGGGTGATTTATGCCAAAATTACATCTTGCTTTCTTACGTTACATCGTGCTTTCTAACTTGTACATCGTGCTTTCTAACTTGTACATTATGCATTCTGACATATACATCTTGCATTCTGACTTTTACATGTTGCTTTCTTACATGCACATTATGCTTTCTGCTGTGTGCGACTTGCTTAATTTTATGTTGATGTCGTTATTTAACGATTAATTATTATTCATTTGTTGATCTGGTATATTAATTCAATAAATTAACCTGCAACTGTTTGTATTTGGGTCTATTTACTCAGCTTGAATGACGAATGTTATAACACCCAAATTATGCTAACAGGTGGCGCTACAGTTATATTCTCGGTAAAGTCCGTATTGCGGTTCGGATTCAGTTTACCAAGTTACGTCCCTTTGTTTTAAAATTTCCATTTGCACTCATGGAGAAAATATACAAAACGATTTAACCAATTTTTATATTTATTAATGAAACTCTGTAGGTCAAATTATATTTCCAGCTGACAATGACAAGTTGCACATTTCCAAATCAATGGTTTTAGAATTTTTTTCATCAACAAAATAATTTTAAAATACAACAGTTGTTCAACATTGTTCAAAGTGCTTGGGCCATAAAAAAACTTCTTATTAAAATATTTCATACTCTTGAAAAGTTCTTAAATTTTGACATGGCTTATTTCCAATACCTGTGGCCATCCACAACATTTTTAATGTGTTTTTATTAATTAGGACATTTTCTTGCCTATTTTCAAACTAATTTTGTACACACGTTAGATTTTTCAAATTCAACTTGTCCAAAACATGTCTTTTTCACTAAGTTGAAATTATTCACTAAGATGCTTTATGAATACGGCCCAGGTTCTTGTTCACAGTGTCAGCTTAAAACTGAAGAAACTGCTGCCAAAATCAGCTGATTCTGAGAAAAAAAATAAAATAAAATGTCAAAACTGTCTAGTCTGTCAGACTAGACAGTTTTGCCTTTTTTTTCTTTTGCAGCGGCACGGGCTACCTCTCTTCATTTGAATTTTTATATCACAGGTACCCTCTCATTTTTTCACTAAGATGCTTTATGAATACGGCCCAGGTTCTTGTTCACAGTGTCAGCTTAAAACTGAAGAAACTGCTGCCAAAATCAGCTGATTCTGAGAAAAAAAATAAAATAAAATGTCAAAACTGTCTAGTCTGACAGACTAGACAGTTTTGCCTTTTTTTCTTTTGCAGCGGCACGGGCGACCTCTCTTCATTTGAATTTTTATTATCACAGGTACCCTTTAATTTTTAACACATAAACTGCTGCCAAAATCAGCTGATTCTGAGAAAAAAAAGAAAAAAAAAGGCAAAACTGCAAAACTGTCTAGTCTGTCAATCTGTGAGAGTTCAGCTTTAGGACGAATGATTTCATAATATTAATTGATGAGTACATAAAAACAAAATGTACAAAAATGTCCAAAGAAATGGTTATAAAATCAAATGAATTGTTTGTCATATAAGATATTGATAAAAAAAAATTTCTACATTCTCAGTGGTGTTTGTATTAAGGTATAAAACTTTTTTGTTTTAAATGAGTAAGATCTGCTATACATTTCCAATATCATGAACGCTATAATTAAAGAAAACTACTAAAAAGGAATCTTCAGCCAAACATGCAATATTCATTTTATAACCATTTCTTGGGACCATTTTTGTACATTTTATTTTTATGTACTCATCAATTAATATTATGAAATCATTCGTCCCTAAAGCTACACCACGGTGCATATCTATATCGGTACCCTCTTTGCGAAATCTGCTCAAACGGTACCCTCTTTACACATGCACAGGTCATTCTCTGCTAAAAAAAAACCAGCGATGGATAACAATCCAGTAAAATTTCAATGTAATAAGGAAAGGGGTTTGACACGTACAAAAGATATATACCACGGAACACTAAAATGTTTTATTTTATGTGCTGATTTGTCATGTGCCCGTTTTTCATGTACTGCAACTTCACAATAAGCTACAAAAAATCGACATGTCTTGCCTCGCCCATCAACTCGCTGCAATGAACCGTGGGCTTTGATTATATATGCATTATACATATTTAATATGTTCATTTACATATCATCTTCGGACAAATGCCAGTATATTGTCAAAAATAAATGTAAAATTCATAAAAACACCCTACTTCGGTTTTGCAGGGTACCCTCATGGCACAACATATGATTTTATTTGCGTTAATCGTTACATAGGTATGTAATATTTCTTACTTTTATGTAAATATTACATACTTAACGATTAACGCAAATAAAAGCATATGTCGTGCCTTGTGGGTACGTATGTGTTAAAAAATGAGAGGGTACCCGTGATATAAAAATTCAAATGAAGAGAGGTAGCCCGTGCCGCTGCAAAAGAAAAAAAAGGCAAAACTGTCTAGTCTGACAGACTATAGACAGTTTTGACATTTTATTTTATTTTTTTTCTCAGAATCAGCTGATTTTGGCAGCAGTTTCTTCAGTTTTAAGCTGACACTGTGAACAAGAACCTGGGCCGTATTCATAAAGCATCTTAGTGAATAATTTCAACTTAGTGAAAAAAGACATTTTTTGGACAAGTTGAATTAAAAAAATCTAACGTGTGTACAAAATTTGTTTGAAAATAGGCAAGAAAATGTCCTAATTAATAAAAACACATTAAAAATGTTGTGGATGGTCACAGGTATTGGAAATAAGCCATGTCTAAATTTAAGAACTTTTCAAGAGTATGAAATATTTTAATAAGAAGTTTTTTATGGCCAAAGCACTTTGAACAATGTTGAACAACTGTACTATTTTATAATTATTTTGTTGATGAAAAAAAAAATAATTCTAAAACCATTGATTTGGAAATGTGCAACTTGTCATTGTCAGCTGGAAATATAATTTGACCTACAGAGTTTCATTAATAAATATAAAAATTGGTTAAATCATTTTGTATATTTTCTCCATGAGTGCAAATGGAAATTTTAAAACAAAGGGACGTAACTTGGTAAACTGAATCCGAACCGCAATACGGACTTTACCGAGAATATAACTGTAGCGCCACCTGTTAGCATAATTTGGGTATCACATATTATTACACCAGATCTCGCGTTGTATTATGCTTGCTGCATTCGGCTTTCGGCTATGCGCATTCTACCTTATGACATTCGTCATTCAAGCTGAGTAAATAGACCCAATTACAAACAGTTGCAGGTTAATTTATTGAATTAATATACCAGATCAACAAATGAATAATAATTGATCGTTATATAACGACATCAACATAAAATTAAGCAAGTCGCACACAGCAAAAGCATAATGTGCATGTAAGAAAGCAACATGTAAAAGTCAGAATGCAAGATGTATATGTCAGAATGCATAATGTACAAGTTAGAAAGCACGATGTACAAGTTAGAAAGCACGATGTAACGTAAGAAAGCAAGATGTAATTTTGGCATAAATCACCCTCCATATGTAACACACTTACTTTTAAAGTTGTAACTTTTACTAAAAATAATTTGTTTGCACCCCAACCACCAAATTAGCTGAAAAAAAAACACTAAAAAATACTGTTATTTCCAAAGTAAATGTGTTCCAGTTACAAAATGAATGTCAATATGGTGATTCATACATAAAACAGCGGACATTAAAATATGAAAAGACACACTGTTTTGGCAACTAAAAATCATTATCCTCAATTACTTTCAAGATTTAACAAATACAAATTTCAAACTGAGGTCCTTATAGGTTCGTATAGGTTCGCATTACCTCTATCTACTTACAAATTATGTTTAAGAAATATTTTTAATAATATGTTGAATAAAATTTTTATATTCAACAACGAAATACAACTGATAATCATTTACGATGAAAATTATATTCTGTTAAACTTTTGTCATATATTTTTATCTTCGTCATGTTTTGTTTCCAAATTAATTTTAATGTACATTTCTATACTTTTAACAAAGTGATAGCAATTAAAATATGAAACATTTCAAAGTCTAAGTATTATTTTTTTTACTTTAAATATGTTTGATATTCTGTCCCAGAACAATATTTGATAATGAAAATAACTGTGATATTTACTACTAAAGACGCTCTTAAGATTTATTTGGTTTCCGTATTGTGGGGGAAAGTGTACAGGTTCTTTGCTCGGAATTTTGAAACCATTACTTGTCAGCACCACAGCTACTTCTTTGATATCATCTATGTTACAAACAGACGCTTGTTTCTCCATTTGCTCTTTTATGTAGACCAGGTACGATATCAGCACTCCCGGTTCTTTTGTCTTAAAAATGTAATGAATGCATGAATGACATTGTGCTATAGAAAAACTTGAATTATGTCTTAGAAGACAGTGTAACTAAGATGAAATCTATATGAAAGGTGATAGAAATACAACGATATACATAGTGAAGAAAAATGACGTATACAATGGCTATTAATTATTTAGTAAAAATTTAAATGTTTTTACTAGATAAGTACTGCATATTGTTATCTTACTTTCCATAGGTCGGTCTTCAGAATTGGTAATATATGATGATTGATAACATCAAAGGGAGACAACTGTTTTATTCCTATTCGCAACAAGAGTTTATGAACCTGACTGTTAACCTCATCATCGCCTGTTTTCAACAACATCGGATGAATGCTCTTGATGTCTTTTTGCAAGTAAACAAGCGGATCTGAAAAAAGTAAGTAAGATGTTTTGAAGAGCAAAATACCATTACTAATAAGCATCATTAACTAATTAGGCAATAACACCTGATTCATCTGATCATTACTGATATGTTTCCCTTCCTATAAAATAAATAAGCAGGGAATTATTGAAAAAATGTAATCCAAGCATGTCTATCAGACATTCGCCTTTCTAATGTACAAGTATACTTAAATTTTGAAGACTGGTTTCCGTGTATTATCAGATATACTTATAAATATTCTATAAATATTCTGTGCTCAATATTTCATAAGAAAAAGATTTACATGTATATAAAATAAGACAAATAACCATGATGAATGGCTGACTGAAACATATGCTTCATTCAGCATTGTTTTTGTTTTATGCTGAGTTAGCACAAAACGAACCTTTTCCACTCTGTGTCTTGCTGTTTGAGACTGTCAATGGATAAAACACCGTTTTATCTTGCAGTGAAATTAGTTCTCCATCAGAGAGTGGTAACATTCGCTGTGACTTCAACAATGTCAATATCTTGTCGTCTTGTTGAAACTCGTCTAAGCTACGGTACAAACATGCCATCCACTTTGATATCAGCACCACGTCCTCATTCTTACCTATTGAACAATTCATAATATTATTTAAACATTTCCAAAAAATATAAATATTTAAATATCTTACTTTATGTAGTTCTTATCATTATAAATCTCTGATACATGTGAAATAAGTTCAATTTTTCATTTTCTTTAATGACATGTCCTTAACTTAAACGTGTTTGAAATTACTTGGCGCTATTTCAACTAACATGTTTGCTTAATCTTTTTAATCTTTATCTTTTAAACAATATAATGTATCACATATTTGAACATACTGCAGTGTGTGTCCATTTGAAAAATGATAGCCTTTCCCAGTTGGAACAAATGATCAGATGTAAGTGTCTCGATGCCAAGACAAGAGGTCAATGCAGGATTCAACTTTGATGCAACATCGTCATGTAAATAAAACAAGTCAAGGTGTTCCTCTAGTAAAGAAGCTGTGACAACACTCCGAACAAGCGGATCCCGCACCCTTACTGTCTGCGATGGCATCTTCCAACTAATCAGTCCTGATTATATACACAAAGATTATGTAACATAATAACACAGTTACGTAAATACGATTATTCATATTTTAAAAGTTTGAAAAATGGAAATAAAGAAATCAGCGTTTTTTACTTACCATAGAAACATGCACATGCATATAGAAACATTTAATTGAAAGAACTACAATGGAAACTGTCAGTTAATTGGTTTTATTTGTATCACCAAATTCTATATTTTATAGGTTTCATTTTGGTATTCAAACGAATCAACAGACTTATGTTCATTCAAGACATTCTTTTGAAGTTAATTTGTAGCACGGAAATGTGGTGAACATAATGTATATACGTTATTAACTTTATCATTTATTATTTTTTTTACTGGGTTTTACGTCACATCGACACAGTATAGGTCATATTGCGACGTTCCAGCTTTACTGGTGGAGGAAGACCTCAGGTGCCCTTCCGTGCATTACTAGTATTTAGGCACGAACAGACACATGAGTAGAACCACCGACGTTCCGTAAGCTAGATGGATAGCTTCCTCACATGAAAGAATCCAAAGTCCCTGTAGGGATTCGAACCCACATCGGTGAGGGGCAAGTGGTTTGAAGTCAACGACCTTAAACACTCGGCCACGGACGCCCCAATTATTATTTATAATACGTTATTTGTGCACACGTGTACCTTCGTTGTTCGGCTGGGTAGGAATACAATGATTTGCCTTCAGTTTCTTTAAGATATCTGCAGCAACCGGTTTAAAGAACTCAAGAACCTCATCTTCCATTGGAACAAACTGTAGAAAACCACAGACCGCGTCCATTGTAGTGAATTCAGGAAATTCCTGTAAGTTAAATGCGTGTTCCAAATAAAAACATTGAGAAATAAATACTTCAAGCATTACTTATCCATAATGCAGTAACTACACATGAATAAAAAAGCTTATTTAAAAATCAAGAGGAACATACATATGTCAGTTTAATTAGATCTAACTGGTCATATAATACATTTTAAATTATCAAATACTTAGAATAAAATTAGCATTTAAATAGGATTGGACGTTGGTCAGTCAGCCAACATTTTATTTTCTTGTCAAAAAGGCATTTTATATCATTATGTCTGTATATAGAACAATAAATAATGTTTTAGAAAATAAACATTAAATTTCTTGTTGAACGCACCTTAAAATTATCCAAACACTCTATAAAGACATTGTGTATTTCATTCCTCAACCATTGGTTCCAAGAACTATCTCTGTCTACATCTTCACGACTAGAGGGCACATCAAAATCACCTAGCGGACAGATATACAATGATGTTTGTTGTATGTTGAATGAATGAACTATCAAATAAATTACCGTATGCATAAAGAAGCGGCGGCATAACGTAGCCAAGTGCATATGTTTTGAAATAATTAAAATGTATTTATTTATAAACAATAAATTAGAATATTCAAAACACTAGAATGTCATCACTTCCTAATGATAATTGACTGGAAAATGTGTTTTATAAAAAATGGTCACTTTATAATTATTTTTTTTTTAAGATTAACGACATTTCAGTAATTAAGTCTCCAAACAAAAAATACTAAAATATTTTCTAATTGACATTCTAAATACCATAATTATTGTCAGGCTAAATAATTTCAACAAAATAAAAAAAAAAACTATAATTGGTTACCTTGAATAATGAATCGGAATCCATAACTCCTTAGAGGCAAGAAAGCAAATATCGGTTGCTTAGGAGGCATCCTCTGAAAACCATTTATTACATAGTAATAGTAGTAATAGTAAAATAATATAAATTCAAATGGATACAGAATCCCTAACACAGCTCAGAAAGGGATTTCTTAGATTTTTCTTTGTTGTTAATGAATTTTAAAAATTGTCACGAAGAAGTAACCACCAGTCTTACAAGCCATAAAAAGTTACTTTACTTTTATCAAGTAAGTTACACACAAACTTGGTCGCAATGTTGCATACACGTTGATCTTAACTAGAAGAGTTAATTTTAGATAGTATTGTGTCGCTTGTATGCAATATTGAATATCTTTAAGACATATTAACGAATAATTCGCTCCTAGTAGGTATCTCGCCAATCAATGTTTTTAACATCACTCTAGCTGTGCAGACAAAAGGAGAAGTAAGCTAAGTATTTTCCATTTGGTAGAGCTTTAGTACTTTAAGAAAAGTTTTCTTTTTAAGTTTGAAGTATGTTAAATGTTATAACTGTTACACAAATGAAGAATATATGATGCGTCATCTTCTAACTACAATAAATATAATCATGATTTACTTAGATTTGTTCATACTATGCCAATCTAGAGAAATGATAGACATTTTCAGGGCATATCTACTACTAGAGTTTGCGTATTTGGTTTGACAAAAATACATGGGGGGAATAAAGGAATTAAATTATTTAAACTGAAACAGTCAGATTCACCTGCACAATAGTCTTCTTGCCATGCTTGCTAATTGGGAAAGCTAATGCTATTTCAGTTGATTCTACATCAGCACCTGACTTTGCCTGTATCGAAATTTTACTTGCATCCAGCATTTTCTTTATAACTAACCACCTTTCAACACCATGTGAATGCTGGATTTCGACAACATTATTTCCAATGTCGCGCCTTCTCATAGTTTGTACACTGTTTTCAACCTGAAAATGAAATAAGGCTGTTGTTGATGTTTAACACATTGGTTACATTGCACGCATCAACTGATTTTGTAGAAAAAAAGTACGTTGCTTTCAGTTCTTATTTTGTTTAACACAACGACGTATTTTAATTAAGACCATTTTAAATCCGGTACTGGAAATATCTTTGTTGCAATCTTTGCTGATTTTTGTTTTTTGTTTACGTACGAATCTATATTTATAGGTATAAGGAAGCTTTGTGTAAACAAATAAACGATTGGAACAATGCTTTACATGATTTCTTATGAATACGCTTTTCACTCATACCTTGTTTTCTACAGTAATATGTCTAAGTCTGTGTAGAAACAATAGCAAAGAAGGGTGTATATCATGAAATCTTGCAGCCAGGGTTCGAGTTTGCAGTTGCATGTCAGGTTTCAATCTCAATATTATTTCGGTCATCCATCTTAAACAAGAAACAAAAACGAAAATAAATCCTCTTCTAGTGTAAAGCAGCTCTATCTTTTTAATTAAGAAGTTTGAAATCCTTCAGGTTTCAAATATTTGACAAGCTTAAGTGATTAAACAAAAATAATTATCGAAATCATTAAATGTAAAGATTAAAAAGAGCAAGCTAAAAGTGCAAAAACCAGAACATTTGTGTCTCACAGAACTTCCGTGGAAATGTTTAGAAATGCTTAAAATTTTATACTTATTTGTACCGTACAGATTTGGCATTCTCATACGAACGTGCAAAATTGATCAGGCAGCTTCCAAAATGATTGATGTTTTATGGTACACAGACATTTCCCATTTTCATTTAATGCATTTCGAAGACATAACTTGAATATATTCAACCACTTTTACATTATATCTTCAACCACTACTAGTACACACAATATATATAAAGTAATGTATAATAATATTGCAAACTCCTCGCAGCGGTTACTTCCCCTGATCTGTACAGTAACCACTGCCACCACAAGTAAATTCGGTCGAATATAGCCGGATATATTTTTTTCACTTTTAATTTTAAAATAGAATACTTTATTTCATTTTAGTTTTCTTTCGTTAAATAGTTATGCTTAATGTACAAGAAAGTAAAAAAATATACGTATAAAAATTATTTTGTAAACATAACGAAAGATATTTTCACTGTGACACCGTATGCATAGTAAACAATGGCAGAATATAAACAGTTATTGAAAGATTGCACAAAAATATTTGATCCGGCACTTGTTTTAAAGTGATAACAAATTGTGTGTCTTGAACATATTTTGTCTGGTAAGGATGTAATTATAAATCTGCCAGTTTGATATGGGATCCTTGGCGTTCTGAAACTAGCCGCCATGTTTTTGTCACATGATACAACTATCATCACGTGATTTCAGTGGTGGCAGTGGTTAAAGTAGCAAAGCGTGACGTAACCGCTGTGAGGAGTTTGATAATATTGATGTATGTTTTATATTTATAAACGACTAACTCATTTTGCTCCAATCTCTCTTTATCCGGAACCCAATGTGGCAGTATATATCCCATAGGCCCACTGTTGACATCAAACTTTATGTGAAAACCATTCGAATGTACCTCTGGCGCATCAGTTATTCTAAAAACTGACTTGAAACCAATACCTTTTTGTCCTGTAAAATAGATTTCACGAGTAAAATTTATATTTTCAGTGATTAACAATTGTCAAATTATTCAATCTTTTTTTTTTAAACTAAAATTGCTTTAATTGGTCTGGTGCCAATTCATAATTTGTATAAATAGGAATAACTCTTAGGTAAGAGGCTTACTAGGACTTTATAACTTCTATGTAGGACTTTATTACTCCTACGCACGAAATTTAAAAAAAAATTCTAATGAGGATTTTGTAAATAGGAGAAAGACAAAACCTAATATTCTACATGGGAGGTAACAAGACTTATTAATTAGGAATTATAAACTATTGATTACACTTTTTATCTCCTACGAGTTAGGAGTTACATAGTCCTAATTAATTATAAATGCTGATTATCATTATGTATCATTTCATACCAATGTATCCAAATTTATGTTTTCCTTTTGTACTTCTTCCAACATCACAAAGAGCTTTGATATCTTTCTCTCTAAATCCTTGCTCATTATTTAGAACAGATATCTTATCTTTCTCTATCACAAACTTCACTGAGGGACATTCTTCAGAGTCATTTGCGAGTAATTGTTCCGAGTAATTATTGTCATCTGCATTCTGAACTAATTCTAGAACGAAGTGTGTATCTTTACTGTAGAGATCCTTCGACAGCCGATCTAAACTCCGACCAAGTCGTTCTTGTTGTACCTTAAGACAATTGTTAAATAAAGATTAGAATGATAAATAAAACATGTATAAGTTCAAATGTATGTAAAACTACTTCTACTTCTAAAACAATTTCTAATAATTTAATTTCTCTTTTTTAATGAGTTTTCCATCGTACCAACACTGTAACGGTCATGGGCAACAATCCAGCTTAAGTGTAAACATATTTTATTTCTCAGAATATATATACATGTACATGTTACAATTTACAATATACTTTTCTTATAAAAGAGGATTAGAATGAAAGACAACGTGTCTTATGAATTTCTACTCCTAATCCAGCTTTACCAGTGTAGAAAGGCCTCATGTGCCTCTCCGTGCATTATTTCAGGTACGGACAGGCACATGAGTAAAATCACCAGCTCACCTTCATTAGTCTTCTCCCGTCTTCACTAAGCTGAATGCCAACGCCAAATTCGTCTCTGCGTATCTGATTAATAATCAACTCACATGAAGTTATTTCATCATTTTCGACTTCCTTAATTAAGTTCTGGTCCTCTTTACCTGTAGATAATAACAGTAATTATTGCAATGTAATCATACTTGTCCAAGAATGACAATTATACATGAAAGAAGTTATGTATTTATCTTATATTAATTACATTCCGATAAATATACATGTATAAACATATACTTATACGTAACATACTTTCTTCAGATTGGGCAGTTTCTTCAGGCTCTTTTGTGAGAATGTCTGTGTCAGTCTTCTCGTTTTCATCATCTGTGACTCTAGCTTTATGTTCGACTAAATCACCAGCCAAGATTTCATCAACATCTTCAGTATCTGAATCAGTTTCCACATATAGTTCATTAAATTCTTCTTCCTGAAACAAAAGCGCTTCATTGACAACTTGACATCAATCTAAATGCACAGTCTCCAATTTTGCCGTGTTATTCAACCTTCAGAGTTTCTATTCATGACTTTTGCTATGGTATGGCTATATTTTGTTGGTTTTTTTATCATCAGAGCTTCATTTGTTTCTCGATCAATGAATAATTAGTTAATACATTCATACATGTATATTACAATCAATTGAAAAAAATGATCAAAAAAGGAATGCAAAATATTAATCAGTTTGCTTTGCTGCGAATATCAAATCTAGCTTTATACCGAATACTTCAAATTTCATCACCTGATATTGGTCATTTTCAAAGAATTCCTTAGCTTCGGATGGGAGAATTTGTACAGCAGTATCTGGTAACTGGCACTTTCTTTGTATGACATCTGTCCATTCTTGAATTCCAAGTGAACATCCGAGCTGAACTAGCTGACTGAGTTCTGTCTCGGATCTGCACAACTGTATAAGAATTTGTTTAGACTTGCTTGAACCCAAAACCTGTCCCAATGGTTCAAGGAATATCTGGTTGGCCAATGAGACACATATTTTTGCAGGGATACGTAAAAGGCATTGCAGTACAAATAAACCTACAGTCTTCTCACTTGAAATGCAGACTAGAAACAAAGAGAATGTAAAATAATGATTCAAAATATTTGAATCTTAGGAAGGAAAGCAACAACAAAAACCTGACAATCTTTTTAAAATAAGGATACTGAAAACTTCCTGATAAAACTATGCATGGACCTGAAAACCTAAAAGATTTATATTTAATTAAAGTTTTGCTCAACTCTTATATAAGCTTTACTCATCTACGTTTTAATCATAAACCAAATTGAATTAACATCACTTGTAAAAAGTTCCCGATGAAAAAAAACCAGGAAATACATAAATACAATAACAACAAACCGTGAGATCTCTTTAATAAATAATAAGATTGAACAACAATTAAGGTTAGAAAAACATTCAACTTGGACTGAAACAAACCTCCTGCTTCTTGTATTGGTTCTTGAGCGTGCATCTGTATAAGTTCGTTGTGAATATGTCTGGCAATCAAGGCAAGTGGCATATTCTCAATGCCTTTGTATGCAACAACCATGGAAACTAAATGACCTGTCATAGCAAAAACATCACGACTCTTTAAAGCAAAGGTGACATTTTCCAACGATGTTGAAGAAACTATTTTAACAAGTTCCCCAGGTTTTGTCTCCAATACCAAGAAGTCAAACGTTACAATTCTCCCACCTGCAAAGCAAATAAATGATATATGTCTATATTTAAGAATAAAGATGTGTGCAATTAGTATGTTGCATATGAATACAACGATTGCACGACAAGAAATCTAACGTGCAATGTAATTTGAAAGTCTATCTGATATAAGCGTAATCTGTTATCTAAATGATTTGTTGTCTCATCGCTAGAATCGTTTGCAAATCCATTTACCTTCGTAATATGCTACAAAGCATGTTGCTGGAAATGGAAAGATAAGTTACTTAGAATTCATACTATCGTGTAATATGTTAAGGTTTTTACCGTTCAGTGTTTTTGTAGATAAACCTCCGTATTTTTGCACAAACGGTTTCAGCTTGCCAAGTTCAGGCTCAAACACAAGACTCCAATGGCTCCAATCTGCCAGGTTCTCCAGTAGGGGGCAGTTGTGAAGACACGTTTTTGCATCATCTTTGGTCTGATGTCCCAATATTCCTACCTTTGCTTTCGAAAATTGTGATAATCTGGAATAATGTTTTTACACAGTTAAGTACATTTTTTTGTATTTAGGTATTAAATAATATTCATATTCAAAATTGACCAAATCTATTTACTTAATATTCTTTATATGCTTGTCCCCACACTTTTTTGTACTGTTTATCGTCATTTTTCCTATTATCTTTCCTTCAACCCTATGACCATGTCTATTTCTTTCTGTCGGCTTTTTCGTTTTAATCTTGTTTCTTCCTTTAAAGTCTGCGCTTCTTCTTGGTCAATATTCCCATATATCCTAGAATAACTACATGCTGTTCAAATACTTAATACTTTAGAAACCCCTATTAATACAAACAGTGAAATGAATGTAAATGGTGCAAAGGGTACCTTACCCAACATTCTGAACTAGTGCCGATTCGTAGTATACTGAGAATTGGTCCACTATATGTTTGCCGTGTTTTTCCGCATAATTCAGTAGTCTTGCTATACTACCATGTCCAAGGTCTCGCACGTTCTTCACGCAATAATGTGATAACAACACTTCTTCTACTTGATCATGCTTTATCCAAAAAAGGAGAAACTTAACTTACTTTTTTTAAAAAATCACATAACTCAAGTATAATATGATAATTATAACAAAATGCGTTGCACAATGGATTTTTTTTATATAAATTAAAGACACTATATGCCATATCAAATTATACCAACACATTCATGTATAAACTGTTTTCTGAAGATATAACAGATGGAAGAAAATTACGTACTGACTTAAGATTACTACGAAGACTTAAATAAAGCTTTATTTAGTCATTACATGATTATATCGCTAGAAGACGTACTTGGATTTCCTTCTGTTGTCTGCACTGGGCAATGAATTCCATCAAATCCATTTGGTTTGGTTTGAATGATGTATCGCTCTCACCAACTCCAGATCCAATACCAAGATTAAGACCAACACTTTCTTCGATGAGCTATAAATGATTTACACGAGTTATTGTTTTTTTTATTTGTTAAACATTTTATTCTTATTACGTACGCAGTTCAAATCATAAGATATTCTTTGTTACAAATATTCCAAAGAACGACCATAAGGTAGTGAAAACAATAAGCTTAATTTTTAAAATTCGTATGAAATATTCATTACATATAGCTTGATATATAACATTATAAGAGTCGCGTGACTTTGCTTTTATTATTGTGTTAAAATATGTAAAACAGCCGTAGAATAAGAAACGGAATTGTCAATCGGTGTCGAGTCTTCCATGAAAACCTGACCTGTTTGGTTTCTTCTAGCAGCAGAAATTCCAGGAATCTTCCGTATCCCATCATGTTAAAGTCAACAAATCCAAAATCGTCCAGCATTCTCTCTTCAATACGGTTCAAATGCGTTAAACTTAGTGCACCGGCATTCAAACACCGTTCAATATATTTCTTCAGCGATTCAACCAACGCAACTGTCAAAAAAATCCTTATTAGTTTTAAAAATTTTATAACCTTTTCTAGTAAAATTTAGCTACACAATTATTAAGTCGGTAACTATTTTGGTTAAATAAGACAATAGTTTTGCGCAAACAATTTCTGACAATTCTTTCAAAAAAAACAAAAAAAACGGGATATTTTTTTTCATTTACATTGAAAAGCTGCTAAATATCGGGATATTTTACACAAATAATAACGATATTTTTGTAATTTTTATATACGTTTATCGGGGAGATTTGTGATAGAAAGTCCAATACCTTTCTTACATGGGTAACCTGTATGTATATAAGATTCGTTACCTTTTTGAGGAGGAGGTTTATGGTGCACCTGTTCCTGTGTTGTGCCACCAGTTTCATTATCAGTTGTGAAAAACATCTGTGCCACAGCTTGTTCAACGTCTGTGTTTGACATGCATATCGCAAGGTGCAGAATGTTTTTACCTAAGTCGTCTTCTTTCATCAGAGTCAAGAAATCCTTAATAGTAATTAATTTAAAGGTGGTTTTTTTGTATTATGTACGAACAGCAAAATTCAATTTTATTATGTACATTTTTTGGGGGATCATTAAACATTATACGAGTAAGAAAATGTCAAATATACAGATAAAATACCTATATAAAGTAACTTATAATGATTAACATTAAATCATTTTTTTTCAGTTCAACATAAAGAGTACATACTTTATGTTATATCAAAAGGAAAGACGGGGCGTCCGTGGCCGAGTGGTTAAGGTCGTTGATTTCAAATCACTTGTCCCTCACCGCTGTGGGTTCGAATCCCGACAGGGACTTTGGATTCTTTCATGTGAGGTAGCTATCCAGCTAGCTAAAGGAACGTCGATGGTTCTACTCAGGTGCCCGTTTGTGCGGAAGGGCACCTGAGGTCTTCCTCCACCAGTAAAGCTGGAACGTCGCGATATGACCTATACTGTGACGATGTGGCGTACATGTAAACCCCTCCCTCCCCCCCCCCCCCCCCCAAAAAAAAAAAAAAAAAGGAAAATAATGGAAAGACAAATTCATTTCATATTCAATTCAATTCAAACAGGACTCTTTATTGTAGAAAAATACCTACACCTTAATCAGAATACTAGATTTTACATGATTATATAAAAACGATTTTTTACAAGATTAATTATATACCTCAATAACACGTCTAAATTTTGGGAGTTTTGTAATTCTCCTATCCTGTGTGACTGTAAGAAGGAAATTGAACTTGTCAAATACTTCTTGTATTGTTAGCTCGGGTTTCATCTTCATATAATGTGTGCGTACTTTCAAGCCAGTATCGTCTCCACTGTGTAAAATGTGCATTCGAAATTTCCTACAATTATTATCAAAGCAAATAAAACATTTTTCGAAAACACTCAATTTTGATTCAAGAGTATTTTTATATTCTTAACAAAAACTGAAGTCTAAAGTCAAGTACTACATCTATCAAGATGATTTTCTGGATAAACAAACACTTGAACATAAACAGTTTATGTCTTTAAACATAAACGACAAATAACCACTTCAAATATTGCGTTTACGTATATTTTCTTGTTCTTTATTATCATGTTAATTAATGTAGTGAGTCTTTTATACAATATAAAGGGTTTTTCCTGCTAAAAAATGCATGAACTAAAATTCTTTTTTTTTCATTTGATACCTGAATGCTTCTTCAATATCTGCCTTCAAATTTTCTTCAAAATGATCTTTGATAGTCCTGTGACAAGCTGCTGAATCTCGTTTGGCTTTCTTTAAGACCTACATTTGATAATAGTATTGCAATTCTAATTGTATTTACCCTTTCTTTGTTTCAGAAAACAAAATCATTATCGTTAAATAATTGGTAATTGGTCTTAAATTTACAAGTTAATATAAGAAAAAAAGGATTAATTTATTTATATATGTACATATAATATGCGTACGTGTAGTATATCTTTCTATAAACTTTTGTTGAAAAATGGTACATTGTCAAAAAAAAGTTTAGGAACATATTAACTTACTCCGATTGTGAGCGGAAGAGACCTTATTCTGACTCCGAGCATGTATGCATTATCAGCACTGTATTCTTGTACCAAATAGTTCATAAACGATTCTAGTTCTAACTTGCTGTTAACCCAAAGTCTATTCTTTGTAAGATAATTGTTGAAATGTTCAAGAATATCCATACTCGTTATTTCAGGAATAATTGCTTGATCTGGCGGAAACCTGAACTGCTGGTATACAACCGGAAATCTTTGCAATGGTCCGGTTTTCAGTGTGTTGAAGTCATCTTTATCGGGCGCATAATCTCGCAGAGCTTCCTTCAGCTCGAAAAGCGTACATATTGATCTTGTTTTCAGAAAAGCTGTTATATAAGCATTGATTTTGCTCACAAGTCGGATTAATTCCCTAACACACGGAATATGATCCACGTGGTTGAATCCAAGTTCATAGATAAAGTTACATCGAAATCTTTGGAAGAGAAGTTGTTCTACTCTTTCAGGAGTAGCAAACTCGTTTGCATCTGCCAATATTTCAATACATTCTTTGGCAATACTGTCCACTTGTTCATTTGAGGGCTTTTTGTCCGGTGGGACATACACAGGTCTAACATCTATTATCTTTGTCTCAAACTCTTTTTTCTCTATAGGAGTTACTGTAAAGTCTCTAACATCATCTGCATGTGGCTGCCAGTTGTTGAGATCTGAAATAGACATCATAAGCTGGCTAGTAACTGATGTATGTCTAGCCTCGTGGTTTATCAAGGTTTTCTTTGTTTCATCAGCTAAACTTCTGTGACTCGTGAAACTGGGAAAGTTCGGTACATCATTCTCTATTGAATCAACTGATCTTCTTTCCGTTTCCTGTCTTCCTTGGATAGGTGTAGGGAAAGGAACTGTCATTTGATTTCCAGAATTTGGAAGATTATAGCTGGATGACGGTATTTGACGCATTTGATTTAAGCCTGGCTGATTATTAACGTGCATCTGCGCAAATTGTGGAGTCATTCCATGAGTAGCAATGCCAGCGTTTCCCAAGTTCGGCCTTTGAATTTGACTGAACAACATTTGTGCATTCATTTGTTGCTGTTTTTGCATGACTTGTTCATTATTAAGAGACCACTGAGGTGACTGCATCAAAGGTGCTGATCCTTTACGCTGTTCTTCCAAATGTTTTTCTGACATCATGTCATTTTGGTGAAATGTTACCTCTCTTTGTTTTTTGTCTGCATTCGAGAACATGGCCAAGTGGTTTCTCATTGACAATGACATTTCATTTTGTTCATAACTTTCTCTGGGAATTTCAGTATTTTTCTTCGATGTCTCTGCTATATGTACCCAGCTTGGTCTTATGCGAGTTTTTGGTGGCTCATCAGGAAGTTTATCGTTACATGCACGCCCACTTTCTCCTAAGAGTTCACTTATTACTGATGCTACATCTTCCATTTCGTCATCTGTATTAGCATCAGAACCTTCCGTTGAATCTGAACTCGAAAAACTCTTAAATATTTCATCGTCAACTTTTTCAAAGTCCACAACGTTTTGATTTACTTCCGTACTTCCTGCACGTGTTTGTGTAGAGGAAAAAGCTGTATATGCTTGATCATGTTCAAGTCTGTCATGAATATATTTACGATCTTTTTGATGGTCTTGTTCCATAGATGTCTTTTGTTCTAATGGTACTTCTGGTTTATTAATGAAGCTTGTGGTTGACGAAATGTTTTGGACATTCGGTGTGAGACATGTTTGGGTAGGATTTAGCCGCTCGATAGGTTGTCTTTCAGCTTCGTTCCTTAAATTTAGCATGGGAAAAGGCATTGTCATTTGATTTACTGAATGTTGAGGTATTGGTGGTTGCAGCCGATAAGGCATTCCTAAATAATGTGGTGGAGCCAAACCTGGAAAATTTACGAACTGTGGAGCATAACCTCTGGGGACAGATAAAGGCATTTGCATTTGATTCGTCCATGCTGGAGTTGGTCCGCTTTTACATTGGTCTGATTTGGATACAGAATCCGGACTTAATGAAGACGAACGTTCTGATGATGATCCTGTCTCTGAATGACTCGGTGTGTCTGCAATAGGTGGACTTTTTGCTTTTGATTCATCACAAACTAAAGACGAGATCGATGTAGGTGTTTCACATTGTCTTTCACTAGTCGATTGTGCTTCACGCAACCCATGATTGTGATGTTGTTTAACTTCATTGTTACTAGATGAAGCGTTATTTGCACCAGAAACTCCGATTCCGACTTGGCCAGGAAGGGGCATTGGTAGCCTGTATGTGAGTGGCATTCCGGCAAACGTCATCCCAAGCTGTCCAAATGTCGGCATCATTAATCCTTGCTGATTATATCCTGGCATATTCGCAAATGGTGGACCTATTCCAGTAGGAGGGAAGCCAAAGAGACCAAGATTTGGCCTTTGTATACCGGGCATCGGCATGAATTGCATTTGCGCATTTAACTGAGGTTGTGCAGGTTTTTGAATGACTGGTTCGTTATCTGGCGTTTCTTCGGGTTGCTTCATAATAGGTCTTGACACTTGATCCGGCTCCTTCAAATTACTACGCGGTAAGACACCTTCATTGTGAAAAGAAAATTCATCTTTTTCTTCGTCTGCAAACAAAATATTTTCATCCAATTGCTCTGTTTCGGTTATAGATCTTCCTTCAGACGAACTTTTGTTTGTTTCTTGGTCAGATAATATGTTTGATGGATTGACAAGGTTTTGGCCAGAAGAGATGCTTTCTTCATTCAACATTAACCCAATGTGAGCAGAACCATCTTCTCCGACTAGAAATAGCTTCTCGGCGTTCAGTGGCCCCTCTGTCCTAATCACATCTGTCCACTGAGCAAATACTCGTCCCATTTTTGACAGTCCATAATCCTTTGCACTGACTACTAGTCCTGTCTCTTTCAGAACTATTGACCAAATGTCGTTTTTCGGTATGCCTCCAGGATGTTTCTTTAAAATTCGAATCACGACATTCTTCAGTTTTTCAATTTTTGACCCATAATGCTCCTTAGTCCCTTCCTTTAACTTCTTTTTGTCTGAATAGAGAAAAAAACATGTAACATAAACAGGCTCAATCAAACCGAGCCTGCAACATTTTCAATTTTGTCGTTTTGGGCTTTCTTTAGGGGTTCTTATTTTCTCTTTTCTATTTCAAAAATAAGAGAGAAAAATTTTAAACTACATGTTAAATATAGTTAGTCATTACTTGAATGCTTATCTATAGTCAGACCTCATGCATGTGTTTAAAATATGTGTGTTTTTAATTTAAGTAATGGTGAATATCATTTACTTACCACGCTGTTTTTTATTCTGAAAGAAAAAAAGGAAAAATAAACTTAGGTAATTGTTTGTACTTAACCATCAGCACACGATCAACCACCATTGTTTGAGAAAAAAAATCTTATCTCTATTTGTCATACTATTAGATTCTTGGTACATAAAGGGGATATATGATCTACTTTGAATATAACCATTATTTCAACAGTCATTTATATTTTTTAAGCATTTTAAACAGTGTAATGTTCTTGCCATAGATACATTCTAACCAACTACGTGTAATCTTGGCATCATTCAGATTTTCTAAGACAATAAGCCGAAAAGCTTGTCAAATTTTACGACCATCTCTATTATAAACAGTCATTTATTTTTGAAACAACAGCTTTAAACATTGTATATAACATATTAAATAATTGTGGTAAAATTCAATGTACATTGAAACATCACTCCAGATAAATGGAGATTCAGATATGACCATATACAGAGATATACAGAGATGTACTGCGTGAATTTTGATAAATTTGTTTGTGTTTGTTTGTATAAATCATATTTGTATCTAATGACACCTTATCTATAATAAACGCTTTAAAGGTAAATGATCTTTGTCTATGAGTGAGTGAGTGAGTGGGTTTTGGTGAGTGAGTGAGTGGGATTTTGAGTGAGTGAGTGAATGTGTGAGTGTTTGAAAGGGTGAGTGAGTGACTGAGTGAGTGGGTTTTGGTGAGTGAGTGAGTGGGATTTTGAGTGAGTGAGTAAGTGGGTGGGTTTTGATGAGTGAGTGAGTGGGATTTTGAGTGAGTTAGTGAGTGAGTGAGTGAGTGAGTGAGTTGGTGAGTGAGTGAGTGAGTGAGTGAGTGAGTGAGTGGGATTTTGGATGAGTGAGTGAGTGAGTGAGTGAGTGAGTGTCATTCCAGCATATTTTGATGTATTATATGTGACTTTTATGAATAATATTAACTTTCTTTGAAATACTCTAATCATACCGTTTTCATGATATAAATAAAATCTTTGGTCAAAACTGCATGTCTCCATATGTTTCAATAAAAAACATAATCAATTACAAAAACAATAATTAAAGTGTCAAGTTAAGCAATGTATAATTATTCAGAATCCTACATCATTTTTATGCATGTATGTTACATTGCATCATCACCATAATCATCATTATCCTAATCAATAACAACAACATCATCATCATCATAATCATCATCAACATCATCAATAACAACAACAACAAAAACATCAACATCATCATCATCAACAAATATATTATCATCATCAACAAGAGCAACATAATCATCATCATCATCATCATCAACAAAAACAACAACAACATCATCATCATCAACAACAATAACAACATCAACAACAACAACAACAACAACATTATCATCATCATCATCAACAAATACAACATTATCATCATTATCAACATTACTATCATTTTATCATGTCTATAAAGGTCTGTAAATAGTATGTGGACGCCCGTACATTCACTTGAAGCGAATTTTAATGTAAAGTTTTGCAATTCAAATAAGCACTATTCCATAGTAACCACGGCAAAGACGTTGAGTTTTAGACTGTCAAACTTTCGATTCAGACTGCGTTCTGCGAGGTAATTCAGATCAACCCTTGCTATTTTTGGCGCCAAAACTACAGTACAGTGCACGGACAAACGGAAGGTTACAAGTTGTTGTTTCTTTTAATTTACAACTGACTAGTTCAAAAGTTATTGATGAACTATACTGTTATATAATATTTATGTAAAAGCAGCTCTAGTGTTCCTTAATATTCTTAATGTATAAATCAGAAAGGGTATTATTTATGATATTACGATTTACAGAAAAGAAAAATCTAAATTTAGATCCACTAAATCAGTCAGTCATTTAACTAATGTTAACCTTAGCTGCTAAATTATCTAATATGCTTATATGAGGTATATAAAGTAATATAAGATTTGATAGATGTTATGAACACTCTACATATTAAAATATAATTCAGATTTTTATCACTACAATAACTTACGTTTCCCTCCATTATCTCGTGACATAACTTGTTTACAAACTATCCGTTTTTTCGAAAACAGCTATTACGTAGTAGGCATATCATTGACATTTCCCCATTTAAATGTTGATCAATATCCACCACCGTAAGTTACAACATGAAAAGTTTAAATAAAAGAATTTCAACATGACGGTGTCGCTGTCACAATGTTTATCAGATAATTATCGCACACACTGCTACTAATTAACGTCATTTTATCGTTCAAACTCCAATCAAATCGATAACAGTTTTTTTGTTTTTTGTTCGTTATTATTTTCCGAAAATTATGTATGAAACAATTTTTAAACTTCCTGGATTTTATGGATAAATATGGAACGCCGAATCAACATAAACTCAGTTATCTTTTAAGCTGTTTACATACTTTATGTAAATGCGCGTCACTTGAAATTAAAATACCTTTGCATTAACCTATAGCTCTTAAGCGCTTCTTATGTAAAATTCTTCCAAGTATAAGTAATAGATATACCATTGCTGCGTTGACGATTTCTGGGCTTGCGTAATTTATACCATTTACGCAAGCCCAGAAATCGTCAACGCACCAATGGTGTATCTGTTTTAACCTATAGCTCCGCCCAGAAACACTTACTCCTTCGATCTTCAAAACTGAAAGTTATACCATAGTCTCGGTATGGTATAATTTACGGTTATTGGAAATTATACTTGGAAGAATTTTACATAAGAAGCGCTGAAGAGCTATAGGTTAATTTCCAATAACCGTAAATTATACCATACCCAGACTATGGTATAATTTTCAGTTTTGAAGATCGAAGGAGTAAGTGTTTCTGGGCGGAGCTATAGGTTAAAACAGATACACCATTGGTGCGTTGACGATTTCTGGGTTTGCGTAAATTATACCATAATCACGTGACCTTTCTTATGCAACCTCACTCGACTTCGTCTCGTGAGGTTAAGGCATAAGAAAGGTCACGTGATTATGGTATAATTTACGCAAACCCAGAAATCGTCAACGCAGCAATGGTATATCTATTACTTACACGATTAATACAAGCTGGAAGTGAAGTGTGGGGCTCTATCTTTTTCATTTGTTTGGGTATTATGTCTCGTCGAGACTGCGACTTACCAGCATAACTTGATGGGCAATACCTCAGGAACCCTTCTTGCATTATTCCAAACATGATTGTTATTAGAAGGATTAAAATAAATCCAGTCTGTGTAAATGAACAATCGTAGTTTAATTTACCTATTTCAAAATTATAATTCAAGTTTATCATTCAAGTTTATCATCATTGTTTATTCATTACATCTATCTACAAAAGTATCGACTAAATCACTCAGAAAGTATAGGGAGAACTCTACCATTTCAGTACATGTAGCTGAACTCGGTAATGCCTATTTTGTATCATAGTTTGGAGACCTTTCTGTTGAAAATGTGTCAGGTTTAAATTGTATACATATACATGCACAGTGCGTTAACTGGAGTGCGGGCATTAGTTACCCGCACTCCATGGAGCATGCCCATTGATTGGCTCATTTTTGCTGGGGTTTACATATTGTGACGGCAGAGAAAGGGAAAGCGACAGAAATGTCATATTCAGATGTTCGTTCATTGGTTCATTTATGCCGGGGTTTCATATTGTGACAACAGGGAACGTGCTTTTATGTTTGACTATGATACAAAAGGGAAAGAACACCAAAACACTCGGCAATCTGATTAATAGCTACGCCCCCTCGTACAAATCAGATAGCCTCGTGTTTCGGTGCTCTTTCTATTACTCATTACCCAGTAACCTGCTGTTTTTAATGGAATTGTTGAACTCTTTTAACATTACGCATTACGTTATCAATTATGGGGGGAATCAAGAAGAATATCGGATGTTTCCTAGAACACATTACTCAGTGCTGGTGGGTTCGAGAGTGTGCCTATAAGCTTATATCGGTAGCTCAATACACAATCAAACTAAAATAAATTCTGTATAAACTAACAGTTTAATTAAGGTAGTACACCCCTAATGAACTATCTCCACGTTGAAGAGTATTCAAATAGGCTAGAATCACTGTAAAGTGTATTGAAACTGAGGGGCGTGGGTTCAAACCCCAGAAGGGGCAACTTTTTTTTTTCTTTCTTTTTTTTCTTTTTAACATTTTTTATTAATCTCTAAGATCCCTAATGTACGGAAGAGCATTAGTGCCAGGTGTATGTTTTTTATTTACTCGAAATTTCGACTTAGTAACTCGAAATTTCGAGTTACTAACTCGAAATTTCGACTTACTAACTCGAAATTTAGAGTTACTTATCTCGAAATTTCGAGTTACTAACTCGAAATTTCGACTTGGTAACTCGAAATTTCGACTTACTTACTCGAAATTTCGAGTTACTTATATCGAAATTTCGAGTTACTAACTCGAAATTTCGACTTACTAACCCGAAATTTCGACTTAGTAACTCGAAATTTCGAGTTAGTATCTCGAAATTTCGACTTAGTAACTCGAAATTTCGACTTATTAACATTACAAGAATGGCCAAAGTTATTAGTAAGATGGTATAAGATATAGCAGGGACTGTCGTTGAACGATGGAGATGGAGAAACGGGTGCCTGGACAAAAACTATTGAAATTTAACTTAAACTTAGTAATGGCATGTACACACCCGACATAAAAAATACAAGGCTTCTTTTAATTTGTACGTTCAGGCGTTCTTCAGACGTTGTATTGTATCCCATCTGTTCGAACATATCTTTTCACTAATCATATACTTCTCATCCCTGTAAAAATCAAAGCACAGAAGGCGCTAAATTTGTTTGGGTCTCAGAATGTAAGAAAGGTGCAGGTTGTGAGATTATATGTATAGTGCCACCAATGCTTTCCAGCGTTTTAATTGTAGTAAATTGGCTATAAGACTAATTGCAACACTGATATTCAATCCAATGTTTATTTGACTTTAACAATTTGAAAAAAATGAGTTACCTTTACTGGAATTTGAAGTCCAGACCTCTCGCTTCCTAAGCGAGCCCGAAAACCCTTCAGCCACGGTGAATTTATATGTGAATGGGCTGAAGAAAACCATATTATTCTAAATTAGGGCTTGTAACGACTTTAACTGTTGTTTAACACAGATGTAAATAATCCTGGAGCTTACTATAAGCATTTATATTTATAAAGAATCAAAGGGCTGCAAGTTCTGTGGTATCTTCTGATCTTTGCAATCTAAATCGTACTGTATATCCGTATGCATTTTCCTGTATAGGTTTATTTTTATGTATTATAATTCATTTTGCAAGGCACCAGAGTTTGATACATACGGAATTCTGCATAACTAGAGTTGCATCAAAAAATCATTTATGTTCATTTTTTACGACAGCCACACTTTTCCTTGCATATCATGGCTACTTCCTTAACAAAAACACTTAAAAAAGAATTTAACAAAAAAAAAAAGGTTCCTCGACTGGGATTCGAACTCGAGACCTCTCACGCACTAAGCGAGCGCGTTACCACTGTACCACGGAGAAGCTATACACAGAAAGTCTAAATAATATCAAGTCATTCTAAATTTAGAACTTCCATTGCATTTCGGGTTTGTAATCCTTATTAATTCGAGGTATTTTGTTCAGGGTAAACCTGTTGTTTATAATTGAAGTAAATATTTTAGCGAAAATCCTCTCGCCCAAACAGTGCGACATGTAGAATCTATATATTCCACTACTCGGTTTGTGTAGTATTCGGTAATAAATAGTATTTTTATTGATAAAATCATATTCATCCGCGTAATTTGTGATTGTGCATTTATTGACAATTCTATAAGCCAACACTATTGTTTAACTTTAAATGCGTTGTAATTTGTTGGATACTTGAAACAAAATAAAATATTTCTTTCTTTTAAATCGCTAGTTTTAAGCTGTTTTGAGAACTACTTGTTGTTAGGTTTGTCGTAAACTTCTGTGTCAGAGATTGAATGTCCGCTTTGTATTTAGTTATTTTCGATCAGAAAATACAATAAAACAATATTAGAAATCCTCGACCATTCGGGAATTACTTTGCTTGAAAATTGATGCGCCTGTCTTTGACCATCTTTACGCAGTGATCTCCCCTGAATTTTTCGGCTTTAGTGTACATACAAAAGGGAAGTAACCGCTTCAAAAAAGTGGACTACTTTCGGCATTTGCAATTAACAACATTAGACTCTGAAATTTCGCTACCATTATTTGTTTGGTCTGACGACCCAAACAAATAAAAACGATCCTATACTTCACGTGTGGGACATCTGAGGAAAGTATCGCGTCGTGGCCAAAATAGGGCGTGCTGAGGCCTTTGTCAAAATTGTTGGACTGACTATATTTCTTGTAAAATCGGATGCTTTTATACTACATTTGTATTCCCAACATATATATAACAACAAGTTTCACTTTTATCAACTTTTATCAACACAATATGAATCAAAGTATCAGTAAATAATGAATGATGTTACAAAAACATTATTAGTATAAAGAAACGTGACAGACTAACTGGCGTATACACGCCATTTAAAACTTATTTAACACATGATATTGCACAGTTTACAATAGGGTAGGTTTTGGACTTGTTGTTTCTCCACATGACGGTTGTATGTGTGCTTAAGAAAAAGAAACACCCGGTTAACACGGAAATGTGGAAAATGTGATTTTACAACCCCCTCCCCCCTCCACAAAAAAGCGAAGGATATGTTCAGTATGTGTGGACAATTTGACCCTATTAAATTGTTCTGTTAAATAAATGTTAAAGGTGCTCTCTCAATGTGCAACAGCGACACACGAAAGAAAGTATCTTGAATTACCCGCAACCAATGAAAGTCGTGCAATGTAAGTCGAAATTTCGAGTTACTAAGTCGAAATTTCGAGTTACTAAGTCGAAATTTCGAGATAAGTAACTCGAAATTTCGAGTTAGTATGTCGAAATTTCGAGTTAATAAGTCGAAATTTCGGGTTAGTAAGTCGAAATTTCGAGTTATTTACTCGAAACTTCGAGATAAGTAACTCGAAATTTCGACTTACTAACTCATTTCGTTTAAAAACAATCATGTTGCTTGTTTAATTTGTTACCTAAATGTCATTATTTGTTTCTTAACAATGAGCAATAGGAAAACATTTTTCATAATGATGATATTATAGATTATTTAGAGTTTCCTCATTTCTGAAAAAAAGCCCTTCTAATGGCAAAGTTTTAGTTCAGAAAAATGTCCATAACTCATAAACCACACGGTAAAGTTTGTTTAAATTTTGCATACAGGTGACATTTAAGGCATATAACTGTCCTATGTTGTCAATTTTACAGTTCCTTATAGTGCCCATTAGGGGTGTACTACCTTAAAGCTTGGTCAAGCTGCATGGCTGACCTAGCTGGCTCTATAAGTTTGACAGAGCCTAATCAATTTTGTTATTCACTTAATCGTATAGAAGGATACATTTAGATCTTAATTAGGGAGGGAAAGTTTCATGACGTTTATTACACGAACACCCCGCAAATTATTCAGTAATTACGTTTTGTGGAAATGGTCGAAAATTTATTTGCATATGGCGTTCCATATATATACATTATGTATCGATTAAATTACGTAATCCGTATTCTAAATCACATGCAGGAACTTGTAGGCCGTGTCCTACATTGTTTTATTAAAAGCAAAATAGAAAAGGCCTGCAAACATGTTTTCATTTATTTTGAGAATCTGCTAGAATTTCATTTTTAAAGCAGTATGCATCCAGATTCATGCTTATTTTCACGGTATTGTATAGTAAGAAAAGTACTGTGAACTGAAAAATAAAAATAAAGTAATTTACAAGGCACTTAAAGTCTACAAATTTGCTAGAATTTCATTTTTAAAGCAGCATGCATCCAGATTCATGCTTATTTTCACGAAAGATTTTAGTAAGAAAAGTACTGTGAACTGAAAAATAAAACTAAAGTAATTTAATAAGGCACTTAAAGTCTACAAAATTGCCAAAAATAGGCCAGAATACGCAAAAAAATAGCCCTTACTACGTTAGTCACGCAGTAGACTGCAAAGGCCAATTATGCCTCATAAATATTATCAATTTTATTTCTCAAAACCTTTTTAGCTCACCTGTCACAAAGTGACCGGGGGTCATTGATTTTCCTTATTTGTATATAGTAAAAACTTAAAAATCTTCTTTTAAAGAACCCAAAATATTTAAAAAAAAACAAAATAGTTAGAGCTTAGATATTAAGCATGAAATATCTTGTAGTGGTTGTCTACAAATAAAAGCCCCCCCCCCCCCGGCCCTGCCCCCCCCCCCCCCCCCCCCCCAAAAAAAAAAAAAAAAAATTAGCCTTGGCGCAGGGGCCTATATACAGGTGAGCGATTTCAGGGCCATCATGGCCCTCTTGTTTTATTTTTGATATTAGTGAAAGCTTTCGTCATACTCAAACCGTGGAAATTACATTTCTGGACTACACGGGTAGAGGTATTGTAATGTTAGGTGATATAGTTGCGTTATGCCTTTACTGATACTCACGGGTAGTAAATATTACAAAGCGCAATATCGTACCCATCTTATCAAAAATGTCAACAGAAAAGAAATTAAAGGAAGCGGCGGGGCATATTCAGCAAGCTGAAAAGTGGTAAGGGTATCGTTAACATCATAATTTTGTACAATTCTACGTAAAGGGGTCTATATCTTGTCTCTTTTCATTCTAAAACAATTTGATGGCACCAGGGGCAGGTTACGTTTATCGTCCCATAAAATAATAAAATTATGTTTACGTCGTCATTCAAGTTTTTATGACTTATTGAAGTAACTGATTTTACTGGAAAGCAATTTCAGTCTACCTGAATTTTTCAAAAGGGTTTAACAAATGTAAAACAGTTTTTCATATATTAAACTGATAACTGACAAGTAACAGACATAATGATGTAAACAAGACCCCCCCCCCCCCCGATACTTCACCCCTCTACTTTTGGAGACACTTCACCCCTCAAGACTTGTTATTTCTTGGTTAACTAAGTATAAAAATATTTGATTATATATTAAAATCAACTAAATCTATGTAGACATTATAATATGAAAAAGGCAAAGCCTCAAAGCGAGCTCGATGTACTTTTAACGTGAAATAGTATGAAATAATCGCTCATTTTTATTTCAAATGCAGTGATGAGTGCGTGTGACGTCGCACGTACTGTGTGTAGTATGGCTCCGCACATTCGTTAAATGAATAAAGAGTTTTGAAAACGTTTATAAAACTTTGTTTGTTTATTTTATTTCACACTATAATTTTTCAAGCGAAATAAAGATTATTAAAAGTGAAATAAATGTAAAACTTTAAACGTTTGCGACATTAAAATAGCGTGCTTGATTTAATTGTTTTGCACGTGCTGTTTGGCGCTACGTTGTGACGTCACGTAAACAATACTTTAAACGTCTGTACAGCGTTAACGACTGAATAAAAGATATTGGTGTTCGGATTCATTTTCTTAGTTAGACCATTTTCTTTCATTCTAGATAGTTTTCACAACAAAATTCGACAAAAAAATTGTTTTTATTTATCAGATTTTTCAAACAAAATGGCGCCTTTAATTTTCATTTTACATTTTCCGTTTTAAAACTGTCATTCGATATTGTATACACAGCTTCCGTTATTCTGGTTCCCTGTCCAATTATGGTTCCCATAGACATGCGCGGGTGACCAGTCTACACATCCGTTTTCAGTCAGAATTCCTCAGTTTTTATCGTTATCTTTAAATTCGAAAAGTTGCGATGTGTCCAATTCGGTACTTCGGACGAAAGTTTTCAAAACCATCACTTAGCAGGTACTCGCGTTACCGTAAAGCTCGCTTTGCGAGCAGGCCCTTTGGGCCAGCTCGTCGAGCTCGCTATTAAAGACGTTTTCAGTAGTTAGTCCAAGAAAGATAATCACGGATAATTACTCTTCAAAAAGAAGGTCAAGTTGAAGAGTACTGGGATAACTGTTTAAATTCCGGCTATAAGCAAAAAATAAGTAAATAATACAGAATAATTATTTCTTAATTTTCATGAGGAGATCGGTTAAAAAAAATAAGAAGTCTTTTAGACAACATCAGATAAAGGATTTTTTCTAGCATTAGTACAACAGCATTGATGATGATTCTGCATGCGTTAACCCAACCACTTGTGATATTCATTACAGGCAGACAAGTGGGCAAAGAAGTTTAAAATGATATATATATTTTAAAAATGTTGAATAAATAACAAAAATAATATCTATGAAATGTTCCAATTTTCATAATTTTCTTTGTAAATTTCTGAATACTTGCTTACTGTTAGGGTATGTTAGTCGAGTGAAGAATTAATATGGCCTTATATAACTTGTTTTAAAAACATATTCAGTATCATTTACTTCATATACCATCAAATGAAATAGTAATTTATATTACAACGTTTTTGTTTTATATATGACAATGCATTTAGTATAACACTGATATTTCTCAAGAAAGCTTGGTAATTTGACTATTGGCATATGCGGGTAACCATCATTTTTATGCCACCGCAGCATCTGCGATGCGGTGGCATATAGCGATTCACCTGTGTGTGTGTGTTTGTGTGTGTGTTTGTGTGTGTGTTATATAGATTATATAGTGAACTTAAAAAATCTTCTTGTGAAAAACCACTAGTCCAATTTCAACCAAACTTGGCAGGATTGTTCCTTGGGTGAAGGGCTTCCAAAGTTGTTCAAAGAATTTCATTCCATATAGAAATCTGGTTGCCATGGCAACCAAAAGGAATTATAAGAATAAATTAAAAAAATCTTCTTGTAAAGACCCAAAAGGCCTAGAGCTTAGATATTTTGCATAAGGCATTGTCTAGACGACCTCTAACAAGATTGTTCAAATTATAGCCCTGGGGTCAAAATTGGCGCCGCCCTGGGGGGGTCATTGATTTTCACTATGTACATATAGTAAAAACTTAAAATACCTTCTTGTAAAAACCCAAAAGGCCTAGAGCTTAGATATTTTATATAAGGCATCATCTGGTAGACCCTTACCAAGATTGTTCAAATTATAGCCCTTGGGTCAAAATCGGCCCCGCCCGGGGGTCATTGATTTTCGCTATATGTACATATAGTAAAAACTTAAAACACCTTCTTGTAAAGACCCAAAAGGTCTAGAGCTTAGATATTTTGCATAAGGCATTGTCTGGTAGACCTCTACCCAGATTGTGTAATTATAGCCCTGGGGTCAAAATCAGCCATGCCCCAGGGGTCATTGGTTTTCCTTATATGTATATAGTAAAAACTTAAAAAAAATTCTTCTAGCAATTGACAAATGCTACAGGTTAGATATTTTGCATGAAACATTGTGTTGTAAACCTCTAGCAAGATTGTTCAAACTATAGTCCTGGGTCAAAATTGCCCCGCCCTGGGGGTCATTGATTACAATATATACATATAGTAAAAAATAAAAAAATCTTATTGTCTGAAGGTACAAGGCTTAGAGCTTTAATATTTGTTAAATAATATCATCTAATAGTACTCTACCAAAGTTGTTCAAATGTTGCTCTTGTCTTCTCTAAATTTACAAAGGATAGAGTTAAGATATTTTGCATGAAACATTGTGTAGTGGACCTCTAGCAAGATTGTTCAAATTATAGCCCTGGGGTCAAAATTGGTTCCGCCCCGGGGGTCATTGATTTTCATTATGTACATATAGTGAAAAAAAAAATTTTGTCTGAAGGTTCAAGGCATAGAGCTTTGATGTTTGATATATAATATCATCTATAGGTCCTCTACCAAAGTTGTTCAAATGTCAAAAATTGGCCCTGCCCGGGGGCAGTGATTCTCATTATGTTCACGTATTAAAAACAGAAAATAAAACAAATGTTTTCTGAATGGGAGAAAGCTATAGCTTAGATACAATGTATTTTGACTTGAAATGTTGTTTGGTGGACCTGTATCAAGATTGTTATTAAACCCTTGGGTCAAAATTATGCCTTGACCTACTTTCTTGTCCTTTGATGTACAGCAATGACAGCAATGACATTTTGACCATGTGCACAGTTTTAGTTGTAAAATTGAACTTTGACCTAGATTTTGATGATGTGACCTACTTTCTTGTCCTTTGATGTACAGCTATGAAATTTGAAACATGCGGTGGCATAGCATTTTTCTCAAATGCAATCTTGTTTTCAATTAAGAAGCATGAAAAACTCATTTTTTTTAAGAAATATGTTCAGAATATCGTTTGTTTTATACAGATCCCTTAGATAAAGCAAGTTTTGTATAAAATTATGCTAATTGTATGTGTAATTAGCTGTCTTATACATTTTTATAACACAGTTTGGCTATTTTGACAATTTTGAGATATAGGGTTACCATGGAAACTGCCATTTTTCAAAAAATCCAACACGTCAACATATATTTTTCTTTCTATTTTTGAATTTTTCATTAAATTTTACACAACATACAAAACATTTAGAAAAACCTATGAAAGAAATTTTTCAATATCTTTAATTATTTTATTTTTCTCATTTTTTGTTTATTTAAGAAGCATGGAAAACTCATTTTTTAAAGAAATATGTTCAGAGTATCATTTGTTACATACAGAATAATTGGATTAGGTTATCGTTGCATAAAACAATGCTTGTTCTGTGTATTAAGCTATCTTATACATTTTCTATTTGTTATAACACAGTTTGGCTATTTTGACAGTTTTTAGATAAACGGTTACCATTGAAACGGCCATTTTTCAAGAAATCCAACACGTCAACACATATTATTGTTTTCATTTTTAGCTCACCTGTCACAAAGTGACAGGGTGAGCTTTTGTGATCGCTTTTCGTCCGGCGTCCGTCCGTCCGTCGTCCGTCCGTAAACTTTTACTTTAAATGACATCTCTTCATAAACCACTGAGCCAATTTCATCCAAACTTCACAGGAATGTTCCTTTGGTGGTCACCTTTAAAAATTGTTCAAAGAATTTAATTCCATGCAGAACTCTGGTTGCCATGGCAACCGAAAGAAAAAACTTTAAATATCTTCTTTTAAAAAACCATAAGAGCTAGAGCTTAGATATTTGGCATGAAACATCTTCTAGTGAGTGTCTACCAAGTTTGTTCAAATAAAAGCCCTGGGGTCAAAATTGGCCCCGCCCCGGGGGGTCATTGATTTTCCCTATATGCATATAGTAAAAACTTAAAAAATTTTCTTTTAAAGAACCCAAAGAGCTAGAGCTTAGATATTTGGCATGAAACATCTTCTAGTGAGTGTCTACCAAGTTTGTTCAAATAAAAGCCCTGGTGTCAAAATTGGCCCCGCCCCGGGGGGTCATTGATTTTCCCTATATGCATATAGTAAAAACTTAAAAAATCTTCTTTTAAAGAACCCTAAGAGCTATGGCTAAGATATTTAGCATGAAACATGTTCTAATAGGTGTCTACCAAGTTTGTTCAAATAAAAGCCGTAGGGTCAAAATTGGCTCCGCCCCAGGGGGTCATTGATTTTCCCTATATGCATATAGTAAAAACTTAAAAAATCTTCTTTTAAAGAACCCAAAGAGCTAGAGCTAAGATATTTAGCATGAAACATGTTCTAATGGGTGTCTACCAAGTTTGTTCAAATAAAAGCCCTGGGGTCAAAATTGGCCCCGCCCCAGGGGGTCATTGATTTTCCCTATATGCATAATAGTAAAAACTTAAAAAATCTTCTTTTAAAGAACTCAAAGAGCTATGGCTAAGATATTGAGCATCAAACATGTTCTAATAGGTGTCTACCAAGTTTGTTCAAATAAAAGCCCTGGGGTCAAAATTGGCCCCGCCCCGGGGGTCATTGATTTTCCCTATATGCATATAGTAAAAACTTAAAAAATCTTCTTTTAAAGAACCCAAAGAGCTAGAGCTAAGATATTTAGCATCAAACATTCTCTAATGGGTGTCTACCAAGTTTGTTCAAATAAAAGCCCTGGGGTCAAAATTGGCCCCGCCCCGGGGGGTCATTGATTTTCCCTATATGCATATAGTAAAAAAAAAAAATCTTCTTTTAAAGAACTCAAAGAGCTATGGCTAAGATATTGAGCATCAAACATGTTCTAATGGGTGTCTACCAAGTTTGTTCAAATAAAAGCCCTGGGGTCAAAATTGGCCCCGCCCCAGGGGGTCATTGATTTTCCCTATATGCATATAGTAAAAACTTAAAAAATCTTCTTTTAAAGAACCCAAAGAGCTAGAGCTAAGATATTGAGCATGAAACATGTTCTAATAAGTGTCTACCAAGTTTGTTCAAATAAAAGCCGTGGGGTCAAAATTGGCCCCGCCCCGGGGGTCATTGATTTTCCCTATATGCATATAGTAAAAACTTAAAAATCTTCTTTTAAAGAACTCATAGAGCTATGGCTAAGATATTTAGCATCAAACATGTTCTAATAGGTGTCTACCAAGTTTGTTCAAATAAAAGCCCTGGGGTCAAAATTGGCACCGCCCCGGGTCATTGATTTTCCTTATATGTGTATAGCAAAAACTTAAAAAATCTTCTTTGAAAAAAACCAAATAGCTAGAGTTAAGATATTAAGCATGAAGCATCTTTTAGTGAGTGTCTACAAAGTTTGTTCAAATAAAAGACCTGGGGTCAAAATTGTCCCTGCCCCGGGGGTCATTGATTTTCTTTATATGTGTATAGCAAAAACTTAAAATCTTCTTTGAAAAAACCCAAATAGCTAGAGTTTAGATATTAAGCATGAAACATCTTCTAGTAAGTGTCTACAAAGTTTGTTCAAATAAAAGCCCTGGGGTCAAAACTGGCCCCGCCCCAGGGGTGTCATTGTTTTTAACTACATGTGTATAGTAAAAACTTTAAAAAAATCTTCTTTTAAAAAGCCCAATGAGCTAGAGCTTAGATGTTTAGCATGAAACATTTTCTTATGGGTGTCTACCAAGTTTGTGCAATAAAAGCCCCTGGGTTAAATTGGCCCTGCAACGTTGGGGGGGTTGGGGGGCCTATACACAGGTGAGCGACCTCAGGGCCATCATGGCCCTCTTGTTGAATTCACCATTAAATTTCACTGATCATACAAAAAAATTAGAAAATTCTATGAAAGGATTAAATTTTCATAAAACTGTAGAAAATGTCTTTAAAATCAATAATCAAATTATTATAACTTATAAGCATAAAGAATCTAATTTAATTTATAAAAACATTTTTTTTTTTTAATTAAAAAAGTTTCAAGAGGAAACAATCCATAAAAACAGGTTGGTTTATATATTTGATTTAGAAAAAAATGTAAACAGACTTACAATAAAGAAAAGATAAATTGTCTTTATAGTCATTGAAATACTCATAATATATCACCTGCACGAAGTAATCAAAAAGGCATGTTGCAGTAAATCAATGGCTGGGTGGATACATGGTGGTTGGGTGGATAGGCAGGCAGGGCAGATTTGATAACAATTTGCCCCACTGATGATTTGCAGAAGGCAGAAGTGATAACAATTTTTCCCCACTGATGATTCACCCCATAACAACTCAGTCCACTCAAGTGATTATTTGTCCCACTTCAAAATAATCATTAAAGAAGGTACTTTAAATCGCTAGAATTGAGACATGACAAGATAGAATGTTTTGGTATAAACAAATTTGTGAAATAGAATGTTCTCTTAAATAAAATATTAAAACAGCAGTTTGTCATTTTAACAGTTGGGTTATCATTTATCAATATTAAACTGATAACGATTTGCCCAAGTTCAGTGGGGATAATCATCATGAATGTGGGGCATGTCTTTATAGTACCATAATCCATGTACATGTAATTGTAATTTATTAAAGTTGCTTACTATGATTTAAATTGAATGTCTGTATTCTACATTTATTTAATCTTTCTTACTAATTTTATTACAGTTTAAAGACATCATTAATGAAATGGAATCCAGATTTAGATGGAGCTGCATCAGAATATATCAAAGCAGGTGAAGTTTGTATTCAGGCTTGCTATTTTTAGCTCGACTATTTGAAGAATATAAGAGCTATTGTAGTCGCCCCGGCGTCGGCGTCAGCGTCGGCGTCTGCGTTGGTTAAAGTTTTTTTGTAAATTCAAATATCTCAATTATTGCTTGAGATATTCAATTGAAACTTACAATACTTATTTATAGTAGCAATGTACATCAGATTGACAAGTTGGATAACTCTGCCTACAATATTGACAGAATTATGCCCCTTTTTATGCCCCCACAATGTGGGAGCATATAGCGTTGCACTTGTCCGTCCGTCAGTCAGTCAGTCCGTCCATACGTCCCGAAATCTTGTGAACGCAACTCCTCTTAAACCGGATGGCAGATTTTGCTTAAACTTACAGGGATGAACAACCTTAATGTGTAGATGGTAGTAAAGGAAGGAATTTTCGCTGTGACCAAATTTAACAGAATTATGGCCTTTTGTTGATTTTTTCACTAGATACTATGTAGAAATTTTGTGAACGCAACTCCTCTTAAACCGGATGGCAGATTTTGCTTAAACTTACAGGGATGAACAACCTTAATTTGTAGATGGTAGTAAAGGAAGGAATTTTTGCTGCTACCAAATTTTACAGAATTATGGCCCTTTGTTGATTTTTTCACTATATACTATGTAGAAATTTTGTGAATGCAACTCCTCTTAAACGGGATGGCAGATTTTGCTTAAACTTCCAGGGATGAACAACCTTAATGTGTAGATGGCAGTTAAGGAAGGAATTTTTGCTGCAACCAAATTTAACAGAATTATGGCCCTTTGTTGTAATTTTTTCATTATATACTATGTAGAAATTTTGTGAACGCAACTCCTCTTTAACCGGATGGCAGATTTTGCTTAAACTTCCAGGGATTAACAACCTTAATGTGTAGATGGTAGTAAAGGAAGGAATTTTTGCTGCGACCAAATTTAACAGAATTATGACCCTTTGTTGATTTTTAGTTTTCAACTTGTGGCACATGTAGTCCAAAAAATATTTGACCTAGAGTCATAAGATTAACAGAACAGTGGCGTGTGGAGGCATTCGTGTCCTATGGACACATTTCTAGTTTAACTTAGAAATTTTGGTTAAAGTTTTTTGTAAATTCAAATATCTCAATTATTGCTTGAGATATTCAATTGAAACTTACAATACTTATTTATAGTAACAATGTTCACCAGATTGACAAGTTGGACAACTATGTCTACAATATTGACAGAATTATGCCCCTTTTTTAACTTAGAAATTTTGGTTAAAGTTTTTTGTAAATTCAAATATCTCAATTATTGCTTGAGATATTCAATTGAAACTTACAATACGTATTTATAGTAACAATGTTCACCAGATTGACAAGTTGGACAACTCTGTCTACAATATTTACAGAATTATGCCCCTTTTTAACTTAGAAATTTTGGTTAAAGTTTTTTGTAAATTCAAATATCTCAATTATTGCTTGAGATATTCAATTGAAACTTACAATACTTATTTATAGTAACAATGTACATCAGATTGACAAGTTGGACAACTCTGTCTACAATATTTACAGAATTATGCCCCTTTTTATCTTAGAAATGTTGGTTTAAGTTTTTTGTAAATTCAAATATCTCAATTATTGCTTGAGATATTCAGTTGAAACTTACAATACTTATTTATAGTAACAATGTACATCAGATTGACAAGTTGGATAACTCTACCTATAATATTTACAGAAAAATGACCCTTTATAACTTAGAAATTTTGGTTAAAGTTTTTTTGTAAAGTCAAATATCTCAATTATTGCTTGAGATATTCAATTGAAATTTACAATACTTTTTTATAGTAACAATGTACATCAGTTTACAAAATTGCATAACTCTGTCTGCAATATTTTCAGAGTTATTTGCCCCTTTGAAACTTAGAAATTTTGGTTAAAGGTTAAAGGTCTTCAAAGATATTTACTTGAAACTTTACAGATGTACTTAGGGTCATAATTGGAGAGTCATAATTGTATGTCACTGACCAAGTTCCATAACTCTACTCGCATTTAGGCTGATTCATCTCCCCTTTTCTACTAGTCTCTAGGTTAATGTTTACATGCAAGTTTTACATATCTCAAGTATTTAAGATATTTATTTAAAACTTCACATATGCATTAAGAATTTAATTGTAGGTCACTGACCAACATCCATAATTCTATCTTGCATTTAGGCTGATTTTTCTCCCCTTTTTCAACTTAGAAATTCATGGAAAAGTTTTGCTTGTAAGCTGTTATCTCCATAACTACTGAAGAGTTTGTGTGTTTTTGGGACATTTTTATGCATTATTAATAATAAAGCAGTGATTTACTTGATAAAACATCTTAATAACAAGCATAAAACCTTTTCAGTCAATTTTATGTATTCATAGGTAACTAGCATTATTATACTCAATAAACACTCTTGTGACAAATTTTTGAATAGTCAAGCCAATACTGTCCTCCGACAGTTCTTTTTAATGGATTCAGTCATTGAATTTCAGATTTTGAATTTACTGGCCCGAATTCCAGTTTTGAATTTATTCTACTCTATATATAACTAAATTTTCTTAAAATTTACACTGGCAGAACTAATTTACACTGGCCATGGAGATTATGCACATCTTTTTCCTTTCTTCCTATGTTGAAAATTCTGGTTGCTATTAGTATTACAACAAATAGCCTGAATTTCAAGATTTCTGATTAAAATGTTTCAGCTTTTTCACTATAAGTACTTTATTTCTTAAGGTGTTTACTTCCAACTTTAAATATAAGTTTCTGGTCATCGACAACCACATCATATGTGACAGGTTTACAACTCTAGCGCAAAAATTATCAGTATTACCTCCCTTGAACTTAGAATTTTTATAAAAAAAAATGTTGTCTTTTTTTAAATAACTTCTTTATTTCCTAATGTATCTACTTCAAACTTCATATATACGTTTCTTATGATCACTCAACATTTTTGAGAAGGTTAAATACTCTAGCAAGACTATTTCCAGAATTATGTCCTCCTTGAACTTAGATTTTTTTTGAGAAATTGGTATTTTTTACTCCAACTTCTTCATTCCTTATAGGATTTACTTTAAAATCCCACATCGTAATAATATGACAAGGTTGTATAAACATAATTTCCTTGCTAGGCAGGGAAACTTAACACATTACTGTGATATAGACAAACTTAGAACTCAAAAGATTTAAGTTCATCATGTCATTCATTCACTGGTGAAATTGAATGGCCAATGGCCCATCTGAATGTTGCTGGGGTTCTAACCGGTAGGGGACTTATGGATTGCTTGCAATACTATGATAATTGCTTGTTCTTAAATCGATTTGTCAATTTTTTGATCTGGACAAAAGTTTTTTTGCCCGAGAAAACTTTCCACATACGGCACAGATATGCCAGCTGATCTAGGTCTGCACTGGTGGCATGGAGAGAATCAGTTGCAGCCATATTCATACAGCACTGGTCAGGGTCTGCACTGGTGACATAGAGAGAATCAGTTGCAGCCATATTCATACAGCACTGGTCAGGGTCTGCACTGGTGACATGGAGAGAATCAGTTGCAGCCATATTCATACAGCACTGGTCAGGGTCTGCACTGGTAACATGGAGAGAATCAGTTGCAGCCATATTCATACAGCACTGGTCAGGGTCTGCACTGGTGACATGGAGAGAATCAGTTGCAGCCATATTCATACAGCACTGGTCAGGGTCTGCACTGGTGACATGGAGAGAATCAGTTGCAGCCATATTCATACAGCACTGGTCAGGGTCTGCACTGGTGACATGGAGAGAATCAGTTGCAGCCATATTCATACAGCACTGGTCAGGGTCTGCACTGGTGACATGGAGAGAATCAGTTGCAGCCATATTCATACAGCACTGGTCAGGGTCTGCACTGGTGACATGGAGAGAATCAGTTGCAGCCATATTCATACAGCACTGGTCAGGGTCTGCACTGGTGACATGGAGAGAATCAGTTGCAGCCATATTCATACAGCACTGGTCAGGGTCTGCACTGGTGACATGGAGAGAATCAGTTGCAGCCATATTCATACAGCACTGGTCAGGGTCTGCACTGGTGGCATGGAGAGAATCAGTTGCAGCCATATTCATACAGCACTGGTCAGGGTCTGCACTGGTGGCATGGAGAGAATCAGTTGCAGCCATATTCATACAGCACTGGTCAGGGTCTGCACTGGTAACATGGAGAGAATCAGTTGCAGCCATATTCATACAGCACTGGTCAGGGTCTGCACGGGTTACATGGAGAGAATCAGTTGCAGCCATATTCATACAGCACTGGTCAGGGTCTGCACTGGTGGCATGGATAGAATTAGTTGTGGCTAGCAGGCTTTGAGATGATTAAATATATTTCAATATTATAAAGATGGCAGTCAGTCTTAGAGAAAGATGGTTGGAGTAAGGAGATACAACTGTTTTTCACTATGCAATTAGCCAGAGTTAACAATAAGCCAGAATGAATAATCTAACATTATAGATACTTGTTAGACAGAACAAATATACATGTACAATGTATGCTTTCTTGAGGTCTGGGCAAGAGACTGTGACTTTTATTTTGTTTGTAATTCTCAAAAACGAATATATATGTATAGTCCAGTAACCATACTAGTAGATAGAATTTATTGTCCCTAATACTATACTGATTTTTTTGAAAATACTGTATAAACATTACGATTAGAAATATTTTAGTACCAAGGTTGTTAATATATTGAAAATTTGACAATTCAGAAACAAACAAAAGTAAGAGGCTTAGAAATTTCAATATTATGGAAATTCAAGGAATTAATGAAGTATTTATAATTGATGCATTAGTTTATTAAACATTTACATTATTATTTTATAAATTTGTTTCAGCAACTTGCTACAAGAACGCAAAAGCTCTGGCTGATGCTCGTGGGGCTTACTTGAAAGCTGCTGAAATGCAGGAAAGAATGAAATCGTATCCTTTACCTATACCTTTGTTGATTGAGCAAAGTCAACTTGTAACTGTATATTCACTGACAGAACAGTATATTCACTGATTGAAACCAGTATATTCACTGACAGAACAGTATATTCACTGATTGAAACCAGTACATGTATATCAGCTGACAAAGAACAGTCTATTCACTGATTGCAACCAATGTATTCACTGACCGGACAGTATATTCACTGATTGAAACCAATGTATTCACTGACAGGACAGTATATTCACTGATTGAAACCAGTGTATTCACTGACAGAACAGTATATTCACTGATTGAAACCAGTACATGTATATCAGCTGACAAAGAACAGTCTATTCACTGATTGCAACCAATGTATTCACTGACGGAACAGTATATTCACTGATTGCAACCAATGTATTCACTGACGGAACAGTATATTCACTGATTGCAACCAATGTATTCACTGACAGGACAGTATATTCACTGATTGAAACCAATGTATTCACTGACAGGACAGTATATTCACTGATTGAAACCAGTATATTCACTGACAGAACAGTATATTCACTGATTGAAACCAGTGTATTCACTGACAGAACAGTATATTCACTGATTGAAACCAGTATATTCACTGACAGGACAGTATATTCACTGATTGAAACCAGTATATTCACTGACAGAACAGTATATTCACTGATTGAAACCAGTATTTTCACTGACAAAACAGTATATTCACTGATTGAAACCAGTATATTCACTGACAGAGAACTGTATATTCACTGGCCAGTTTTTTCATCATTTATTTAGAATCTAGCATAATTTTGAACAAAAACCATTAAAACTGGTCAGTGTATTTGCTGACAAGAACTATACTATTCATTTTTGCGACGGACGCGCCCTCAGGCGCGTTCAGAGCTAAGTCATCTACACATGGGATTTCGTTGGCTACACTCGCGTAATGTGTCCTAAACCAATTAACAGCCCAAGAAATAGTACATGAATTTGATCCTTCAAAACTCCTATACTTTGTCTGGATATCTTAATGTCTTCCATATTTAGCCTTTTCAATTTCAAATTAAGTTATCCAAGTTAAAATATGAACGTATATTATTGATAAAAACGTTGTAGTCCCGTAGTATTATTGCGCAATATGCAAATTACTGCTGAAACGATTTACCACTGTCGAAAAAGTAGGACAGCAAATTATACTACAATAAAGGTGTAACCTCTGAGTTCCAAGACATTATTAGTAGGAAATAAATATTTCTACATTATACAAAACATTATTATTAACAAATCAAAAGTTTTTCGTGACTCTAGGATAACTCGCGCATTAATAAAAGAAGAACTATTTCCGTGACTCATACCGCGGGTTTAGCTGAATATTCAGCAGTTATTAATATATTAGATACAGTACAATGGCTAGTATAAATATCTATTTTTGAAAATGCATGTAAGACACTTTACCGCCATGTAGTCTTTCATGGTAAGGAAGTTATAATATCAGTTCTACTTCCGATTCTTGTGGTTTGTTTACATATTTTACTAGGTCATGATATGAGTTAACCTTCGCTATTCTAAAAATAGATTCTGCTTCACCTGTTCTGATTTTTGGACAGGCGATTATAGGAAGTACACATTAAACATGTAATTAATAAACCAGCGGATTGTAATGCAATACTTTTAGAAATGCTATACAATTGTAAGAAGCGAACAAGTTGAAAATGGAATTTAGTGTGAAGTTGAAAAGGACAACTAAACATTGTAGTGCTTAAGTGACATTTAAATTAAAATAAAAACGATGTGCTCTGGCCTCTACATCTTTACCTTGTAAATAAAAAAAATCTAAGAAATACACTATTAATTGCTGATGATTTTAACCAATTTTTTTTAATGAGACATATCCAAGAGAAATAAAAATACAAATGACTTATATTTTATTGTCTGTATGCCCACTATGATATAACACGAAGCAATTCTAAATAGCATTCTCAAATGTATAATGTATTATGTTTGAAGTTTATTTGCCTGGATTTATTCTAGAAATATTTCGTTGATAGTTTTTTTTCTATTTACATATCATTTCTTAGAATAAATCGATAAGGACACTGATTTACAAGTTTGACCAGAGTTTTTAGGCATAAATTTCATTCTGTATTTAAGTGCTTGAAAGTAGAAAATCTGAATTATATCAATTTGGGACACAAAATATATTGCTCTACAAATCTCGAACTTGTATGGAACAAATTTTCTCTGTTATATATTTTGTGTTTTGTTTTTGTTTTGTTTTTGTTTTTTCTAAAAGAAGCCTTAATGTCTCTCCGGTTGCATGTCCGTCGCATTCAGTGCTGCAGCACTTTGATTAATATATGAGACTGATGGTGACGGAGACTATTTCATATGCTATCCAGGGACAAATTAATTTACGGACTATATTTCGTTTTAATACAAAAATATATATTGGTTACTCCTGCCACATGTTAGCCATTTTCATTGGAGAATAAAATTTCTAACTTAGTCATTTCCTTCTCTTCCAAAACTAACACTGCAAAATTCCTGCGAATCATATTCTTTTGTACATAATGAACAGGAAATAATTATTAGAACTAAAACAATATGTATATAAGTTTATTCTTTAACAGTCTATTAGACCATTCCATGCAGCAAAGTAAGTATTGTCTTGAAATTGTAATGTGATCTTATACCACATGTAGAAAGTACAGGGATTTCATTATGACTCCAAAAAGTCATATATGACCAATGATCATCAAAATATGCTATGTTTATGTTTTATGTTATATAAAATACTGAGGTAATCATTTGAGGCAGTTGTACAGGTAGTTCTTGGAAGGTTTGTAGCTCTACCCAGATTTCCAGCTTTTATCTGAAATGATACACTTAGGCTTCATCAACTAGTTAAACTGAAACGTTGCAATATGGCCTAAACAATGTTGATATGATTTATAAGCAATCCAGTTAAGAAAAGAACATGGGTTATTGAGAATCGAATGTTTTTATAGAAAAATGTTAAAAATAACTGACATTAACTAATATTTCTCATTTTAATACAATGCCGACCGGTTTCTTTATCGTCAGGACAAATAATTTATACATTTATATTACAGATCTTATGAACAAGCGGGACTTTTGAGTAAGGAGAATAAGGAGTTAGATCAAGCTGTACATTATATGGAACGGGCATCATTTATGTTTCAAGAGCATGGTACACCGGACACGGCCGCTTTATGTCTAGAGAAAGCTGCCAAGTGAGATACTGATGGGTTTTTTTACACTTATTTAAAGCTATTTTTCTCACAACATGGAATGACATGAAATTATTAATAAAACTTCATTTATGTTACACTGCCACTTTATGTGTAGCTGCTAAGTGAGATACTGATAACTTTTTTTTTCACTTATTTAAAGCTATTTTTTTCTTGCCATGGAAAGGCATGACATTATTAATAAAACTCATTCAAACATTTTTTGATGGTAGAGATAAGAGCTGTAAGTCATAACACTACAAAGGTAATATTGTAAACCTGAAAAATCCTCAGACAGTGACTAGGTTTTGAACCCCGGACCTCTTGATTACAAGGCGGACACTCAGCCATGTCACTAAAGTGTTAACCCAACAGCAAGGCTGTTGGAAATAGCCTACATCTGTAATTATTACACCATTATTGAGCTATATGTTATCTTTGTTTCAGAATGGTAGAGCAGACCAAGCCAGCTCATGCAGTAGAACTTTATAAAAAGGCTTCAGACGTCGCTGATGTATGTATCTATGTTAGATATTATACTTTTTTTTATGAGAAACCCTTAATTTACTAAATAAGGAAGTTATTAGCCTTTGCCACCAGTGTAGAGCCAAGCCAAAATTCACACCAATGCAGTCTGACTAAGCTCTATACTGTTGACAGCTCAGATTATAGTATTTTGATTTTGAAATCCCATAAAATTCAGATGGATTTTTCCAAAGCTGCGTGAATCTATTGCACAAATTCAGCAAGTGTTCTCTGATAACTTACTTTGAAAGATGATACTTGTTTATTACCTTCACTTTTTATGCCCCCAAAAAGTGGGAGCATATAGCATTGCACTTGTCCGTCCGCACTACCGAATAGGGTTAGAGGGCCACAGAACAAAAGAGAACAATAGAGTTCATTCCTTAACAATAGAGTAAGGGGCCATTGGCCCTCTGTTAAACAATAGAAAATAACAATAGAAATGGCCCCTTATTCCAATGCGGCCGGACGTCCGTCCGTCTGTACGTCCCGAAATTTTGTGAACGCAACTCCTCTTAAACTGGATGGCAGATTTTGCTTAAACTTTTAGGGATGAACAACCTTAATTTAACAGAATTATGGACCTCTGTTGATTTTTAGTTTTCAACTTGTGGCACATTTAGTCCAAAAAATATTTGACCTAGGGTCATAAGATTGACAGAACAGTGGCGTGTGGGGGCATTCGTGTCCTATGGACACATTTCTATTTTTTAAAGAGTTAATGTCAACGCAGACATGACTGTAACAATACCTCTATTATCATTTTTTTTCCAGCAAGAAGTAGAGGTATTGTTACAGTCATGTAGGCTTTGCCTTTACTATCCGCAAACCTTAACCTTGATCATTACTACTTAAGTTCTGGGTGTATTGTCTTCATACTTGGCCACAACAACCCTTGGGACAAGACTTTCAAGTAAACCATACTAACATTGACCTTCATTCATAAATTGTTTCATACTAACTATATAAATGTATATATTGTTTCCATTTTAAGATTGAGGACCGTCCCAGACAAAGTGCAGAGAATATTGGTAAAGCTGGTAGACTTCTTATTAATCTTGAGAGGTAAAATCAGTTTGTCCTTATTTTATTTTATTCGTGATATTTTTTATTATAATACAGTAGAGACTGTTTAACAAATTGTCATATTCAAATATATGCGCATGTAAAAATTAAGCGTATGTAATGGGATAATTAGTGCATGTAATGTCGTGACTGTTATTTTGTCCTGAAAAAAGGAGTATATCGGATTACTGGTTAACATAAGATGCAGCAAAAAGAACTTTAATTACACCTTGATAATAACTTGTCACATAGCCCTTGTCTTGTATAACATCAAAATTACTGTAATAATGTGGATTTATTTGTTTGTTTTAATTGCAACAGTAATGCCCCGAAATCAAATAAACTTTTGAATGTGATTCCAATGAGTCAATACTATAAAAGAATCGTCAAAGAAAGAAACTTCTGTTCTAAGGAAAACTTGTCTTTTAAATATTCCTATAGATTTGACAGATATTGTGTTGGTCTGTGATGATGGCGTACTGTTAGATTTATATTCTTTAGTTATGCACTGTACCATACTGAAAATAAAAAATACAACTGTATGTAAAAAAAAATAAATAGTATATGTTCGAGGTAGTATGTATAATAATACAACTGTAGTGTTGATCAATGATTCAGTTGTTCATAGTCTCATAGAAATTACTGTAATTTCATCCGTTTTGTTTTCCTGCAGTTGTATTACAAATTCATTCAAATGACTTCATCTTAAGAATGCGGTTTCATTCTTAAATGAGTCAAATTGATGTCATGTGACTCATCTGGCACGGCAAATGCCAAATGAAATTCCCAGAGTAGGTAAAAATTACTGAAACATCAGTCAGATAGGCAAGAAATAAGATCTTGACAATGGCTGTTGAACATAAATTCAATATTATTTTCCAAAATGTGTTTTTCCTTTTCACTTCAGGTATGAAGAAGCAATAGAATGTCTAACTAAGGAGATAAATTTTTACGCTGCAGCGGAGAACTATGCAATGATTAATAAACTTGTGTTAGCTGTTGTACTTATAAAATTAACACTAGGTGATTATGTGGCAGCAGATCAATTCTACAGATCTTCTATTAGGTAAAATAAATGTTTAATTAGGAGTGTCATGTTTAATAGAAATGCTAACCGTTTGATAAACTGTGTTAAATATTTAATCGATGGTGTGGGGCGTCAATGGCTAAGTTCAAACCACTTGCATCTCACCATTGTTGGTTCAAGCAACTACTTCAGATTCTTTATGTGAGAAAACTATCCAGCCAGATTACAGAATGTCTTAGGTTCTACTCCGGTACATGTTTGTTCCTGAAATAAAGTACAGAAGGGCACCTGAGGTCTTCCTCCATTATTAAAACTGGAAAGTCACCATATGACCTATACGCTGATGATGCAACATTAAACCCAACCAAAAAAAACAACTCAACAATATTTAAAAAAACTCATATATTATCATTTTAAAGATTAAATTTGTTTCTTTATGACAACATATGACATTTATTGCATATTTTGTTGTACTCAACAAAGTTACAAAAGATATTTAGTAAAATAGTAACTAGTTTAAGTTAAGAGTCATACTGTACATAAAAAACACAAAAATTTAAGGATCAGGATCAAATTTAAAAACTCAAATATTCTCCATTATTTATCCTCATAGATTAAATATTCAGTGTAAACTTGGTAAAACTGGACTTGAAATAGCATGTTTATGATTTTTTAAAATAAATTTATTGTTATTTTTACAAGATATGAGCATTTTACAGTTGATCCAAATTTTGATCTTGATCCTAAAATTGATCCTCATTTTTGTCCAATTATTTTTGTATTTGTTTTGTTATTTGTTGATTCTATCCTAAAATAGGTTGTTTTCTTTGCAAATAAGCAATTATTTATATTTCAAATATGTAGCATTTAATTCTAGAATGATATGATCAATTTAAGTTTTATAAAACAATGAAAATAAAATAAGGATCATCTGACCGTGACCTTTTCTTTGTGAACACGAGGTCAGGTCTATTTAACTAGATTAAAAACAAAAAGTCATATCTTGTGATAGTAAAACAAAGGTATTATTTAAAATATTTCTTTATCTTCTTTGGCTATTGATCTTGTATTAACATTAGTTGCTGGTTATTGAATTTTCTTACCGTTTTTTCTTTTTTTGCCAAAAACTGACCGTAGCTGTTTAAACGATGTGACATCCCTACTTTTAAACTTTGATTCACGTACCTTCTGATTGGGGCGTCCGTGGTCAAGTGGATAAGGTCATTGACTTTAAACCACTTGCCCTCACCGCTGTGGGTTCAAATCCCATGTAAACGATGTGACATCCCTACTTTTAAACTTTGATTCACGTATCTTCTGATTAGGGCATCCATGGCCAAGTGGATAAGGTCGTTGTCTTCAAACCACTTGCCCCTCACCGCTGTGGGTTCGAATCCCGACAGGGACTTTGTATTCTTTCATGTGAGGAAGCTATCCGGCTAGCGTACAGAATGTCAGTGGTCCTACTCAGGTTCCCGTTCGTGCCTGAAATAATGCATGGAAGGGCACTTGAGGTCTTCCTCCAACAGTAAAGCTGGAATGTCGCCATATGACCTATAATGTGTCTGTGTGACGTAAAACCCAATTAAACAAACAAACAAAACGTATCTTCTGCTTGGTGAAAGAAACATATAAAAAATTGTATGGGTATAAAATTTATAAATGGTTATATTTGTTGTTATTTATTTAACAAATTAACTGGTAATATAATATTTTAGTCATCCTGGTTTCACGGACAGTGAAGAGTGTGCAGCTGTAGATGAGTTATTACAGGCATATGATGATGGTGATGAAGAAACTGCTAGAAGAGTTCTGTCCATTCCACTCATCAAATATATGGACAATTGTGTATGTTTTACTTCTATCATATTAGTGTTGATAATGATGATCTATTAATTCCTAACTGAAAAGCAGGGCTTGGCCGTTATTTGAATTAAGGAGGTAGAAAGCTAATTATGATTTTGCTTCTCTATATTTCTTAGAACTCAATGTAAAGGTAAATAGTTCTATCGTGACTGTAATTTATTATTTGACATTCAGGCCCTAAATGTTATACGATCCATGTAGGATCTTTTGAAAAATACAGACTATATTAAAGGTATTAATGAATCTGTTCTATATGAACACAAAGTAATCACTGATTAACTCTGATAGCAGCATAGAGAAATCTTAGAATCTTAAGATATTGAAAAAATGCCACTGTGGCAAAAAGTAGCTTTATTTTCATGAATTAAAATGCAAAAGGAATGATTGTTTATTTTTTAATTTGATTTAAATAGACAATTAGGAGAAGTCATTCAGACTGGGAAATATTTAATTGCAAGGGGAAATGAAAATAATGAAAATTAATAATGATTTAATGACCTTAAAATTAATTTTTTGCTAATTCTGCTATTCATCTCAGATTTGTTTGAGAAAAAAAAGATTTTAATTTTTTACCAGGTTTAACAAAGATTTGATGGGAAAATTTAAACAATTTCTTATGTGTGAATCTCTTCCTACACTTCTCAACGGGTTTCAATCAAACTTTCACAGAACAATTTTCATGAAGTGCCCTGATGCATGTTATTGGGATTTTTCTGTCATATTTTTTTAATGGACTTATGGTCCTTTGTGGCTTTTCCCAAAATTCATGTGTTCTGTAAGATTGGCAGAAAATATTGGTTTTGTGACAATTTTCTGTCACTTGTTATAGTGTTACTGGTATACTATTTTACTTATTGAATGGTTTGAATGTCATATACTTATATAAAGGCCATTTCCTAGGGTTGCTCAATGCAAAGGCAAAGTATTGTTCAACCTAATATGCAATATCAATATAAAGCATTAAAAAATTAAAATCTTTCCTATGGCTTGATTGATAAATAAAAGAAGCTTATTCTTTGTTTGACTAGGAAGGATTTAAGTTAAGTTTTAATGTTACTGCTTTTTGAATACTTGTGTTTCAAGGTCATTCTATCATTTACTGTATTTTCTTTTCTTCATGTGTACAGCTATATTCCATACCAAGTCACGATCATGATTCCTCATATAGTACCAGTACTGGTTAATTCCAGGAAACAAACTTGAAAGTGATTTATATAAGTTGCAAAAATTTATTTTACAATTGAGCTAAAATAAATATGTTTAAACTACATTATGTACTTTTGTTAAAAATACTATTATTGTCCATACTGTTCCATCTTTTTCCCACCAGTTTGCAAAGTTGTCAAAGAAGTTGGTTATACCAGGTGGAATGCGGGTTGGGAAATCAGAGGCTGGTGTGACAGAAATAAATACAGTGGGCGGAGCTGGAGGTGGAGGAGGAGCTATACATCTTGATGATGATGAAGAAGGCGGTCTTTGCTGAAAATCATTCACCATAGACAGTGAAGAGTAGACAGTTAGCTGAGAAGGAAAGAAAAATGCTGAAAGAAGTAAATAGAGTGATGAAATACAATAAACATTGACTTGATGATAGTGTTAAAAGTAAAATAAAAGATTCTTTTAATAAGTAGTTTAGGATGTAGGGTTAGAAATGACAAGTTACAACTTATTATGATATGATATATTATAGATAAAGCGCAAATACTCAAAGTATGCTTTTAATGGGGAAAAATAATCTTTTATGTATGTAGTCCATTCCATATTTGATTGAGTAAGGCCTTTATTTGTTTTCCAAACATCAAAATTTCATCAGCATTTTAACATTTCTTTTAAAAGATAGATGATTCTTAGAAATTTTAAAGTTCCGAAATTTACAATCAGTTAGGAAAATGAAACAAATACACAGAGTTCAAAATATCAGTTTCATAGTTTTATCATTTACATTCCTATTAAGAAACCAGCTATTGTGTTTTATACAGTATTACTTTTCTACTAATATGTCTTATATGTCACTTTTGCCTGTCCAATTCCATGTTGACTGTTACTAACAGTAAATTTTATACTTGTCCCTATAAGATAATACCTGAATTATGTTGAAAGTACTGTATGATCACCCGAGCAGATTTCAAATACCGAAAAAATGAAATAAATTTTGTTAATTTAGATCAATATTGAAATGTTAAACATGCACTGATATATAAAGTTAATAATAAAGATGAAGCTCCATTGTGGAAAGGAATTAATGTAAGTGTTATGCTTGTTTTCCAATCCATATATATTGTGATGTAGATTGATACACGATTGTAAAATTGCTAAATAAAATATGTTTAAACTAAGGAAATAAAGGGCTGGAAATGCTTTCAAACAATTTAGAATAATCAATATGGGTATATATGTGTGTGTATGTTGGGGGAGTGATGTTTGATATATATGTGTGTGCATGTGTGTGTGGGGGGAGGGGAGAGTGATGTAATTTATATGTTTTCTTCAATATAGAGAGACATTTCACATTGTATCCACTTATTAAAAAGCAGGTTAATATGTTCAATGTAAGAAAAATATGTCTTATGTAGTTTGGGTTTAAATCACACTGTTAATGAATAGATTAAAGAATTTAAAAGTTTATAGTGTGTTTATAGTGTGTTCAAATTGAAATATTACTATAATTTAATAAGATGTGTTAGTATTGATTGGTAAGTGTCAGATTTGATGGGTTGGTGTCAGTTTTGATTGGTAGATAAACTTGATAAGTTTGAACTTTTTAAATATATGTGAAAATTATTGTGAAGACACAATTAGTGCAATATTTTAACCTCATTGTGTTTGTTTATGTATATGTTATCTTTTTTGTCAATTAAAATCGTTTAATGTTTATTTATATGTTATTTTTGTTTTTGTCTACTGAAAATTTAACACCAATTATGTGGCATTTGATTTGTTATTTATTGAATAAATTTTTGTATGACTTAGTTCGAGTTTTGATTTGTTTAGATGACCATTGTTTGCTAATGCTGGGAGAGTACAATATAATACATGTATTTAATACTCGATTCTTGAGTTCTTAACATAAAAATAGAGAGTAGTTAAATTAACACACTTCAAGGTTTATGATTATTATACCCCCACCACACAATGTTGGGGGGGCTGTACTGGAATCACTTAATCACTTCGGTTGGCCAGTCTATCAGAATGTCTGCACTACTAAATAGGGAGGGATATGGGCAGTCTAACTGTAAACAGAAGAAAATAGAACAACATATTTTAATCTGTAACAACAGAATGGCTCTCTGATTAACAAAAAATTGCCCGTTATCCCATTTTGGTCACATGTCCATCTGTCTTCATGATGTCCCCTCTATAAATTATATACCCCTTGAATTATTGTCTTCAAACTGTGCTCATATGGTCACCTCAACAAAGTAATGTGCAGAACCCATGCCACTGCTGCCCTGGTTCAAGTTCAAGGTCACACTTTAAAGTCAGAGGTCAAATATTGAACAATTTTGTGTCTGCATTGGTGATTTCGCTCGAGGCATTTTTTCAAACTTGGCTCAACAAGGCAGTGTGCAAAACCCAAGCTTCTTCTGTGCAGACTGGAGGTCTACGTCACCCTTGAAGCTCAAAATTGAATATTTTGTGTCTGCACAATAATTTATAAATTCTATGACTATAAAAAATTTTTTTTTTTCAAATAACTGTTATTTAAACTAAATTCAAATATTTGCTATGTTAATAGCACTATATAATATCCTGTGTCGTAGAGATCGGGGGGGGGGGGGATATTTGTCACTTGTGGCAGTTCTAGTTTTAATTTACTATAGAAATGAATGTTTTCAAATGATTTAATTTTAACCTACCGTTTTTAGTTGTCAAGTTTTCAGGAAACAAGGTAGAATTTTGGTGATGTAAAAAGAAAATACTGTGTTATTTTGTTTAGTACAACCAAAATTTCTGATGATCTTGTGAATGTCTTTACATTACTATAATTACAAACAAATATGTATTTTTTGTTAGCTTGATTTTTATAAATTTATTATATTACTAATCTGGCAGCTTGAGAGAAGGGAAGCTAAATATTTTTCAACAAATGTATGCAAAATATGATTTTATAAATAAAGATACCAAGGGGGATAACTCTTACAATACACTTAGACCAATAGTTATTTCCCTTACTCTGGTTCAGAAATTGTGTAGGAGTTAAGATCTTTATTATACATTATACTAGTATATACATTGAGTGGTGGCTAGCTGTGTGCTAACCAATAGCAGCATGGATTCATTGACCCCCACAGTGGCAAGCTGTTGTTTTCTTAAGCCAAAAAAAAAAAAAATCATTTCTAAGTCTACAGTTCTGAGAATGTGTTTGTAAACTTATAGCACTCTTTACAAATGGCCTTAGATAAATTCAGTATAAACTAATTATGTATACAGTAATCTTAATAACAAAACAATTTCATGTAGCATATTAAAAAAGTATCAGTAATTTGATTTTTGGAAAGGCAGATAAAGTTTTACATAAACATTGCATTGATCTGTTTTGAGAAATAATGTGGCAAGGATTACTTACTTTACAAATTTCACACCCCATTATTCCAGTGTCTGAAAGCAGCATGCCTCCATTTGAATCAAGTTTCATTGCATTTTTTTTTCTTTTTAAACTTGACAGCATTGTATAAATCGTGTATTTTGAAATGTATGAAATACTCACAATCCAGGTGACATTATGCATGTTTGAAAATATGGAAGATTTCGCTATTTTTTTGTCACCATATACTTTGGTCCATTTAATTTGGTGCCAACAAGGTACAAGCTCTTTTTGTGTATTTTTGCCTATTACTAGTACATTGTACTAGTAATTTAAATATAGATAGGAAGAGATTTTGATAAAGTTAAATAACTTTATTTTGTATATACTTGACATTATTTTTTACCCATTAAAAAAATATTTAAGATTTCTTAAACATTAACAAATCTGTAGGAATGCTACTTCTGCCAGATATAAATGACTCCAGTAATTTAATACAAACTCATATACTGTAAAATCATTACTATTCGTTGGGCACTAAATTTTCATGGTTTTCATGGATAAGTCAATGAACGTGAAGATCCATTGAAATTTCATTTTGTCTACTATTTTGAATCACATTATTAACATTTTACCTTTTGGAAAAATAGATTAACAAATTAATGAATTTAAGAATCCATGAAAAAATATTTTTGACAAAACCATGAAATTTTATGCCCACAAAATTAAGTGAATTTACAGTATGTAATACCATCCTCAGACACTACATGTAAAATGCAATTTATATTTTCAAATTTTTTATATTTTTTTTTTAAAGAAATCGTAAAGTGGTTCTTGTCAGATTTTGAGAAAATGATTTATGAAAGAAGAAGTGATGGCTTTTTTTCTCAAAGTTCATTAAAATATATAAATAAACTGTCTGAAACCACCTCTGAGAGTGATACATTGATACTTTACTTTTGACAGGCTATCTATTTATATGATGTTATATTCATTGGTCACGCTTATTTCAATTCTTGAGAGAATTATAAAAGTTTCCAAAATGAAAAAACAAATTCTTAATATTTCTTATTGACGTTAATAATTTCACAATCATTTCCCATGTGTGTTTTGTAAAAAAGTGAAGTACTTTGAGTATCTGTTTACTTTGACCCTTTCCCCTTGTAGCTGAGGGTTACCTTTAAGGGTTGAGGCATCAGAATTGCAGCCACCGTTTTGTTATCCCTGCGTGATCATGAGAGGCAAATAAAATAAATTACATGTACTGGAGTCTATGCATCTCTTGGCTTCAGCAGGTGAAGTGGTTTTGACTTCTGGTGTTGCTTTAAGTTTGTAACACCCAAGGTTATCCAAAAATTATCTTTCCTATTTTGGTGCCATATAACCTAAATTATGTTGGTGGGCCGTATAACCAAACAATACTGTAACCATTAGCCTGCTAGCAGCAACAGATTCTACCCATGTGCCCATTTTACACCAAAATTGTACAGCACATTTGTCTGATCATGGTCTGTACTGTTTGCTATTCAGTCAGAACTTATTTTGAAATTTTCCCTATCATGATGAATGGTTTTGTCTGTGATGAAAGATGGACAAGTCCATTAAAAGGCATCAGAAACCCATATTTTTTTAATTCTTTAGAAATGTCAAACATGTGTATAATAATGTTTTAATTATGGATTAAGAGCATATAAGATGTTTAATAACTGAAGAAAGTTACTAAGTGCTGAATGTAAACAGAAGTGCAGTCATGTGTTATAAAGGTAGCAAAATGTTAACAAAGTAGTATTTACAATTCCAAAATACTAAGCAGTCGGTTTCTTATATGATTTTGAATAAAATGCATAATTTACTGCAGAATGACAAGATTTATTTTGTGTCATCTATGACAATACGTTAAGTACATTATTACATTCACATCCATCATTTTACACTTTGGAATTTATTCTAAATTTCTTGCTTTGTTGCAAAACATTTTATTTTACATTTTCTTCAAATGGAAGGACAATGTTTTCTATTCTCTGCATACAAATAGTGGACTGTACAACTGTCTGGTTTCATGTAATGAGGGTAGTTTATCAAAACTAATTACATGTATCTTGAAACCAGACTAAAATTAAATCTTATTTAAACATTTTGTCTCCATCTGAAGGGGAACTGTTTTGCATTAGACAAAACACATTGGTATAAGGGCTGTTGCATTGCATTGTCACATCTGATTTTTCAATCTATCCATGTTTTGTTAACTATCCCTATGGCAATGACTTCATCAAACCCATCCTGTCACAGTTTAAAATGAGAACTAGTATGGAAGTAATTGAATAACCATATGGCAACCCTAATCCCCTTTAATTTCCATTTTCACAACTACGCATATCTAAACGGACATTCGTAAAGATGATATTCTATTCAGCTCTTCTCAAATTATGCAGGGCACAGCTGACCATTCCTTTGCAGCCATTTTACGTGTGCGTAAAACCTCGCTTGTTCACTATAATTATAACAATTGTCAACAGACAAAGTAAAAGGTAGTTCATGTATATGGCAAATGAATTTTTTTTAAAACTGTAACAAATACCTGAAATGAGAAATAAAAATAAAGCATTTTGAGGCATAATGGGCAATGATAGCATTTTGAGGCATAATGGGCAATGATAGCATTTTGAGGCATAATGGGCAATGATAGAATTTTGAGGCATAATGGGCAATGATAGCATTTTGAGGCATAATGGGCAATGATAGCATTTTGAGGCATAATGGGCAATGATAGCATTTTGAGGCATAATGGGCAATGATAGCATTTTGAGGCATAATGGGCAATGATAGAATTTTTGAGGCATAATGGGCAATGATAGCATTTTGAGGCATAATGGGCAATGATAGCATTTTGAGGCATAATGGGCAATGATAGCATTTTGAGGCATAATGGGCAATAAAAGCATTTCTGAGGCATAATGGGCAATGATAGCATTTTTGGGGCATAGTGGGCAATGATAGCATTTCTTAGGCATTATCGGCATTCATAGCATTTCTGAGGCATAATGGGCATTATAGCATTTTTAAGGCATAATGGGCAATGATAGCATTTCTGAGGCATAATGGGCAATGATAGCATTTTGAGGCATAATGGGCAATGATAGCATTTTGAGGCATAATGGGCAATGATAGCATTTTGAGGCATAATGGGCAATGATAGCATTTTGAGGCATAATGGGCAATGATAGCATTTCTGAGGCATAATGGGCAATGATAGAATTTTTGGGGCATAATGGGCAATGATAGCATTTTGAGGCATAATGGGCAATAAAAGCATTTCTGAGGCATAATGGGCAATGATAGCATTTTGAGGCATAATGGGCAATGATAGCATTTCTGAGGCATAATGGGCAATGATAGCATTTTGAGGCATAACGGGCATCTGAGGCATAATGGGCATTGATAGCATTTCTGAGGCATAATGGGCATTGAAGCATTTCTGAGGCATATTGGGCATTGATAGCATTTCTTAGGCATAATTGCCATTTCTGGAAATAGGACTCAATATGGTTTACCAACCAGTATTTTGGCAAGTTCACATTTGAACAGTTGACACTGCAAAGTTATCTTTGTAAACTGTGACTGTTATACCTGTTACTGTATAAATCATATTAGCTACAGGAACTTCATGGATAAGGTACCCTATAATGTCTGACAAAATCCATAAAGGGGCACCAGAGGTCTTCTTCCACCAGACTTCTCCCTTCCCCTAGGTAAGTGCACATTGTTTAGAAGGCACAGGGCATTAGCAGATGATTGAAGATCTGATGCAACATTTAAGACGGCAAATTTGCATACTCTGTACAGCTTGGGGTTAAGTTTAAGGCGGCACAACTTAGATTGTATGAAGAGAGCTGCCAGTGTCCTGACAAAAGCTGAGGTGAGTGGACCTTAAATGTGTCAGATCTGACAAGTCTGCTAGGGTGTGTGAGCCCCTAGCACAGAGTGACAGCAATTAACAGTCCTGTACAAGTTCCTTCTACAACTATTTGAAAAATGCAGACATATTTACATTGCGATTTCCTATATGGTGCATAAAGAATAAATGAAACACATTTCAGATGTTTAATATGTTTTTATTTTGCTAATATGTCTGATAAATCAGTGTGAAATATTTGTACATGTAATTTATTACACATTGCACTTTGATTACCAAAGTCAGCAGCCTATTGTATAAGCAGACTCATCAGTGAAATATAACATCCAATAGTTACCTCCTTTTACATTAATGAAAACAAGGGAGGTAATTTATTTTACAGTACAACCCTGAATAAACAGGTACACCTACTTGCAAGGAGTTCATACTATTTTGTGTGTGTGCAAAAATATGGGACTCTAAAAAAAACTGTTTAGGATTTTAATCTTTTAATTTTCATTATAAATTCATAAAATTTCATCTCATTTTTACTTCTGCTTAAAATGTGTAAAATTATATCTGTATTTTCTAAGCTCTAACTCAGATCTGTTAGAAACTGGCATAGAATGTACATTGGACCCCTGATAATCCTGAGTTTCGAGACAGGGTCCAATAAAAAATTTATAATCTTGAAGCCATGGATACATTTGACTTGATAATACAGTCAAACCTTGTTTAAAAACCACATCTGAACAAAAGTCACCCTGTAAATAAAGGCCACTTTTTGTCAATCCTTCATTGATGAAAAAGAACAAAATGACCTCAAAATAAAGCCCACTTGTCTATAAAGGCCATGTTCGGTATCTCCCTAGTATATGACCTTTGTTCACAAGTTTGACTGTACTGAACTTTTTTTTCTGTTACACAATTGTTCTCTGTCAATCTCTGAATAAGTTGTGGAAACATTTACACAATTGGAATACAATATAATTAAACATGAACTCAAACAAAAAGTCAATTTGTTCATATACAAAAATATAAATTTTCAATATAAACAGCTGTACACATTCTGTACTGAAAACTTTGTAATGGATACCAACATAAAAAGGTTCTACAATATTTTATTGTCCTTTTCACCCAATATAAAAATTGGGAGTTTAAAAACTCAAACAGTATTCCTATGTATTCATAAATTACATGTAGAAGAAACATTTACTTCTTATAAACAGAGCTATGTTAAACTTGTTGAAATAATAAACTTCTATACTCCTTTCTCTTGCTTCCTTTAAGTTAACACTCTAAGACAGTAAGCTAGCATTTTAAAAACATATCTTATTTGAGAATTTTAATTAATGCCAATTACACTAGATACACAACAGACAAACTAATAATTAAATAAAAATAAAACATAGATTTATAATCTTACAAATTAAAGTAAAGGAAAAACCATTAACACTCACCCTTATATATTATTTTCATCTTGTTATGTTTTAAGTTAACAAAAGGAATAATTCACAGGGACTTTCCAGCACTACTACTGAATGATGAAAGCCAGGTGCGCTTTTTCTTTTAAATTTTTTCTGTGCAGAAGCTGAGCTCTAAAGTACAGACACCGGTCATCTGCAAGCTAGCTTGACCCCCACAGTTAAGCCACTTACGGTATGCTCTATATATTAAGCTCTCTAAATAACTTCCATCAAATATAATGGAGTTTGTCCCAGTCTGGGATCCCAACACCCGGCAGTGAGGACATAGCTAATAATTAAATACAACCTTTTTAAGAAGTATTCTAAACTAAAAAGAAACATTATAATATCATATATCAACAATTTATCAACATTTGGCCTGCTGGCAGAAACTGAATATATCCATGCCAAGATCACAGTCTGCACTGTTTGCTATTCAGTCATTATATATATTTTGAAATATCCCTAAAATAATGAATGGTTCTGTCCAAATTGAAACATGGAAAAGTCTATTTTAGACATTTAGCCTTGTAATAGTTACACAGAACCTTATAAGCTTGCCTTTATAAGTTCTACGCTCATGAATTAAATTAAAAATGCTAAATCTACTATTTTACTGTTTACTACAGTTCATAAACTTAAATGAAGTTAAAAAAAAAAACCTTCCCCAGACCATGCTGACCATATTTCACATCCTTTGAATAATAAGCAATGAAAATACACATTTTTTCCAAGACATAAATAGTGATGAAAAGGAGAGTTGTAGAGCACACAATCTAAAAATCTTATTTTTCAACAATAAAAACATAGAAATACAAACTTTCCCTGACAGAAGAATTATCATGAAAAAATGGAATGTTAACTGAGAGCTCTTACATTATAAAATATAAGAAGTTACAAATTAAAAAATCTCTTTGATAAAATAAAAATCTAAAGTTTAATTAAGCAATTGGAGACATTATGTACAAAGGAAAATATTTCTAGAAATAAACATTTTTTTTGTAAAGCAGCTGATTTATGTTGTGTGTGAAATAAGCATCTGTTTGAAAATGATGACTATATGACAAGTGAACTTCTTTTGTTAAATATTTTAAGGGTCTGGTCATTAAAGAGCTCACCTGGTTTAAACAGAACATCTTTCAAAAGAGCCTACCTCTTTATAACCAATGGCAATTTTTCTAAAATTGTAATCAGTTTAATTTGCACATCCTTCTGAAAAGGTCACCTGTTTCAAACAGAACATCTGTCACTAAGAATACCTGTTTTAAAGTGACCATCTATTTGTATTAAAGTGACCATCTATTTAAAGTGATAACCTAAAAATTGACAATATACAAGCTACAGCCTGTTTGAAATGACCAAGTGACCACCTGTTTTAAAGAATCTGTCTATAAACAGAGCCAAATGTAAAATGAAAGTATGATTACATAATTTGGTCTGGCGTATATTTTTTGACATTAGTAAAGCAGTTATGTAATATTTCAATAATATATTATCTTCTGCTTGAAAGCCAAGTTCGTGATTAATTAAAAAATATTAAGTTCAACTTCAGAGTTACTGCAGGAATAATTAAACCACTAATACTGTCAGATAACAAAACTATTGTTCTCAAAATATTAATTTAACAGACAGGAGAATTAATAATCATCATTATTTCAATATAACACACATATATTCGCAAACATCTTTCCATTTTTCTATACAAATGTACCTATCTCACTCCCTTGTTAAAGTTTATTCTGTCAAGTGTCTAGGCACTCTTATACAAAATTAATATTTCCAGTAAATGTCATATGTTACATCCCAGAATGCGTGTCATTTTTAAAAACAGATGGGGGCTTTCTGGCTATACAGAGTTAAATATCTGATTCTGCATTAAATCTGCAAGCTGCAGAATCAATTGCAAGAAAATTATGGAGTGTTGTGAAGTAATCTTTCATATTTAATGTAAAGATATAATTATTGGGCTACATGAAGAAATTCTTTTCTTCTGATAAAAATGGAATTGAATTATATGATCTTGTACTCTTACATATTTTATATTCTAAATTTACTCTATTGTTAAAAAAAGCAGTAGATTTTATCTTTATGATACAAAATACTGTCTTTAATTAAACATTGTTAAAATTCAACAAATTAGAACTGCGCATACACATTCAATAAACTAATTTTAAGTTTACTGTATAAAATGCAGTTCATGTAGTTAACATGAAAAAGCTTTTCTGAAATATTAAATTTTAAAATAATCACTGACTGTAACATCATCCTGCTAGTTTAGAACTGTTTATAAATAAAAGAAATATATACTGGCAAATTACCATTCTAACACTCTAATGTACTATTACAGTGCTAAGAGAGAGTACGGTAAATAACTGGCCTGAGTCACTAGTACACATCCAGGTGAGCTGGCACATCCGCGCAGTCTTGCCACACTATGCTGTTAGATGTGTAATGTAAGAATTGTAACATCAAAATGGCTAAAATTTATTAAATTCAAACTTAAAGCTTTGCAAGTCATATTAAATTTAGAATGGCAAATGTTTATCATTAAACTTTCCTGTTGTACCTATTTAAGTATTAATCTTTCATTGAAAAAAATATCATTTTATAAATGTCAGTTATTTGATAAATGTTTCATTACAATTTTTTTTATTTTTTTTTTATAAACATCAATTATTTTAGAAGACAAAATGTCGAAAGCTAAAGTAAAGTGTTTGTAAACTGATTATATATTTTATTGTTTCTTAATGGGAGACTGAGCAAAGTTAAATTATTACATGTGACAATTTACTTTCAATTATAAAATAGGAATAGTAATGATCTTATCTTACCATATAACTAACATTAGTAATTGCACATAGATACACTAAACAAAATTAACACAGTTATAAACAGAGAAATTTTAATCTTTCAAACTGATTATAATAAGAGACATTATATGTGAAGTTTGAAAAACGAATGGATAGATTTAGTCTATTTTATAAGTGATAATAACGACCAAAATTTGTAGAAATTTGAAAAGCAAAACCAAATATCATGTCACAGCTAAAATATTGCCTTCCTCTCTACCGGTCACTTTCAACACAACTAATTTTCATATTCAATACTGGTCACTACATGTTAATTAGTTGCAAAGTGTTTAAAATTAATATAATTGTTAAGATATTTGCATCAAACTATACAATATTACTAAAAGTTAAATAAATAAAAAAAAAGCATTGGTAGAATCTATTTTTACTGACCTTGACCTATATTTAGTAACAAGTCATGAAGCTTGCCTGTTCCTATCATTTTATCAGAGCAAACTCATATAAAAACTACATTTCATTGAAAATGATCTGATTAAACAAAATACAAATTCTACACCATATAACCATGCACTTTAACCTCAAATTTGTAGCAATATTTTGGTCACTGCACAAAAAGGAAAAACAACTAAAGTACATTGTACTGCAAAAACAGTTTTTGTGGTCTGATTATGACAAAATGCAACAAAATATTTCTTAAATCCATAAAACTTTATAGAATACATGTAATGGTTTATGATAAATCATGTTTTCAATAGAAAGTGTAAAAAAAAAAATCAAAACAAAATATTTTTTTTTGTCAGCTACTAGGCTACTGTTTATATTAATCTACAAAAAACAAAAGCAAATGTTTAACATGTACACCATAAAAATTCTGTAAAAGGCCTGCCTATTTCTATATAATATATATAATTATATACATATATTTTACAATATTATAATAACTCTTCTATACAATTTCTGTGCATGACTACACAAGATATGTCAATTTTATATCACACAAATAAAGATCCTCTTCCATGCCTCACAATGCCAAAAGTGAATTATATAAAAATTAACTTTGGCGGGTAAAAAATATAAGTAACAATATATAAAAAGAAATGTCTAACAATAATTTTGGAATTTCTGCGCCTGCCGTGATTGATCATAAAATCACACAACAATCATTCTTAAACTTATCGTCCTCGCCTATAACTGGTGCTGAACTCGGTGCCGAGAAACGCCGTAACGGTCCACTATCTGAAATAAAAGTCGGCGGCCTTGACTGGCCAGTCGTATTGTTATTATTGTTCTTAACGTTTTTACCATTTTGCGTGCTCTCTTTATGAACTTGCTGAGGCGGCGTTGTTGCACTGCTACTGCTGTATTTCTTTCCATCACCTGCTAAACTGTGCAAGAACAAACTCTGTACTTGCGCGTCCAAACCGTTACCAAACTTATGTTGTTCTGACCGTTGTTTTTTCAGATCAGCTAGAGTTCCGGTACCAGTACCGGTAGGGTACCGCGCTTGATCAGATTCTTCTGTTTGTTCTATAGAAGTGTTTAACAAATCCTGACTTCTACGTCTTTGTGATTCTCGCTTTTTCTGGAATGATGGCGTTCTGGATATCCCAGAACTGCCTTGAATATGTTTAACTTGAGGATTAGGGGCCACAGGTTGATTACTGGTTACCTGTGGTCTAGTTTCATCATTATTACTGCTCTGTGGTCGAGGTTCTCTGGATCTTGATGACTCTTGCGGGGAATGTGAGCCTCCTTTAGGACCAGACTCCGCCCTGCCCATATGAACATGAATAGGCTCTGGGGCACGAGAATTCCTAGTTTCACTTTCAGCACTTTTATTCCGCTGGGATTCTCCCCTGGCGGCTGTCTGAGCAATTTGTTCATTTGAAATATTCTCTTTTACTTTTTGAGAGTTTCTTACTGGTTCTCTGGAATTAGGAGGCACAGTTTTTGATGTTTTAACATTGTCATGTTTATCGTTTTTGTGTCGCTCTGTATGCTCATGTCTCTCTTTAGCTTCGTGTCGATGCTTGTCAGGTTCGTCTTCAATTATGCTGATTTTAACATCATCGATATTTGTAGCCGGTAAATTCTCCTTGTTGTCATCCTAAATAGAGAAGAAACAACATTGTAACAGTAAAATAACATTAATATCTGCATTCAGTCAAACTTGTATATTGTATTAGCATCCTTTGGGGTTGTTTTTTTTTTTTTTTTTTTTTTTTTTTTTTTTGAATAAACATGTGTATACTGTAGTTAATACACATATATGTGTGGGATCTGTACTACAATTAACAGAATCTAGCAATGTAGGACTATCTGGGCTTTCAAAGTTTATTTCTAAAAGAATAATTTTTGTCCTAACAGTTTTAAGGCATCATAGAAAACTGTTTATTTATAAACTAGAGTAGGACAGCAGTAGGACAGCGTACTTGACTATTCTCAGTGCTTGATAGTAAAATAAAGTAAAATTTTCAAAGTTCAAAAAGGGCAATAATTCTGTCAAAATCCATGTTAGAGTTATTGGCTATGGGCAATGACCTACTATGCTGAAGTTCCAACCCATTCCCATCAGTTGTTTTGGAGATACCAACTTGCATGCAAAAACTTAACCAAAGTGGGATGCCAATGCTTGGGTGAGTACAAAAGCTCTTCCTATTCTTCAAATAGTCGGGCTAAAAAAAATCTTGAAATTATTATGATATTTTGCGACATAATTTTGCAGATATTACTCTATTTTATCACAATGCACATTAGTATTCCATTATGTATGTGTTGATATGATGACACATATTGTTTCCCATATCCTTGTCCAGTTAAATTTATCAAAATTTTAATTTTGTACAAGTAACCTTTTCTATAAATCAAACTAATATCAAAGACTTTTTTTAAATTTTCAAAATTCTTGTCTTCAACATTTTTTCGTGACTTTAGTGCAAAATTTCTTATTGCCAATCCTCGATACTTTATGTATTATTTCACATTTTCCTCAAATATTGATTTACATTATAGTAATTATACCGAAACTCCCATCTACTTTTTTATTATGGTAAATCACGTTTCCCTCATATAAAAAATTTCACTAAAGAGAACAGTTTTGGTTTCCAGGGAGATGTCCTCCCAAAAATTGCTAGATAAAAAACAGATTGGTATTTTATTTGCTTTCATCATGCAGTAAGTTAATTTATATAATCAAATATTCCGATACTTTCATACATTTTATCATACTAACAAACTTTTAATAATATGATGAACTCTAAATTGTATTTTATATGAAATTACCAATGAACCCCCCAAAGTTAACTGGAACACTAGTAAGAGACCTTTTACTTTTTTGTTTTTATATCTTGGTCCAAGACTTTAGATGTCCCAAGATGAAAATATTCATTATTCTTAGTTGTTGGTTTTTCCCCATTTGATTAAACAATTAGTAACTTCAGAATAAATCATTGTTACATACTGATGAATACACACATTTCTTACAAAAGACAAGTAATTTAATTGCTAGAACCAAAAGAGATTTTGCCATCATTATTTTCTAATATAAGAACCACTGCCAAACTGAATATTCCTGCAGTCTGACCAAGCTCTATAATGCTGGTACATGTAGTACATTTTTTTGTATTTTGATTTAGACATTCCTTTAAAATTTTAAATGAACTGTTACAAATCAAACGCTTGGCAAATCACTAACATAACTTCAGTGATTAGCCTCTGCCACTAGTATAGACCAAGGCTTGTTAGCACATTTCTGTATTCTGACCAGGCTCTATACTGTTGGTACTAATAGTACAATGTTTGTGTTTTGAAACTAAACTACCTTAAATTTCAAATAGACAATCCAAAAGCTGAGGAAATCAATTAGCCATTTGCTAACAAAGGGTTAAATTCAAACCATTTCTTACAGACATTTCCTGTGAAGTTTGGTCAGGATAAATATTGCTGGTCTCAATGTCTTCATTAACTACTGTTAGATGGTAAACCACTGTTTTAACAACTTTTTTTAATGTTACATACTGGTATGTCATACCAGGAACATCACTGCTCAGTTTTAATAATATTGGCCTATTGGTACAGGAGATGTTAAGAAAAAGTTTTGATGCCATTAACAATGAATGCACCTATGAACACTTTGTGCTCAGGTGAGGTGAGCTAAAAAGTGATTTTTTTTTTCAAATATATAAACCATTTCAAATCATTAAGTTTTGAAGAGTTTAAATGACCACTGATAACATACCATATAATCTCCGATCTCGTCATCATCACCTAAACTCTGACCAAATGGATGAAGAGCCTCTTCCTTCGCTTCCTTCTTAAACAACGGCCTTTTTTCTCCCCGCATACTCGTCCGTCTTATCGAAGCACTGAAATATAGAGGTAATACATCAAATTCATGATTTCCAATTTCCCTCATTAAAATGAATTCCCTTCCGAGAATTTGTGTTTTAAAACGAAAAAAAAAAATATGTGAATAAATGAATGAATTTCAAACTTTGAGAAGCTCTTTTTTTATATAATGAAGCATGCTAAAACCAAGAGATCAAATAATGGAAAACAGTTTATAATCTAATTGTTACAAGAAAAAATCAAAATCAATAAAAAAGCCTTCTAAGAAAATTACAACATGAGCATATTTTTCTCTCCTCTATTTTAAGGAAAAAAGAGGAATTTAATCTAATATTTAGAAGTTGACATAAAAAAAGAAAACAGTCATAATTACATGCCAATAGCATGCCAGGCTTACAAACGCATGCAATTACTAGAAAACAAAAATTATCAAAAACTCATATGAGATGATCATGTTTTTAATTCAGATGCTATTTGAAGAAAGTTTGATACAGATTTTATGTTTACAAATTCTAATGAATAGATATGATTATTAATTTCAGTAAATGGACAAGAATATTAAATTATTTTATTTAAAACAATTTAAATTCAATTTTCCATTTAATTATTTTTGAAAGGTTTCAAATTTCTTTATTTAAAATTCTGCCAATCCCTTTATTAAACATTTTTAATTTTCTTCATATGATCGACCCTTAGATTAACCAGTACATGAAAATATGGAGATCATTTAAGATTATAGTATAATAAAATGAATGTACATGTACCAGTCTAAAATCACCTATAATGAATGTACATGTACCAGTCTAAAATCACCTATAATGAATGTACATGTACCAGTCTAAAATCACCTATAATGAATGTACATGTACCAGTCTAAAATCACCTAAAATTAATGTACATGTACCAGTCTAAAATCACCTATAATGAATATACATGTATCAGTCTAAAATCACCTATAATGAATGTACATGTACCAGTCTAAAATCACCAACACACCATTCTTGCTTTACCTCTAAATACCCATACATTATCACACACCAAATTTTGATATTATTCATTCAGTTAATTAAAAAATAATATTTATATTTTGTTCACTATAAATAATAATCTATGTAATGTATAATGGTGACAACACCCTGTTATGACAACATTCAACCAAAAGTAAGTCAAAACAAACGCCACATTTACAATAGCATATGTTACTTTTTACTGAAAACAAGTTAAATAGTCAGACATGTCTTAGATTTTACTTTATTAGATTTCAATGCGAAAATTTAAAAAAAATGAGAAAAGTGAGTAATGCACTTTAAGTTTTATTACTATGATTTGAACAAACAAAAACTATTATCAAAATATTAAGAAAAATGGGAGGAGTCAAAAAGTGGACAGAGGTTTTAAGGGGATATCAAATAATGAAATTTGTTAAACTAGATAATTTCTCGACATATCATATTGTAAAAAGACGTTAACATATACTTTACAGAAATAAATGAAATCAACAGCAAACATGATACAGTTTTTTTCGTATGCAACCTTCTAAAAGAATCATCATAGCATATTGCATGCCATGCACTTTAATCCTATAAGACAGGCACAAGTGCTACAAATGGCCTTCAGAAACATCGAGGGCTGCTTGATTCATTGGAACAGAAAAATAAAAGCCTAAGTTCTGAAATTGAATTGTATTTGTAAGTTGTAATTACGTGTATGTAAATATAAACCTATTTTCTAAAATAAACTTGCCCAGTCTCTATGTTTTAAGCTGATTCCATTATTGGTTTTAGGGATATTAAGATGAAAACTTACAGTTAATCGGCCAACAGAGTAAAAGCCTGGAGAGACTGTACTAATGGTCAGGCCAGCCCGGCTCTACACTTGTGGCATAGTTTTTTTGTTCAAACAGGAAAAAGGTTAAAATTTGAGCTGCGTCACAACAAAACCAACATAATGGGTTTGCGACCAGCATGGATCCAGACCAGCCTGCCCATCCGCACAGTCTGATCAGGATCCATGCTGTTCGCTATCGGTTTCTCTACTTGTTATAGAGTTTGTAAGCGAACAGCATGGATCCTGATCAGAATGCGCGGATGCGCAGGCTGGTCTGGATCCATGCTGGTCGCAAACGCACTATGTTGGTTTTGTCATGACGCGGCTCATTTGTTCTAATATGCATAGAGAAATTGAGACTGTTAAGCTGACAACAGATAATTTACAGATAATTTCAGATAAATAACCGAATAATGTTATATAATAGCAATTTTTGTCATGAAAAAATATCGGGAACGCAGTAAATCATATTATTTGGCCTTTTAAACAATGAAATACTACATGCAATGAAAACATATACCATACTTTCATACTTAAGATCAGAATTTTTACATTTGTAATGTATATTTTAGTTAGTGCTTAAGCAACAGCCTTAACACAAAATCCCCGACAAAATCAGCATGACTTTATTTAGTCCAGAAATGTAAATGCTGATGCTATAATGGGGTGATTATGCAAAATAACAAGTCTCCTTTGGACCAAAGGTCACTTCCTGATTTATCTTTACTGCCCTATATAAATCTTTTTTCTTCAGACCAAATCAGGTCTTTCTCAGAACAAGTTCCGTCAAAATTTCAGGACAAGTCATGTTACAATTTGGTTAATTTTCTTTGCATGAATCAAGCAGACCTAGCATCACTATAAGATGTGTTACAACACAAAAAGCTTGTATATTATGAAAAAAAGATGATATATATATATATACAACTAGATGATATACCTTGGTGTATTTAATGACTGTTTCAATGAAGAACTAGTTGACCTAAAAGTGATTCATATAATGTTAAATACTAGTAACAATATAAACCAGTAATCAAAGAAAAAAAACATAACTGCAAAATAAAGCTGAAAAACAAAAATCAATTCCCTGTAACCAAAACTTATTAAAACAAATCTTAAGGCGTTACTTGGATTCCAAAGCTTTTAAAACATACACACAGGCAAGTCATATTGTTCTTCTTAAAACTCAAAAATGGTGTTCACATATACTGTTTATCTACTTTTACCTGTATTACTTTTGGTTGAAATAATTAATTTTCTTAGGTAATGCAGGTCCTAATGCTTAATTATATTGAGTAAATAACAAATTTGAGTATTCATGCTGAAGAAAACCACCCTCTTACTTGCACTTTGACTTTTCAATTTGCAAAATTATTCTTCTACATATCACACTATCATTATCTGCTAATATATATATAGAAACTGAAAACTCCACTATATCATGGAACGTGAAATTACTCCCATTACCACTTTTCAGAATAACAATGAGCCATTTAGAGCTCATAGAGTCAACCTCCCTGCATAATTGAGTTATAAGATGCATTGCTAAGTTATGTATTCTTACATGCTTCAAATTTGAAAATGTCAAAATATATACATTGTCGTAGCCAATTTAAGAAAAGTCTTTTTTGAGCTCCCTGTGACCTCTTTACCTGTATAAATATGGGGCCTTTACACAACATCTACAAATATAATGGTCAAGAATTAGTTAAGGGCATTTTGATCAATTGACCTGATTAAAGCAAGCACCTTATATGATACTCATGACTACTCTAAATATACACGTAGTAAAGATTTATGGCGGAAAGCTTTGAAGCAAGGCCCTGTACCTGACCTGACCTAGTGACCTAAATCAATAGGTCATCTCTAATCATGCACCCATGCAATATGAAACTTAGGTCAAGGAATCTTAGATGGCGACAAGAAAACCGACGAAAGCTATCGTATACCCTTACACTTGTGTGCGGGAAAGAAGACTACCATCCAATACCATTTGAACGAAAAGAATATTTTTTATTTTGACTTGACCTTAAAATATAACTTATGCAAAATACAATACTGCTATTGAAATATAATAGTAGGTATAATTATTAATGTATGTGATATATGACCTTACAGTACATATAATTCACCTATCACCAACTGTCTAAGAATCTTATTGCATCATTGTGAATTAATTTAAGGCATTCAACGATGAAGGCCAAATAATTTTAAATAACTGGACACAAGCCAATGCCATTTCAGACTGTCGATATTGAGAGATTTAATTTTCACCTTGACCCTGGAATTGGCAACAATACAGGCTGTGGGTGTGATATGGGTTTGGTAATTATATATACAGTACCATATAATCTAATATCACATAAAACCTATCCCCACATATTTAAGGTATCATGATTCTGATATTACTGTTTCACGCACACAGAGGTAACATTTAATAAATGTTCTTCTATCATTATACACTATCAAGATGAACAAAAACTATCTGAATTGTAAATTGAACAGCCCTTCTACAAAGAAATGTATTACTGATAAAGCCATTTCAATTATAGTCTTTAAAAGCACTCCTTATTTCTATATCTGAGATTTTGCAGGTTTACTCAAGTCTGGTAATAGAATAGTCCATTCCCACATACTAGTAAAAAAAATAATCATGACCTTGCCTTATTTTTAGAACATTTTGTTTGTCATTCATGAGGAAATTAAATGAAACCTCAAAATTTATCATTATGCAATAGGGACTGTATAATATCACTTCAGAAACAAATATCCTTTAAGGTTGGTTATATAACTTGAAGACCAATACAGGAGACAAAATCAACAAATGACTGCTTATCAGAATAAAATAGATACCAAATTAAAATAGAACTATTTTTCCTCTCTAGATCTATGGGAATAATAAATGTAAATGCTATCAAAATATTTTGAATGGTATGTATGTATTTTTGATACAGAGTACTACTACAAAAAATAAATCAATTATAAAACATAAAAGATTACATATCAAATTAAAGAGGCCTAAGTACATTGTGTATATATAGTAAGTGTTTGGAAAAAAAGGAGAAATTTAATACAAATTGTCAGTAAGGAGATGTACATTCAAATCACACAGTCAGCTGACTTCAAACCTGTTTGAAACTGGCTATTCCTGACCTTGACCTTTGACCTTTTAACACTTTTAAAACATTAACCTTTGACCTTCGAATTAAAATATAACAATCAAGCATCCATCTGTTCAAGTATTCTCAAGAGATAAAATGAATTAATTTCTCCAAAAGAAGTGATCTGTTCGGATGGCATACATTGTAGTTGAATTTTCTTTTTAATCACGTTGAGAAAAACGCTTACTTCATTTAAATACATGTATATTTATTGCATTAAATCTTCTGGATACATATGATTTAAAATAGAACGTTTCCCATTCATTGATCAATTTATGCTTTGACTTCTGATTTTTCTCAGGAAACTGTCCTAGAAATTCGTGCAAACTTGATTTGTGAAAGCCATAAAATCATGATGAACGTAACAAAGCTGAGCCATAAAACTTGAGTTTTCATCTTATTATGGATTCTCGATGGGGGGATGCTTTGTTTCTATAAGCCAATTATGACAGTGTACCCATGTTTCTCTGACAAGATTGTCAGACATTTAAAGCAGCAAATTAATGATGTAACAAACTGACTGTACAAGAAATCTGTATTAAGCTCTAAACTCCGAGAGGAAAAAAAAAGTCTTAATGAATGTGTATGTGTTTCCGTATTTTTCCTCGCATAAGACATTTTGTAAAGTGTAATAAAGTTGTCTTTTTTTATTGTCTAAGCTCTTACTCTTTGTAACATTATACCATGAAGCTTGCTAGAACTTTACAACTCTCCCCATCCAGAGCCTCGGACTTGCTTTTATATTTTTACCAAAAAAGGACGTAACCTGAAATGCCTAGATGATTAAGTGAGGAAATTACCAATTATTTTGGTATAAAAATCTAATACAAATGTACTACTGCATAAGGGGAAGTTGTTTTTCCAAGATTAAGTGTCTCATATGGGAAATGATTTAAGTAAAGAAACATGTAAAATCTAATGCAACTAATTCAAAATTATGATAAAGAATTAATGAAAACTTAATTTTGTCTTTTAAATTCTCAAATTACATTGGCATTACATTTATTACTACATCCTCCATTTAAGGGCTCTTCCACCTCCCACGGAAAGGAAATAAAATAATGAATAAACTATGTTTAATAAGTTTAAAAATATAATTAGCAAGTGGGACATGTTATTTCAATGATTTGATTTCACATTTGCATGCAAGAAATGACCAAAAAAAATTTAAATAAAGGAAATTCAGCCAAACTTCTTGAGTTTAAGCTTAAAACTACAGCCTGTATAGAATTGGGAAAAAAAACATGCAAGAAAAACCGGAACAGATTAAAATACCATATATTCAAACTCATACTAGTCTAGTTAAACTCTCTTTCCCTCCTAACCTACTATAAAAACATTGTAACTTTCACCTTTTTTTAGTACATTTCTGGGGCATATTACTTGGAATTTCCTTTCCTAACTATAACTAGCTTTAACGACCCTAAATTTCTAAAAATTTAGCCTAAGACTTTCCTGGCTTTTAATATCTCCATCGCAATCTTTAATACGCTACTGAGTAGATTATACAGCCGAAATAAAAAAATATTTCTTCAATTGAGCTTTCCATGAAAATCAAATGCTATCATTGAATAAATCATTAAGACAACTTGCCCGTGGAAAATTACGCGGTGCGTGTGCTCGTTTACACTTTATCCTTATTTGACGTCAGATAATGACTTAATAGCCCTACTTAGAAAAATCCATTTTCTTAAGAGATGTTTTGTATTTCCTGAGATTGTAACAAATTTTATCAATCAATCACTGCTTTATAATCGAAATCAGAATTTAAAAAAAAAAAATTAAACAAAACAATGTTAAAGCTCTAAAATGCAAATTGATGAAAATTTGAAAAGTTTTGATTTCCATGGTTAACATCATGATGAAGCCTGGTTGCTGATTGCGTAACCTTCCTGTGGTGAAACAGACAAATGTGTAATAATCTTATCCATTCCAAACAAGCTTGAAATAGGCAGCTGTCCTAGGTTAATGTCAGAATCAGGGTTCATTTACATAATCTTAACTCTAATTAATCTTCAGCCTTAATTGGCTTCTGTATCACAACTTTTTTTTTTTCTTTTTTTTTTTCAAGGTTGACTACTAAAAATATGCTGTTGTAATTTGTGTTGCTTGTAGTTAAAATATGGGAATTGTCTAAGTTTGTGAATGGAAATACAAAATAAGATTAACATTTCTCTACAGTCTGATTTGGTTACTTAATGAACAGCTCAGTTTGGTAATAAAATCAAATTCATCTTGTTAGGAATGGTGTACAACAAATACCTGATCAACTTAAAGACAGGCAATAAATGCTGTTACCAAATTGTTTTTTGTTTTCCTCAAAATTTAAATTTCAACAATTTGAATAAAGTGGCATTGAACATTCAATGTAACTGACAAAAAAATATAATTAAACCTTCTTTATTGATAAGAATAAAAAAGATGCAATTTTGTAATTTCCATTTCACAATTCGTATTCCCATAGTGGAAGTAATGAACATTTTTCGAATTTGCTTAAAATGTTGCGTTAGATTAAGTTACAGCAAATGAACCCTGACTGGTTGTTTTTTTTGTTAATCTGTCACGGATATATGTATAGAAATATTTGATCACCTGTGCCCATGGGACGAGGGCTTCTCATTAAGAGAGCCATTAGAGCTATATAAAGAACCGGTGCTGGAATAAAGGCTGAAATTTGAAAAAGCATTCAAGCAATGTATTAACCAGTTTTTTACACTGACCTATAACGAACCATGTTAGTGACTTTACAGTCAATGTAATATATATAGAGAGTGGCTGAGATTTCATACTTTCCATAATAATACTTGAAAAAAAGTCTCTTTGGTCAAGACCGCATGAATGTGCATCCGGTGAAAACTGGCTGTTAATTGGTAGTATTTATACCAGTAATCACTGGCACAAACATTATGAACGTGAGTGATATACTGAATATTGATCAGTGAAATATAATCTATATCAGTAATATTATATCAACTATTTGTAACATCTAATGATTCCTTTCGATAGATTCCAGATTTCAATAGAAACAAATTTTAAGATATAAAAAATTGAAATCTCATCCTCTCCAATTGTCATAGTTATTTCCCTTGTTTTGCTCAGATTTGCTGGCCATTTTCCAATACCAAACTTGGCAATATTCAAATGACAGAATTAAACAGGACAGTCAATACAATAGCAACATTTTTATTATAACTACCAAAAAAAAAAAAAAAAAAAAAAAAAAAAATTACACAAAAATAAAACAACAAAAATTTAAAAAATAAGCATTTTTGATTAAAAAAAAAAAAGCTCAAAATAGAAAATTGCAGGATAAACACTGTCATGAAATTTTACAATTTTGTACCATTAAGTCATTCCAAAATCTTCTTGTTTAAAGTAATATAATATTATACAATCCTTAATATATTTTCACACATATATTTTATATATAGAAAACCTGTAGAATATAGACAATCCTATCATCCTGTTATGACAGTCCCTGGGTGATTTATTACAAAAAGACACAAATACATAGAAAAAAACATGTAGTCTGTTTTGGATAATTTATCACAGGATAAGTCAAAATCTACATTCATGCCTTGTAAAACATCACTGCAATACATGGAAATAGACTTATATATATAATAGTAAAATGATGGAGAAATCCAGAGCTTTCTTAAGGGAAATAACTATATATTATTAGTTATACATAAAGATTTCTGACAGGGTAATATATGATCAATTATAAATATTTGCAATGCCATATAACAAGAGCCACAACAAGCCATGATTTATATGGCAAACAACCAATTTATAAATGGCCATAATTATAACCAGTGTCAAAATCTTTTATACTCATGAATTTATTATACTGCACACTTGCATTCTTTTGTTTCAAATAGTAAAAAATTTGCAAAAGCTGTGTAATATATAATTAATATAAACAGCACAATTGACCAATGAAAATAGAGGGTACAAATGCGCAATAAAAACTTAACATAGTACATTATGGTAGCACACATTTACATCTTAACTGCAGGCAATTATAGCACCAGTATAAATGCAAGAGGGCTGTGGATTGCAGTGTTCAAATTTAGTGAACTTTATATTCATACTTAAAGGGACTCCATTGATTTTTTGACATGACTGGACTGGAAATATTTTCGAGATTTATGTTCCATTTGATGTTGGTCTAGACCAATATCTTTTGTGAAAAAATTTCAGATCATTAATTTTGCTCACTTTGTTTTTTCAAGAATAATTATACTAATCCAAACACTTTTTACTCAAATCTGGCTAATTAAAAAAAAACAGAATATGATTTTCAATTTAATACTGAGTCTATTTCTTAATTATCTTTTGCATATCTTCCTCTTTTAAGTGACCCAGTAGGTCTATGTAAGAATTTAAAAATTTTAGGCTTTTGGACATTAATGGAGTTCCTTTAATGTTGAGGTGACATAATTATAACTACTGTACTGGTCAAGAATACACTAACTTGGTATAGTAATTTACACAATTTAATAATATTATTATTATGGTCATCATGATCACTGCCTTTGCCCAAAATTTAATCTGCTTCAAACAGCCAATTATTTGTCTGTAAGCAGACGACAAGGCTTTCAATAATGGCAGAACTTTTGTTAGTGCCAGTTTTCTGTAGTTATAGAACAGGATCTGTTTCAACAGTCACAAATTTTAAACCTGTATAATATAGTTTACTACAGAATTTATACATATAACCCTCTGCATTTCTACTGGTGCTTCTGTTATAAAATAAAAATGAATTTGCAAAATGAAATATTCAGACATTACGGAGACTTTGCTACGACCTCATTCTATTACACAATTTCTAACTATTTATATTATCTGAAAAATGAAATGAGCCGTGTCACGACAAAACCAACATAGTGCGTTTGCGACCAGCATGTCTGATCAGGATCCATGCTGCTCTCTGTAATAGGGTAAGTAAGCGAACAGCATGGATCCTGATCTGACTGCGCAGATGCGCAGGCTGGTCTGGATCCATGCTGGTCGCAAACCCATTATGTTGGTTTTGTCATGACGCGGCTCAAATATTAATCATAAGTTAATTGAAATAATTCCGCGATAATTAATAAAACATTATACAAACAACTGCAGTAGGCATATCTGTCATTTGCTTTATAAATATTTCATCCTTGTTAATGCCTCTAATATTACATTTTGTTTTTGTTACTATGTTATTTCAGTTAAATGCCATGCATCTATTTTATATGATATGATTTGTCTCAATGGAAGCATAGCCAAATACCGAGCAGTCTGTGTTAAATTTGGCATGATTATATTTCATATACATGTATATAATTATAATATACATGTAATTAATATATGTTTTGATAAAGCTTCAAATTATTTTTTGTTTTTTTTTGTTTTTTGTTTCATTATTGTTATGAGTTATGGTAGATTTTTTATAATACCTGTTGCATTTAATTAACTTCAGTAAATCAGCAACTACAGGTAAACCTAAATAAACTAATTCCAGTCTTGATTTATATATATTTTTATGTCAATGGTGCATTGTATATCCATATCTAAAACTCATTTTTTTTGTATAATCTGTTATAAATTTTCTTGTTCAGTATGTTTAATCATAGTTAATAAGTTAAAGAAATCGTTGGGAATGTGCCAGCAAGAATAAAGCAGTAACTATGCAACTAAAGGAGAAAGAAATAACCAAAGATCATTCTCAATACAAAAACATCAAATGTCAAAATTTTAATTTTAAACAACAACATTTCAAATAAAACATTTCATATATATCAAGGCAGACAAATTAATGTTATATCTACAGTTAAAATGCATTTCTACACCATTCCAATCTATAACATCATCTATTGTAACAGTCAGTCCACACTCATGCCAACAATTTGAACGTCTAAATTCATCTTGAAATCTCATCAATGTTGACAATATTAAAATAAAGAGAGACACTATCGTGTACCTAGGGATTGTAGAAAACCCATCTAAACTAAACCCAGACAGTGTGCATGATCTAATACTAGATATTTACAATTATTTGTGAGCTTACCCTCGTGTATTCACCCTGCGGTTGCGTACATGGTCCTTTGACCGACTTGCTTTGTGTGTCTCTAGCTCATCTTTGAGGTCTAATATCTTCTGTTTTACATCAGGATCTTCAGCTAAATCTGCAAATATATTATCATAAAATTTCAAATTAGAATCCTCGTCTCAATCTGTAAATATATCATCATAGGATTTTACATTAGGATCTTCATCTTAATCTGTAAATATAATAATACTTATTAGTGGAGCTAAAAAATGAAAGGACATGAACAAACAGTTTTTGTACTTTTTGAGTTATGGTAGGATCCAGATTTTTCTCATGAATGGACAAAGGATAAACCTATAGTTCCTTTTCAGTGAAAGCTGTATGAGACTTAACAGCACACAAATCTGTTATATTTGTACAAAATGTAATTTCATTAAATTTTACTTATTGATATTATAACTACAGATAATGTTTTCATAATATCTCCAACAATTCTCTGTTTCTGTCTCATCTAAAATGTATTTTACGAAAAAACAGTCTAAATGACAGGGCACTGTATCAATAATATAAGAAAAGAATATAATTATGTTTTCTAACAAGCATTCACATTTCAATAATTTATGATTTTGGAGAAAGATCATTTTTAAGTTAACAATAGACCTGCCATTTGTAAATTCGTAATGATGATAATGCTCTATATTATATACATGTATACAAGTTTATAAAGGGATGAAATCTGTCAAATTAAAAAGATGTTAAATATCCTCCTTATCTGTCAAATGAAATAGATGTTATCCTTAAGTAGATCTCTAATTAAACCTGGCCTTGACATTTGAATTAAAAGAAGTAATTATCCTTCTTAAGTTTCTCAATGAACATAAACTTCAACCTACTAAAGGTGTTATGAACAAGAGCTGTAGGAAAGACATTGTGCTCAACTATTCTCAATGCTTGATAGTTAAACAAGAGCCTGGATAATGCAGTATTTTCTAAGTTCATAAAGAGCCATAATTCTGACAAAATCCATGTAAAGAGTTATTGGTCTTGGACAGTGACCTCCTATTATGTTCACAAATAAGTGTGTGAAGTTTCAACACATTCCGTTCAGTAGTTTTGGAAATACCAAATTGCAAGCAAAAACTTAAACAAAGTGTGGCCACGATGCTGACGCCTGGGTGAGTGCATAAGCTCTCACTGTTCTTTGGAAAGTTGCGCTACAAACCCATTTTAATACAGAAATGAAAAATAAAACTACAACTAACACTTGACCAAATTTGATTATTATACACTGACATAATAATCAGAACAGTTGAGGTCTAGACCATTTCTTAAATAATTACTTGTTGATCCATCATTGAGCACCACAGTAAAAAGACGAACCTGTTTAAGTGTTTTAAATGCTGCAAGCAATTTCTTCACAAATTTATAGAAACCATTAACTTTTGTTTGAAACAGACAAATACACCCCCTAACCCTGGTCCAATAAAGAAACATGATTTTAAAATAGGATGCAAATATTGATTTAATAGTATGTAACTTAGTAAAGCAAAGAAATATGTTCTCATCAAACTAACATTATCTTAACCTAATTTCTTAAAAAATTTACATATCAAAAAGAATAAAAACATCAAAGCTTTTTGACTTCAACAACAATATGATAAAGGCAATTAATGGAAAAAACAGGAGTTGTTTGGAGGACAGCGAACTCAACTATCCCCTGTGTAAGTAAGTAAGTAAGTAAGTAAAGGCTTTATTTATCGTTAATGTTAATGATAGTAAAAACAAGAGCCTGGATAATGTAGAATTTTCTAAGTAAAAAGGGCCATAATTCTGTCAAAATCCATGTTAGAGTTATGGGCCTTTAAAAGAGAGTGATCTCCTAGTATTCTCTCAAGACAGTGTCTTAACCTATTCCCTTCAGTAGTATTGAAGATACCAACTTACACACACAAACTTAACCTAAATCTGACGCCGACGCCAGTTTGCGTACAACAGCTCGCCCTGATCTATGAATAGTAGAGCTAAAAAAGAATTAAACAGGCTTATTTTTGAAATATTTTCAGGCAGCAAGCCTCCCAAAACCCTTACTATGATTAATGTACTAGTCTGCTAGATCTGAAGGCTTTAAGGGAGTGATGCGTGTTATATATCAAACACCAAACAAAACGAACATCTGAAAATCCAGACACTGCAGTTGACTCAACTCAATATTGATAATGATTTGTTTTTCATTATAAGGAAATTGATTTCATTAGGAAGCAATTGAGAGAAACAATGCCCGGTCATAAATCAATCTGGTGACATTCCCAGTAGTAAACATCTTTTTTCTCTCTATTCTATTTGCTTACAAATTACACCAGCAGCTCTCCTTATTGAATCTAAAAACGTCCCTCAAGTTCTAATTTTGGAATAAGCAAAACTATTCCTGCCTTTGTACAAGTTACGATACAAGATTCTGGTGGCTACAGAATCTATCCATGTGCCCAACGCAGACCAAGGTCATCTGGCACATCAGTCAGTACTTACTGTATATTAGATTTTACCTAAAAATTATTAACAGATTTTGCCAGATTTGAAGATAGACAAGTCTATTTTTAGATATTTAGGGCGGTAAGGGTTAATATATCTGTTTACAAAGAAAGAACCCTGAATAAAATATTCCACATCAAGGTTAACCTTTAATCCTTACACTGCTGACACTTGTATAATGAGCATGTCTCCTTTTTTAGTTAGAATTATCAATCAAAGGGCTGCAGCTCTATGGTATTTTCTGATTTTTGCAATCTAAATCATACTGACTATCTGTATGTACTTTCCTGTATAAGTTTATTTTTATATACTATAATTCATCTTACGCAGCGACAGCGTTTTGATTTTCTTCTATAACAGTTTGAGATTGATACATATGGAATTTTGCATGAAAAAAAATGGAATTGCCTCGACTAGGATTTGAACCATAGGCCTCTCACACCCTCAACGGACCGCTTACCTCTGCACCACGGCGAAGTTATACATATGTACCTTGAATAAAAACGAATACATTATGTAATTCTAAATTGAGAATTTCCATTTCGTGTTTGTAATCTTTATTAATTTCGAGGTATTTTGTTCAGGATAAACCTGTTGTTTAACACTGATGAAAATAATTTAGCATAATCTTCTCGACATGTTATCTATATATTCCACTACTCGACAGTCAGATTTATTTGTGTACTACGCTCTGGAGTATTCGGTAATCGACATAGCTAAAAATAGCATTTTCATTGATTAAAATGATAATCCGAAGCTTTACGGAAATAGCCGAACATTTTTCATTGGGTAAAAAAGATATTCATCCGCGAAATTTGTGATTGTAACCTCATATTTCTGTTGACTAATCTAAACTTTTGATGCACTGTAATTCGTTAAATGCCTTCATTAAAAATTATTCTTTCTTTTAAATTGCTGGTTTTTAAGCAGTTTTGAGTGAGAACTACTTTGCGTTGTTAGGACTGTGAGGAAATTCTGTGTTAGACCGTGAATGTTAGCTATGTATTTACTGATCTTACGATCAGAAAATACAAAAAACCGTACAAATGAGCAAACTGGTCTGGCTGTAATCATTATTGTTGGCACAGACCTGCCAGTAATGCAATCAGTTTCCAAAAGGTCAAGTGTCGACAGACAGTGTCATCCATAAAGATTGTGCAATTTACACCCAATAAGAAATCATGTTAAATGTTTGTTCCATTCAATTTATCTATCTTGCAAGATATTTAGCGCATTTCTTATGTTGTTTGTAACTTTTCTGTTTTTTTTACACCAATTGGTTTTTTTTTAAAACCAATTCAATACATTTTTGGTCAACTCTCAGTGGTCAATCCATCGAAACAGCTTTCCTGGATAACTTACAAATAATTACTTATTTTTTTCGCCAGTGACCAACCATTAATCCCAATAATCTGAATCAGCAGTTAAACGAGCACTGACCATAAGATTCGATGTCCAAGATGATTGACCAGGGAAATTTTTTTTGCCTTCCCCAAGGATAAATTTGGTCTGCTGTAATCATATTTTATATATAGATATTTTATTCATCTCTTCACACCAATTTATATAGGAAAATGAATAAAAAATGTGAGTAACGACAAAAAGAGCGATATTTTTCTCCTTTGTGAGCATGATTTCTGCAAGCATCTAGAGGTTCTGTTCCAACACTGTAGTGACTTAAATCCGATTCCATCATTGCTACAAGAAAAGCATTGATGCAAAGCATCAAAGGGCGTCCAAGCAAGAAAAGCAGCAGGTGAAGATGAACTAGTAGATATATGATGACAAGATATTCTTATAAACTTTTCAATGGTTAATTGGTTTTTACCAGAATTGTATATCACTTATGAATGAACGGACGAAAGACATTGTTCATTATTAGCTATGCTAGAGATTAGAATATTAATTACTTGTAATTTCCTTATGACCATTATTATTAATAGCAACGGATATACATGATTGTATACAATCATTTATAATCCATATGTGTTATGCATGATCAACACCACACTTGTGTAATTGTCCCTTATTATGTTATCGCTATTAGCGAAGACACCCTCTTAAGGTATCTGTTCACACTTAGTAACAAATATGACACTGGTTATATTAACATGTTGATCATCTTGAGCATAATTGTTTATTATACAACAATTGTAATATCTATTTTAATAAAAAAAATTACAGATTTTATGAATATTGTTTTCTTTTCTTTTTTGTGTTTTATGTGCTATTTTAATACTGAGTTTTTACGTTTACTACTATTTTAAGAATTCAATTGTCATATTGACCGACGATTATAAGTCAAAACTTATTAGAAAAAAGTCAGTAAATTATGGTTAATCTTTCAATATATAATATTGTTTATTCTTAAACCATATACATGTACATTTGTATTTTTCTTTATCATTTTTTAAATTATCAATCAATTGAATAATTCATAAAATCTAATTTGTAACTTTACTAAACACGAATAACAAATTAAATAAAATGTTTCAAAGCTGATAGTGTCATATTAATACCATAAAAATGTACCTTTTTTCTCAATTATTGTACATATTTATTGTTTTTATCTCATATAGATAAAATAAAACACACTATTATTGTTGTTGGTTTTTTTTCGAATTGTATGTTCATGTATAATAATAATCAATAAATGTGAGAGTTGATCTGTGTTTATTAATTATTGTAACCAAACTAAGTGACAAACATTCATTTTGGAAAAAAAGCTTATTTATCTGTAAAATATTTGTTCTGTTCTGTAACGATATCAAATATCTACTCCAAAAACGGGAGAGACCGGACAATAAACGTGTGGTACTATTCGCCGGTCACTAGTAAATCCCGATCAAAATAAACCAGGAGAGACCGGGAATTACCGATAGGAGTACATCCCTCTATAAATAGATTTTCGGAATATTTAGGTCATCAACTCATCATTCTATTTACAGCTTTCGGATACATGTACATGTACAACAATAACATACCATAATAACCCACTGTGTACTACAAAATGATAAATAAAAATACTCCGAAGAGCGGAAAAGGTTATTTCATTTGAAAATGTTTGCATTGCGAAATTCGCCATTTCGCTATTCATTGTACATATCGCGACATTTCATTTTTAATTAATAATCAAGCACCCTCATACCGATCGGAATGATCGGCTTTTATCATGACCGACTAAAAGGCTCGAGAAGTTGCTGTCGCCCTTTCACAAAATCTGATTTCATTCCATATAGGGCGCCGCGCTTCGGCGCGGACGCCAATAAGGCTATTACGGTTAACCAATTCAGTAGTTGATGAAATAACTTATACATTCTTAAAATGTCTCACAACAATTAAAGCAAGCTCAACAAATAATGTAACATAAGCCTTTACACAAACCTTTTGGGACACAATTCTCTAAACGAGATCGTCTCGTACAATTACACAGTTCTTCATAAATAATTCTCTCACAATTACAGTTCTTCAGCATTCTTTACTGTATATCATAATATGACTTTTTTTGCCTTTTTGCACAATATGTATTTGTTTAATACACCATACAAATGTTAAATTCTACACTGTTTTCATTGCTGTTTTGTTCATGGAGGACTTGTAAACATACAGAACACAAATTAAATCTTAGCAAAACATAAAGATTTATACAAAAATTTCAAATCAGCTAAAGTGCACTTCTATATAAAATTGACATTACAAAGTTCATAAAGTGCATTCTTAATTAGCTAATTAAGAAGCAACAATAATTCAAAATTTAATCAAACACTAGCACAATTCTGAGAAACAATTTATAATGCTAATTGGCAGCAATTAAAGTAATATGAGCCGCGTCATGACAAAACCAACATAATGGGTTTGCAACCAGCATGGATCCAGACCAGCCTGCACTATCAGTTTCTCTACTTGTAATAGGGTTTGTAAGTGAACAGCATGGATCCTGATCAGACTGTGCGAATGCGCAGGCTGGTCTGGATCCATGCTGGTCACAAACCCATTATGTTGGTTTTGTCATGACACGGCTTATATAACTTTATTACAATGGCACCGGCTTACAGCAGTTGCACATTTTATGGTAACGTATTGTCTGTAGAGGATAAAGAATTTCCTGTTTAATTTTTTTTCCCGAACAACCAATAGCATTGGTAATACAGCTTGAACTTGGAATTTCATAAGAAATTTAATCATTTGAAATGACAATTACTTGTATAGAGCCAGGATACACATTCATGCAGTCTGACCCGAGACACTTCTCTAACCATACTAAACTTTTACTAACAAGGGATTCATATAAAATAAGCGGAATTGCAGAATATAAGTTGTGACTGAGAATAATTTTACAAATTTGTAGAGATTTATATAAGTTTTACAAGTTGACACTTTATTAAGACATACAACCTCCATTATGGTAAACTTAATGCAGGAAATGTCATTTATACTTGTATGGGAACATTTTGGGTCACAAGTCAATTGTTTTGCGTTTAGAAAGTTATCGGAAACTCTGTGCTTGGTAACCATGCCTTATATCCAGACAAATTATATTGACCTATTATATTGTCCTCGAGAACTTTTATGTCATTGGAACAATGAAAGTGAACTGCTTGTTGGTCTTTTTACTATTTGTGATTGTGTGTGTGTGGGGGGGGGGGGGGGGGGGGGGGGGAGTGAGGGTCAATGCCTACCAACTATGATAAGGTTACACAATTGTAACACAGCTATAATGGTAGAGGAAGACCTTTAACACTCCTTTTATGTATCATTCAAGTTTTAAGCTATATGACATCACTTTCATGTGTTAAAATTTTAGGATATGTAGAATTGTTCATAATTTTGGCATTTTCTAGTGACATTTAAAGTTTATTTTGCTGCATTTTCTAACTACCCACTTGACAGACTTTCAATAAAAGTGTTCCTATGACAAATAATCTAATACCCATGGGCTGATGAAAATAGCATTATGTCTGGATTGACATTTACTTTGCATTTAATTGACTAGGATTTTTATGAATTTCATCAATAATATATGCAATAATTCTAAATAACACCCAAAAAACACCAAAATTAAAATATTTCATCATTTCACATAACATATCAATAACTTGCAGATGATGCTATTTATAAACAGTGCAGGATGAATGGATCAAATTAGTCTTGTTTTAATACACTCCGTTTACAAGAGCTCACTAAACAAGAGCTCACTAATTAGCCACAGTTTCATGTGTCTATTTCCAGCGGGAGCTGTACCAATCATGACTGACATATCCTTTTACTGTGAAATTACGTTTCTAAAATTGATGAAAACTCTCAAATTTGAACATAAACTTACCGAATGGTGTTTCCCCTGTCCTAGTTTTAGCGTCAATATCAGCTCCACTCTTTACTAAGATTTCTATAACTTCTGGCTGTAATTTAAAAGAAAACAGAAATGTTGATAAAAAAATAAATGTGTGCCGTATCAAAAATAACCAACATGCATGGCTTCCATTAACTAAAGTACAAGTTAAAATACATGTTAACATGTAGAATATAATGTAAGCCCTGAAAATTTTGGTAAGAGGATATTCATCACTTAAAGCAAGCATCTCAACATGGCCAAATATCAACATGAATATTCTATGTAAAGCATTGTCAGCAAGTGTGGATCAGACAGACTGAGGCAACATAATAGATGAAGTAATGATGATGATAATATTATAAATAAACATTATAGATTGAACAGCTTTGAACAGCCTTAAGGTCATAGACGTACTCCGGAATTTAGGATTTTTGGGGTTTTCCCAGTTACTCTGTGGGTACAACCAACTTTTTACAGTTACAGCTTCGTAAAACAAGTGCAAACAGGTTGACTTATCTATTGTGAGTGAAGCTATAACAGTAAACATTTGTTTGTGTTGATGGAATAGCTCAGAGAAAAAACACAATTATTGCCAATTTCCAAATAACAACTTTCCTATTTTAGGTAATGTTATGTTTAACACTGTCATAATCAGCTTACAATAATTTGCATGCTATTTTGAAGCAGCCGCCAAACATTTGGACACACTGCCCACAAGCTTGTTTGTTTATCTATATACTTAATAAAACAAGAAAAGCATTAGGAACACATAGAAAAGGAAACAGTAACATGAGGATTTGTATTTGCACAACTAAGTAGATTTATAGATATGCTAATTTGGTTTTGATTTCCTACTTCAGTGTTAGTTATCGATGTTTCTTCTCTAGTAATTATTGTCTATAAGAATCGCTTATACGACCATTCTAATAAAAACAAATTTTTACGTTAAAACGTGTTTGGCAACAATCTATTGAACGTTAAGAATTGAACAAATTAGCGCATCATTTTTGACATAATTGTTGATAAAGTTGAATTCATGACTGTTTATCAACAATGATAATGATAAGTATACTTTATAGATTGTACAGCTTTAAATAGCCTTTAGGTTATACAACATGTATAGACTTACTCTGCAATTAAGAATATTTTGGGTATTTGGGTATTAAAAAATTGAAACACATTTGCCAATTTGGGTATTTGTTTATTTATAACTTGTATATTTTGTATACATTGTATTTATAACTTTTATAATTTGTTTTATTTATAACTTGTTTCAGAGAATCACATTGATATTATGATGACGTATGCAAAAATAAAGACAGAAGCGCATACGCAAATAGTTGCTATCGGAAATCCTTTACACTGTCAATAAACATTTTACATGCATTTTATCAATTAACTGCAACATAATTGTCTTCCAGAAATCATGGCAGTCTTCCTTCTTATGAAATTTCCATAAATGCCAGAACACACTGAAGTATTTACTATAATATTGATAAACCGTTTCTTCATGAATGGATCTTATGTCTCAATAAAAGTCAAAATAAATGCAAAGAAAGTGTTTTGATAATTGCATTGTTGTACTAGATCCAAGAAACAATTTACTTAGCAAACGCCTTCCAGCAAAACAATCTATGAAACGAAATACTGGGATATAAAATGTTTTTACATTTAAGTGCCAAATCAACATCAAGAAATGAATAAACAATACTACTTGTATTTCAATAAACAATATAATATTCTGGCAAAGAATTTCCAAAACAAAACACAGTCTTTACGATAGCTAGAAAAAACCTGCCCTTCCTAACCACTCTGAAATATTCAACAATAAAACTTGAACTAAAGCAAATTATCATAAAACTTGCACCACAAAGCATGACTGAATCAACTCAATTCCTAATTTAATCTGCCAGGATCCACAACTCAGTCAAAAATTATTCAAAGAGTGATCTGCCCATCAGGGAAGTTTTATATGGCGCTGAAACATGAAAGATGGTTTTGGGTAACGTTGGGTGTCATAAACTTAAAGCAACACCAGGGGTCAAAACTACTCCAGTAATTCAAACCCATTTAGTGGCCTCTTATGAATATGCATGAATAATAGTGGCTGCAATTCTGATGCCTAAACCCTTAAAGGCAATCCCTCAGGTAAATATGAAAAAGCTTAACTTTGGTCAGAAGACTTGCAGGCAAGCCTGGCTCCATACTAATGGTTTTGGCAAGTTGTCATCACCTCTATGAAGCAAAGGGTTGAGAGCCTTAAAACACACTGATTGAATATACTGTTCCAAAGGCAGTGGTTTTTCTCATTCAATTGGGAAAACTCCTTAGATTTTTGGGAAATTACCTAAAATTGCTAATTTGGGTAGAAAAAAAGCTGGCGTAAGTTCAAATTTTTGGGGAAAATTGCACGATTTAAAGAAAAGAGCAAGGCCCTTTTTAGGCCTTTGTTTTAAAATAACAAAAACATATGTGCCAGATAAAGTCATATTCATCTCAACATACGAGTATACCAGTAAAAGTTCTGAAATTTAAGAGATGAAAAATATATAGATCAACAACAGTTAGAAAAACAATGTATCTTCCCTGGAATGAAATGTAGATCCCAAAAATCCTAAACGTCTGGCTGTTACTTCCAATTATTTGTCAATAAATGGTACAAATGTGATAAATAAACTGAAATTGGTTCCCATGAGAACGGAAACAAAGTATATCATTTTGATCATTGTTTTATGTCTAAAGACAGACGATTATTCCTAAAATGTCTATTACAGAAACCTCAAAGGAAATTACTAGACCAGATGCCTCTCTAAATACCATTATTATTTTATGATAGCATGCAATAATTGATTTATACCGGATACATAGGGATTACCTAAACAATTTAAGTTCATAGCATTTGAAGACAGCCATCTAAATTACGGGCCATTCTTACACTAATTTCATTCATAAAACCAAAAGTTCACTTCTCTATAAAGATTTTCATAAAATATTACCATTTTCACAATGTGGCTCTACTGGTAATTTCTAAGTTTACATCAGCATGGGATCATATGTCAAACAGTTATAAATTTTTTATAATACCGCTTTAGGGGTGCTCAACTTTCCACATAAAACAGAGCTAATACTTAGAGAGATAAACAAAAATTCTGGAAGAGAAAAAAAACAACAAATGTCCATAGGGACAGTAATCGATACAGCAGAAGAGTTTACAATGAATATGGTCAAATGGGATGATGACAGCATTTTGACTTTTTCTCATCTAGCTGGGGTTTTTTCAATTACTATGATAAAATCAAGAGTATCAGCAATTTTCTAGTATGTTTCAATATGTCTCTGACATAAGGCAATGGCATCTGAGATGGCATTCCTACAAAATATGAACCCATAAAAACACAACCAACCTTAATATTATTAGTTATTAAGATTTTTGACCCTTTGATAAACATATCATAACCTTAGTGATGTAACTCTGATCACTTAACTTATTATTGCACTTAGGTGATGATATATAACCTTTCCAGCAGTATACTGGTGGAGGAAGTCATCATGTGCCCTGTGCCATTCTGTGATTCATTTTAAGAAAAGGAGATAGACCTCCTAATAGAATCTGCAATCTTTTTATGTATGCTAGCTACCTCACAAATTGAAAATATGAATCAACAAAATGATGAAGTAAGAAAATCATTTTAATTCTGTGACCTTAATCATATGACTTATTTTGAAAGACACCATAAGTTGTATAATGTATCAATTAATATAACATAATATTTAATCTACCAATTAACTGTTTAATTGATAGACCACCTGACCAATTATTTCCATACTTAAGAAGAACTTGAAAAAAAAACGCTTTGCCATCATTAAATTAAGTAAACACTATTCATTGATTCTTTCATAATAGTGATTTAAGCAATTAAGTAATTTCAAATGTCTTTACTAAGACCTCAAGTTTTTTACTTTTTTAATCAACAGCTAAATAATTCCATTTTGTGAAGAATGCCCTATGATGAATTAGTTATATTTTACATGTAAAAGAAAAAACCCATCATTTTAACAAGCATCTTCTTTTTACAATAATTAAGAATCTTCTGAACAATCAATAAGACTCCTCATCAATTAAAGATTTTGTCAATTATTCAAACAAAATTTGTTGGGTTTTTTTCTTCTGATAATGAAGGGAAGTTGAAATTTCTTCAGAGATGTGACATATTAATCCCCATGATTTAATTTCAATGATTTATACAGAAGAAAATATCACGAATATACTGAAAATATCAACAAAAACGATGGCTTTCGTGTCGAGGGTTAGCCATGATCTATAATCAGGATTAAAATTATATTAAGATGCTGTTATGCAGCAATATATTACAATATAATGATGTCATATTCAATATGATGCCTAATGATAATGAGCAAATATGGTTAGATGAACTCTAAAATAGAAACATGTGCCTGATATATCAACTTCAAGCTGGATAGAAATCATGTCCATTGTCCCCCTACATCTTGCAATTTCAAGTTAGATCAACCCTTGTCCATTTTCCCCCTTAATCTTTCATTTTCAAATTAGATAAACCCTTAAATAGAAATCACATCCATTTCCCCTCTAAATCTTGCAATTTTAAGTTAGATGAACCTTTAGGAAGCAATGATGCTTCAGATTTTGTACCATAAAAAAGATATTCAATTAATGTCCATCAAATATTGATAGCAATCAAATCATTATAACAACATTTCTACACTGTCAGGTCAATATTTCTTGAGTCTGCACACTTAAGCTTAACAGATTCCTAGCATGAAAGATATTTGTAAAAACAGAAAAAGATTTCAATGTACAATATATATAGTAGTTTCTTTGCAGCAAGGCATTATACATCTTAATCATTTTTTAAAAACTGGCACAATTAAAGTCAACAAGAGCTGTCTGTAATATAGCATGTTCAAACATTCTCAGTGCTTGACAATAAGAAAAGGGGCATAAATCTGTACAAAGACAACTCAGAGTTATGGAACCTGTGCGAATCATGTTAGATAATCACAGAGAATAAGTGTGTGAAGTTTCAACCTATTTGCTTCAGTAGTTTTGGAGATACTAACTTGCACACAAAAACTTAACAAAAGTGTGACAACAACCCCAAAGTGGGTACAAAAGTTCTCTCTCTATTCTCCGAAACAGTCAAGCTAAATAGCAAGGTTAACGGGTTCAAGTAGCAGCATGGCCGAGTGGTTAATGTGTCGGACTAGTAATCTTATGATCACTAGCCGCATGGGTTCAAACCCTGTCAGGGGCCAGTCCTTGTTTCCTTGAGCAAGAAACTTTACACTCATTGCTCAGTACTGGTTGGTTCCTGGAACGGATTCGAAAGTGTGTCTATAAGCTTATAACTTCTTACACAATTGAACTAAAATAAATTCTGTATAAACCAACTTGGTTAATACCATAAAAAGGAATAGAATAAATCAGAATTACTATATACTATAATATACCTGTAACCAGCAAGCAGCAGCATGTATTGGTAACCAACCATCTTCATCCCTCACCTCCATAGATACCCTCTGATTGATCAGAAACTCTACAACATCTAGGTAACCATTAGCTGCAGCCACATGGAGCTGAAATTTATATAAAAACAAATCATTTGTGCTTCAGAACAAAACAATTTAGGCCATATTTTTAGGGCTTTCATTATTAAACAATTGGCGATCCAAACCATGGGTTAAATTGCTGTTAAAATCGGTTGTATTTTCAGCCTTTATCACCCTTAACCCTTCGCAAAATCGGATGTTTTCTTTTTCCATTTCTCAGTAAAGATAGATAGCAATAAATAAACCCCCAAAAGCAATGTTAACTGTCAAAAGCAATGTTAACTGTCAAAAGCAATGTAAAGTAATTTTCCAAGCCTTCAATTCGTATGTTGTGAGACAAAACATGAAGTCTTAACAAAATAGTTAACAACAGTAAGGCCTAAAGTCTTAAACAGTAATGGAAGCAAACTAGAAATCATTCTGCAATTTTACCCCTTAACGGGCTTCTAATATCTATATATCTTCAGATCAGCAACTATATAATAACAGACTTTGATTCAGACTGTTTTGTTTGTTATATAATTCAAGCCAAACTAAAGTTTTTATTTTTACAAAAAGGAAGAAGCTGAATAAAATTTGTGAATTAAAAAAAAAGAATATCATTTCCTGTGAAATTGTGCAATTTTAAAAAGAGAGAGAGAAGTTTTAGTTATTGAAACCAAAAATTAAAACTGTTCTCCTACAAAAAATTGCAACAACTTCCCAAGAAACACTGACAAAGTTTCTGTTTTCAGAGAGTTAAGCAATAAAATCATGCTTTAAAAGCTCTGAACATCAAAATCATCGGTCACAGATGTAAACAGGGCTAAATATTGTCTGCAAGGTGCATGGAGATTCAATCCAATCCACAATTCAGACATGACGATTCACGAATGGAACCACGATTTACAAATGGAACCGCGCTTAAGTAATAAATTGAAGAAGGAAGTACAGAATTTATTGTTCTGTAGGGTTCAACTAATCTTAATTCTTTGATAAACTGTAATGCATTCATTATGGTGGCTGATTTGGTACATTGTGGGTTGCTTTGTCGCTATATCGTTATCGCCTTTTCGTCTTGTCGCTAGCGACAACATGACAAAGCGCCAAACGGGGCATTGTCGCCCTGTCATCATGTCTCTAGCAAAGCACGCCAAACAGCATGTTATCTTGTGGTGCGTTGTAGCAATGTCGCTCTGCCACTTGGCTAAGCCAATCTTTCAATTTGAACCAAGCAACAATGTGACATCGTAACAACATGCCACACAACAACGCGCCGTTTGGCATACATTGTTAGTGACGGGACGACAAGAGGAAAGTCAGACAACAGGCCATTTGGCACTTTGTCCTGTTGTCGCTAGCACAATGCACAAGAGCATTCCAATCAGCCACCATAACTTATAGCCAAAGCAACACAATTAAATGAACTTATAAAATGTCACAGTTTAACTTTGTCATTTTTTATTTCAGTTTATAATATTAATAACTTAGAACATCTATTAGATTCTATAGATTTTTTAATTTAATGTAGGCAGTAAATTAGACAACATTACTGTCAATAAATTGTACAATGTAATGAACGAATTCACTAGGTTATGTCTTTGCTAACACAAACATTATAATATTTGCAAAAGTTACAAAAAAAAATTTGAGGGGAGGGCCAATCGCTAATGTTGTAAGAACTTGGGCCCAACCCTTTTGCTATGTTATGACTAGTTTAAACAGATCATTAATAATTTGATCGAAAACCGAAACTGCATGGTTGTGCAGACTCATGCCTATAATGGCTGTGTATTTGTGGCCTTGACCTGCAATAATTGCTACAACACATTCAAAAAGCTGTCATTAAATTACCTTCTATTTATACAAAGCAATCTCTTCTTAGAATCAGATTTAATTGTTTTCAATCCAAACATTAAAAACTTTGAGGAAATCATTTTCAGGTCATATAAAGGTCTCTCATAAGTTTGCATTTGTCAACAAATTGCAGGATCATGTATTTTGTCACATACAGCTATTGAAAACATTTACAATTGAAAACTTTTATGCCTATGAGAAACACAATAAGATAAAAACATCTTTTCAATGACATGTCAACATTTTTGCTTTAGCATTAATTAGGAAGCTTTCTTCCAATAAAGATAGCTTCTAAAAGAATTTTATAGAACTTAAGTGTAATTATTTATCAATTATCAAAACAGTTTCTTTTCCTCTACATGAAACAATTTTTTGAGGAAATAACACAAAACACTCATTTGTTATCATCAAAAAAGCATTTGTGATAATTGTTCGAACTTTTAGGTACGGAATTATTTCTTGACATGAATTGAAAGTGATTTGAACTTAATTTCTCTTATTTAAGCACAGAAAATCACGAATAGTTAGCAAAGAGCACAGAATAATTACCAAGGAGCACATTAAAAAAAGATGCTCAAATTGCATGACTTTAATAATTATGTCTTTTTTTCTCCAGAGAAAATCAGGTTTTTATCAATGAAAATAACATTTTATATTTACAACAGAAACTGCTGAATAATAAAATATGTATTAAGATGTTCTATGGAAATTCACACAAGCTGTATTTTACTATCCATGTTCATGAAATTGTTAAAACAACAAGCCTCTGGAGAGCTTTATAAAATTTCATTTGGTCAATTTTAGTAAAATCCTATCTTATATGACAATGAGTGTAAGATTTTTTTTTCATCACTTAGAACAAGGAACTGTTTTGCTTACCCTGTTGAATGCTATTTATATCATGAAATGTATAGGTGAAAATGATGAAATAAATGTCTAAAAGCATGATTACAATGCATGATGTTACACAGTATTACTGTAATTCAACAATTTGTATCCTATCACGTTTCCAGACTTACACCTAGAACCTCCAATTTGTGACATGGAATTTTAACAATCATTCAAATTACATTGCAGCCAAATGTCAATTTAAGTTTGACAATTTTCTTCCATTTAAATGTTAAATGAGCAGAATTCTAGACAGAGGATTGACAGCTTTGCATGTCATGAAAGCTATGTTGCTTAACTTTTGCGATCAGAACCATACTGATGTAGCTTACAAAGATTTAAGGACACAAGATAAACCATTGCTGCAATGAGCACTTGAAATATTCATCTTGTTAGAGATCTATTCCGGTAAATTAAAGTATAAATTTGTGCAGGTTAGGAAACACTCCTATTCTTCAACAACTTGTCTTTGGAAACAGACAAATGCCCCTAAAGTTACAAGAAAAAAAAACATTAACAAACTCTTCTTAAATTCTCAGTGATGCCCAATTATTTAAAAAAAAGCACACAAAAAAACCATCCATGAATGAAGACAAAGATCAAATTTCTATTATTTTCTTTGACATCCAAGTATAACCTTCACTTTCTAGCTGCTGTTGACCTGGTTTTTTTCATGTGACATTTCAAAATCCTTGAATGACAATTTTAGTCGTGGACACCACACAACCCTCTACTTACAATTAATTTTGAAAAGCAAAACTTGTGACCTTGACCTTGAAGCTGGAGACAAGACATTTCATTATCATGTCCCACACACAATTATGCCAAGTTATTTTAAAATCCATTATGGACTGACAAAATTTTTGACTCAAGAGGACCATTAATGTTCTTTTAAAGTATGTGACCTTGACCTTTGACCTTAAAACCTGAGTCTTGCATGCCACATATAATATCAATGTCTACACATTTAACCTGAATTATTTCAAAATCCATCCATTAATAAATAAGAAAGTTATGGTCAAGGCAAAAAGCTGACTGATGGACGGACAATTGAAAAAATATATGCCCCATATTATGCTGCTGAAAACCACCCACATTTTGTCCAACTAGAACAAACAAGAGGGCCATGATGGCCCTGAGGTCGCTTACCTGTATATAAGCCCTGGAGCTGGGCCAGTTTAAACCCCTGGGCTTTTATTTAAACAGACTCGGAAGAGTCACCCATTAGAAGATGTTTCACAATGTTAAGTTTTTACTACACACATATAATGAAAAACAACGATCTCCCCCCCCCCCCCATCGGCAGGGCCAATTTTAACCCAAGGGCTTTTATTTGAACAAACTTGGTACACACCCATAAGAAGATGTTTCATGCTAAACATCTAAGCTCTAACTCATTGGGTTTTTTAAAAGAAGATTTTTAAGTTTTTGCTATACACATATAAGGAAAATCAATGACCCCCGGGGCGGGGCCAATTATGACCCCAGAGCTTTTATTTGAACAAACTTTGTAGACACTCACTAGAAGATGTTTCATGCTTAATATCTAAACTCTAGCTATTTGGGTTTTTTCAAAGAAGATTTTTTAAGTTTCTGCTATACACATATAAGGAAAATCAATGACCCCTGGGGCGGGGCCAATTTTGACCCAAGGGCTTTTATTTAAACAAACTTGGTAGACACCCATTAGAACATGTTTCATACTAAATATCTTAGCTCTAGCTCTTTGAGTTCTTTAAAAGAAGATTTTTTAAGTTTTTACTATATGCATATAGGGAAAATCAATGACCCCCTGGGGTGGGGTCAATTTTGACCCCAGGGCTTTTATTTGAACAAACTTGGTAGACACCCATTAGAACATGTTTTATGCTAAATATTTTAGCTCTAGCTCTTTGAGTTCTTTAAAAGAAGATTTTTTAAGTTTTTACTATATGCATATAGGGAAAATCAATGACCCCCTGGGGCGGGGCCAATTTTGACCCCAGGGCTTTTATTTGAACAAACTTTGTAGACACTCACTAGAAGATGTTTCATGTCAAATATCTAAGCTCTAGCTCTTAGGGTTTTTTAAAAGAAGATATTTAAAGTTTTTTCTTTCGGTTGCCATGGCAACCAGAGTTCTGCATGAAATTAAATTCTTTTAACAACTTTGTTAAGGCTTCACACAAGGAACGTCCCTGTGAAGTTTCATTATGATCTGCCTTATGGTTTCAAAGGAGATGTTGTTTTAAAAGTGTGAACAGACGACGTAAGACGGACGAAGAGTGATCCTAATAGCTCACCCTGAGCATATGCTCAGGCTTGTGTCCAAAAGAGCTATCAATTTACAAATGCTTAATTAAATGCTTACGTAATTAATCAATTAGTAAAGAAGGTATGTCCTTTATATACTGTATCACATGTGAGTGTTAGGGTACATACCGGAGTTGCCCAGTTTTTATCTCTATATTCCAGGTTACCCTTGTCTGCAGCTAGTTTTTTCAGGTCAGCCAACATTAGTCTCTCTGTTTCCAAACGTTTGTCATCTATTTCTTCCTGAGTTACACCTGTAATGATATAAACATAAAATACAATTAAAAGTCTCCAATGTTGTAGACAGTGTCTAAACTTTTAAACAAAATCTATGTAATTACTTCAAGGTGTGATACATATTCTGTTATAAGTCTTGAGAAATATTCTCATTTTTCAAACTTGTCCACAATGCTCAACTTGTTAAGCTTCCTCACATGAAAGAATCCAAAGTCCCTAGTGGGTTTGAAACCCACAGCAGTCAAGGGCATGTGGTTCATAGACAATGATTTAACCACTGACCCATGTACAACCCTTTAAGTCCTTGATTGAATTGAACCCACAGAAGGGCAAGCTGTTCAAAAACAGTAATTTAACCACTTGGCCATGGACCCCCTTTAGTCTTTATACAATTGATAGCTCAATTTTGAGTATTTTGATAATGAAATCCCCTAAAATTTTAAATAAACTATTCCAAAATATCAAAGCAGGACAAAGGTTTAAAATATTAAAAGATTGAAATAATAAAGTACCAACCCTCCACAACTTTCCATATTGTACAATATATAAGTGGAGCTATAACAAATTGCATATGACACAAGTTTTATGGGGGAATGTGCACATAAATCATTCTGGGATTCTAGAGAATATTACATGATGTTATCTGTATGAAAGAAGTCAGTTTTCTTATTCTGATTCATGAGACGCTTACTGCCTTTTTAATAACCTTTGCATTTTTTCTTGATTGGTTAATTGAATATCTGAATTATGTTCTAGCAATATCATGTCTGTTTTTGATTGGCTTTACAAGAATAAATTGGAAAAAAAAGTCAAGATCAAGATTTTCACTGGCAAAACTGTTAAAATATGAACATAATTATATGTTTCATTTTATAATGAAAAAGATGCCAGTAAAAATGCATCAAACTCGTATTTTTTATACAGTAACTTCAGGAGAAAGTATAAAATTTGTACCTGAAGTCTCTCATCTATATATAACAGACAATGTAAAATCAGAGTTATCAAATCAGAGTTATAATCTATATTTTTAATCATGCCTAACACTTTGTTGTTAATTTATTGTATAATTTCATGTCCTCATACAATTATAGAAACTCTATTCCATAATGGTTTCCCTAGACCAATTAAGAACAAATTACTTAATAAACTACTATGTAGACACTTGAGTAAAATATTACAAAACATTCTTATTAAAGATTTCAACATAATGATGTTAAAGGGACTTTACTCAGGTTATTTTTTTTTTATATGACAGAACTGGAAACAAGAGCTGTCACAGGAGACAGCGAAGCTCAACTAATAAAATACTGGACGTAGTAAGGAGGACAAAACTATGAAAGAAAAATCCATTATGTATAATTATGTATTAAGTTATAGAAAAAAAAAAACATTTGTTAACATTAATTCCAAGATCAAGGGGAATAATTCTAGAAATAGTCATGCTAGAGTTATGGACCTTGTCACACAACATTTGTGTAATGATAAGAAATATATATTTGAAGTTTGAAGTAGATACCTTAAAAAGTAAAGAAGTTATTATATTTCTTAAAGAAAATCCGAAGTTCAAAGACAGATAAATCTGTAAATATTGCTTCAAGAGTTATGAACATTGTCACATAAAATGTAATTGATGATAAGGAATAAGTAATTGAAGTTTGAGGTAGATACCTTTAAAAATAAAAAAGTTATAATAAAATATATCATTTTTCTAGTAAAAAAATCTAAGTTTATGGAAAGATAATTCTTGCAATATTGGTGCTAGAGTTATGAACCTTGTCACATAAGATGTGGATGATGATAACGTAAATATATTTGAAGTATGAAGTTGATCCCTTTAGAAATAAATAAGTAACAGTAAAAAATAATATTTTTTATGGAAAATTCTAAGTTCAAAGGGAGATAAATCTAAAAATATTGGTGCTAGAGTTATGAACCTTGTCACATAAGATGGGGATGATGATAACGTAAATATATTTGAAGTATGAGGTTGATCCCTTAAGAAATAAAGAAGAAACAGTAAGAAATAGTATTTTTTGAGGAAAATTCTAAGTTCAAGGGGCGATAAATCTGAAAATATTGGTGCTAGAGTTATGAACCTTGTCACATAAGATGGGGATGATGATAAGGTACATATATTTGAAGTATGAGGTTGATCCCTTAAGAAATAAAGAAGTAACAGTAAAAAATAGTATTTTTTAAGGAAAATTCTAAGTTCAAGGGGAGATAAATCTGAAATATTGGTGCTAGAGTTATGAACCTTGTCACATAAGATGTGGTTGATGATAAGGAACATATATTTGAAGTTTGAAGTTGATACCTTAAGAAATGACAAAGTTATAGTGAAAAATATTTTACTGCACCAAAACTTTAATCTAAAATCTGGACGCGGACGCAGACGCCGGGGCGAGTAGGACAGCTCTCCATATACTTCGTATAGTCGAGCTAAAAATGATAAATGTTCCATTTGATGTAGGTATAGACCAGTAACTTGTATGCAAATTTTCATATCATCCAGTCAGAATAATTATTTTAATCTGAAAAATGTCACAAAAATTGAAAATGAAGAGTTGTTGCTTTTTACTCAAATCTAACTTAAAATAGCACACAAATACGATTTTCAATTTATTATTTTAGTATATTTCTCAATTTTCTTTTATATATTTTTTCTGTTTTAAATGCCCCAGCTGATCTATGTAAGAAATTCAAGTTTTTATGGGCTTTTTTTTTTTTTTTCATTTTTTTTTTTGGACCTCAGTGGAGTTCCTTTAAGAAGCTAGGTTATTTTAGTGCAAACTTTATTTCTAATATCCTCTATTCACTAAGCTGATATATATACAAAATATATTTCTGATCACAGGTGCTATATACATTTTTTTCTTACAAATCGTATCTCACAAGTTTGACATTTACAATTGATATAATATTTAAGTTGTATCTATATTTGGAACAGTTTTCTTTTTTTTTTCCCTATTAACAATTATTTATGATCTCAACACAAGGATGTTCGTTGTTACATTGAGTACCTTTTTTTCAAGAAAAAGAAAAAGCAATACATAGTCTTATCTCTTCTTAAATCCCAATGTGTTATTAGATATGAGCCGTGTCATGACAAAATCAACATAGTGCGTTTGCGACCAGAGCCTGCGCATCCGCGCAGTCAGATCAGGATCCATGCTGTTCGCTATCAGTTTCTCTACTTGTTATAGAGTTTTTAAGCGAACAGCATGGATCCTGATCAGATTGCGCGGATGGGCAGGCTGGTCTGGATCCATGCTGGTCGCAAACCCATTATGTTGGTTTTGTCATGACGCGGCTCATATATTGTTTGAACAATATTAAAATGGTAAATACCATAGGTGAAGGTAAAAACTATGTTCAAGTTGTTTTGAATTTTTTTTGTCAAATGATTTCAGTTAACATTGTCATTTCTTTCATCAGAAATTAATCAAATGAATTTATATGAATTCATCGATCATTATGGAGTTGAACAGTATTTGGTACAACATAACTTATTTACTGTATATATATATATATATATATATATATTTTTTTTTTCTACTTTTCATTTTACACAAGTTTCAGTGCTTTAAACAGGGAATATATACCCTGTGCCTTGTTTTTGACTAAATTTTTGTGAACAAATTATCAATAATATTGATTTACTTATATTTAAATCTGTATTATTGATAACTGATTGATGAAACATCGATATCATGTCTATCATTGACAGCTCTAGACTATATGGATGCGGCTTAAGTCATTATTTATAGTGGTATATTGACAATAAATATGAAATAATAATAATTTACCTCCATTTTATTTCATTTTAGACGAAACATTTGAATTTTGGAAGCATCAATTGTTAATAATGGACATGTAAAACTGATCAAGATCATTAAGTAGGGCATAATATTGTAAGCTTAGTCAAAAACTGTTCAAATAATAACTTTTATTGATAAATTAATTCCACAATTTCTTTATTCAACTCTGAAGATCACTAAATTTGTTAGATTAAAAATATAAGTTTCCAGGAAAATATTACAAAATGCACTTGTCACTAGTTTTCGCGACTGTCAGGATTTAAAGCCACAGCTACTTATATAGACTCTGAAATAGCCAGGACTGTCACAATTGACCAATCATAACATTCCATTTGGCCTGGCAGTCTGGCAGGAAAGACAGGAATTTCTTATTGACAGGAATAATTTAGAAAATGTAAATTAACAAAGTTAACTAATAACAAAATATGCAATAAACACTTGAATTACATGCTTAACTTGATGCACTTAATATCTGGACCAAAAACAATCATGGTTATAGCTTAAAAAACTGAACAATTGATACAAAAAGATTCCAAGTGTCAGGAATTTGAATTTTCCCTCCTGACAAACTTAGAGGTCATACTGGTCATCAAGATTATTATGAAATACAGCAATTCCAGCTAACTATTTGGAAAGTAACTTATGTCTTAGGTAATTAAGGATAACATTCTATCTTCTTACATGTAAAATGATAAGTATGTGTATATGTTTATGAAAATAAATGCATTTAAAGTTTTGAATCAAGGTAGACAACTCTTGTCGGCCATTTTGATGCCAGGATAAACAAAGTAAGTAAATAAATCATTTCTTGAAGTATAAACCTCCTTAGTGTGCCTTATATAGTCCTAGAGCCTCAGAATGTCCTTTATCATGGTATTAATTCCTTCATTTACCAGAAAATTATCTAAACAAATAAAATCAGCAAATATCAATGAGGAATCCTGACAGGTAAACTTCAGGAATCATGGCAGGTAATTTTTAAGCATTGACTGAACAGTACTACCTCACTTGTCAATAAATTATGCTAGTTTGATGTTCAAATTGTCATAAAACATATTTTGTTTTAAGTTGGTATATTCATTACAAGGTCCTGAAAGTAAATTATTTGATAAACATCCACAGTCCCTTACACTATTATAGCTGGTCTCAAATTTAAGTCTGTCTAAATCTCAGTACTGTCTTAGAAAGTAGTTTGT